GTGTACGGCTAAACCCTTGGCCTGCTTGCACCTCGCGTAAAACGGCGGATATCGGAAGTACGGTGTCGCCCTCGGACCAATACCCGTATGTGTGTATGAAAGAATAGCGATAGCCTTAGAGGGCGAAGCCTTATACGCAGGGGTGCACATCACTTTTTTGCCCTGGTTCTCAAAGGAGCACCTGGAGATGTTGCTTGGTGCTCATCCATAAAATGAAATAAATCGTAACTTTTGAGGGGGTCTTGACTTTATTAGACACACGGCACTAAACACACACACTGAGGTGAACACAGAACACACATGCAGAGGTGAACACAAGACAACATTAGCACGACCAGTAATCCTACAAGCTGTCATCACTACCCTCCTGACTGTTCTCCTCACTGTCTTCCTCTCTGTCAGACATGGTAGCTGATGATGTAGGCCTACTTACTTTCTCTCTGGTTGAGTCTGCGATTAGCTGCTTGCATCCACAAGTCAACAGCTGGTTTTGGGTCGAAAGTCTCTGTTGTCATCTTAGACAAGTGGATGTAATCAAATAAGTATGTGAACATAACCAATAACCTACCATAGCCAATAACAAATGAATGTAACTTATTTTATTTGTGTTGTTCATTCATATCTTATTTTACCTTAACATTTATTTATTTATGCATTTTTTTAATCTCTCCAGTTTTAAAGGATATTTTTGGTTACTGTCCTATAGTATACATTGGAATGATTTCAAACCTGTTTCATCCCAATAATTATAAAGGAGTGCCTTGGAAATATGTGTTTACATAAATTGTGACCAAACCGTTTGAACTTAGACTAAAGTTAACTATCTAAACACTCAGAGTCCTTTACCTCACTGAGCTGTAGTATCAGCCTCTCAGTCTGACTGGAGAGGACTCTCCCTCCACATCATTGTAGAAACATCTTCTTCTTCCGTTAGAGCAGCTAGCACCAGATATTTAATCCACAATGTTAGCATTTTAATAAAGAAAATGTAAATCCTGATTTTGACGATTGATAATAGTGTGATTTTTAAAAAAATCTGAAATGTATTAGTTGAACTGTAAGATAGTTGCCCAAAGTATGTCCTGATTTGTTCACACCACAATAAATAGTCTTTGGTCCCAGAGGTATCAATTATTTTCTTGTTTAAAACTACTAAGTCCCATTATGTTAGCTTTCATTCAGTAGACACAGCAGCTTCACACTTGCATTAACCCTTATGTTGTGTTCTGGTCTCCCGTGACCCGTTTAAATTATATAATAACCACGCTCTAGTTTTTTTTATCGGAACAAGGCTTCATGATATCCTCCACAACAGCAATATAAACACTACAAAACAGATTTTGACAATTTTAGCCAAGTCTGATGGTTTCTAAAAAAAAGTGCATAATTTGGTGTTCGGGTCTGGGGAGATTGTTTTGGGTGACTATTGGGTCAAATTTGGCCCAATAAAGATTCATCTTTGACATTAGACACCCCACCCCCTTCATACACTAAAAAAAAATTCTCGCAACATGCACCTGGTCTCCCCTCCCTTTGCCCCCCACGGGAACTCGACCTTTCTCAAAGAATATGTACACTAACACTTGAACCTGAACACACATATGCACGTGTGCAATATGTGGTGTAATGTGTTTTGGGCCATCAACAATAAATTACAACAGGATTGTACGGTTATGAATGCATTATAAGTTAGTTGTGATGTAGTTAAAACAATATTGGATGATAGTCTTTTTTTTGGTGTGTTTTGGACTGAGATAAATCATGGGTCAAAATTGCCCCGCGAACACCATGAACGGTTAAGGGTTAAGACCCCATTATTGGCTTTTACTGATACTGTTCACACAGTATCGGTGCTACTGAATCAGGGCTAGAGAATCCCTTTATTGTTAACCAGTTTCTAAAAGATGTAACTGCCTTTAGTGAAAAATACCACAAACATTAAACCGTGGGACGTGGATATCATAGGCCTGTTAAACTCAATACTTGGTGTTTAGCTCTATGTCTTTAATGTCATTCCTCTGTAAAATGGTTAGCTCCATGTTTTAGTTTATCCTGACAACACGGACATTTTGAGCCTTTTAGTGGTTTCTGAGGTTTGGGAACCTCCTAGTTATGAAACAGTTGTAGAAGTTGCTGTAACTTAAGCTAAAGCTTACTATTGTTACAGCTGACTGTGAGAGATATTGCTACTTTGTCTTGGATAATATGTCATTTTGAACTTTTACTGGAAAATGTTTTTGTTAGTTAAACTCAATATTTTCTAATCAATATTATAATTTCAGAAAGTTTTACCTAAAGGAATGTACATTTGATGAAGTAAAGATAACTTCCCTGTTTTTAAGAGATGAAAATATGTATTTGGACAACAACTACAGCAAAAAGCTATACAAATCTTTGCTTGAACTAAATGTTGTTTACATAAGTAAAGATCTCATGTTATACACCTTTTCAGGTTTATTAAAATATTTTTGGAGACTACTAGAATACATATTAATGTATAAAAACATGAACATTTGGTTTTTGCACAATAGGTAACCTTTAAGTAAAGGATCTGAGTACTTCTCCCAACAGTGTTGATATGATGTTAGCTGTAAACTAAATGACGCAGAAACAAATTTACCAGTATCGCCAAGAACCGTTAAAATAGGTAGCTAGTTAAGCTAGTTAGGTTAGGTGGTGACAGCATGCTATCATGATTTAATTTAGTAGTGATAGTTAACTTGAATGTTACGCTTTTCTTTCGTCCAGTTATATTTAACGTAACCTCCCTCTGAATCATTGTTATATACACACTTTAAAAAGCGCAGTTTATTTTCAGCCGGCAGCTATTTAATGAACTAACCTAGGAAATTAAAACCAGCACTCTTGCTTTTTGCCAGCTGCTACGTCCTGTTTTGTAGGAGCTCTGGAGGAGAAAGCGCCACATGCTGTCCTTCATCGCCGCCCCCTCCTCCCAGGCCCCGGCTCAGACAAACTAGGATCAACGGCCCCCAACACCGTGCACCGGATACATTTAACTTCCTGAATGTAACCTACACGTTTCACCGGACCACCCCTGGGTGTCGGTTGTGTTTTTGGGAGACGCTGACACTGTTTCTCCCTCGGAAACTCAGCATGTCCGTGTTTTTCCGTTAGATTCACCACGGCGTCGCCAGCGAAGCACAAGCAGCAAAACAGTGACAGACTCAAGACATCCTTGTTGCCACAGCAACTAGCAGAAACATGATTTCCGGTTTTAGGAGCGACATTTCAAAATAAAACGAGTGATTTCATTTGGTGTTACAATGAAGGTTTAATTTACAAAGTGGCCACAGGTCTTCAATGACATCCACTTAAACACAGACAGTGGCAGAACTTCAGTGTTAGTATTATTAGATCATCTCAGTGCCGTGTTTGACACTGACTGGAAAACTGGGTGGGACTTTCGGAAACAGTTCTAAATTGGTTTGAATCCTACTTAAACGACAGAAACAACTTTGTTTCTGGTAAATACACATCTGAGTTGACAAATATGACGTGGGGTTCCTCAAGGCTCCATCTTGGGGCCTCTTCTGTTTAACATCTACATGCTACCACTGGCTCAGATAATGAAAAATAACAGAATAAGTTACCATAGCTATGCGGATGACACCCAGATTTACATAACAATTTCACCAGGAGACTATGCTCCAATTCAAACACTGAGTACATGCATTGAACAAATCAATGACTGGATGTGTCAGAACTTTCTCAGATTAAACAAAGATAAAACTGAGGTAATGGTTTTTGGAGCCAAGGCAGAACGTATAAAAGTTAGCGCTGAGCTTCAGTCTGCAATGTTCAAAACAACAGATAGAGCCATAAATCTAGGTCTAGTCATGGACTCTGACCTGAGTTTCAACAGTCACATTAAAACAATGACTAAATCAGCTAATTCAGAACGCTGCTGCTCGAGTCCTCACTGACACTAAGAAAGTGGATCACATCACGCCTGTTCTGAAGTCTTTACAATGGCTTCCTGTGTGTCAAATAATTGATTTCAAAAATATACTGCTACTGGTTTATAAAGCATTGAATGGTTTAGGCCCAAAATACATTTCTGACCTACTGCTAAATTATGAACCATCCAGAACTCTCAGGTCTTCAGGGAGGACTAAACATGAAGAAGCAGAGTTCAGTTATTATGCTCTTTTAATGTATATTTTATTATCTTTGCTTTTTAATGACTGTTTTTAAATGCCATTTTCTTAATGTCTTTCATTTTTGTAAAGCACTTTGAATTGCCTTGTGTTGAAAGGTGCTATATAAATAAACTTGCCTTGCCTTGCCTTATTTCATATCTATTTGATTACAAATATTTAAAAAAAACATGCAGATATGGTCAGGTAATTTATCAAATGTGACTTTTTACAGCAATGGTGGAAAGGCACTAATTACACCACTCAACTGCTGTTATTTTGTGTTACATAACATGGGCGTTTTTATTTCATGGCACCTTACACTAGCCTACACTAAAGAGGGGATATAAAGTAGCTCACTCTTACGAAACCACTATATGTATTTGATGATTACAGTTATAGGTATTTTGCAGATAATCATGAACTACTGTTATTTAAGTTATCTGCACTTATAATAAATCACATGATGGCTTATTATGTGATTTATTATGTGTTGTTAGGCTACAGTAAATGAATAATTTGTATACAAAATAAATAAAAAAGCTCTATTGACACCAGACAGAACAATAAAAAGGCATCTAACGTGTCGCTGCTAATTATACAAATATGTGGAAGAAAATACATGTATTTTTTCTTTCTATGAATATTGATTTGATTTTATAAATTGTATTTTTATATTGTTACAGTGAGCTCTAGCATATCTTCCATTTTATGTGATGCATTTTATGTTTTCTATTTCATATGATTATGTTACCAAGGGTGTGTCTTATTGTAGTTATTAATATCTGCGTTCACTTGTGCGGCTTTTATGATGAAAACCTCCCACCGGAAGTTGTCTTTGGTAGTTTCTGCCACTTTGACGGTGGACACAAAAAAACTGCGAATCAAGGAGAGGGACAGCGCCCAGAATAACTGTAAACCTCTGCAAACTGTGTAGAGCATCGTGTTGGAAATGAGACCCCGGTCGTTTTCTCCGGTGTGTCGGACATTTAATCAGAGGTAAGAGGATGCTTTTAATCGACAAGGTCACAACAACAAGAAGATTTTTTCTCTACATGGTCATGAGTCCGTCCGACCAAGTTGCTTTCCTGTGATGTTATCGAAATTATATTCACCAAACTGGCTGTAATTGGTTTTAATCCGCGTATTTCCTTACTGCTTTTCTGGTGTTTTGTTGTGTGGACGGACACTTTCAGGCAGCAGGGTATTGGGGGTCCTGGTGTGGACGGGGGTGGACTTTTTTGTGGCCTGTGATGAGCTCCGGGGGCTGGGGTGGGATATGTGCGGAATACCAAATCTGGACGACACAGGTTTTCTCCCTAAATTAGCTTTTCTGAGCCCCATCCTGTGCTGTTTCTACTTGGAGTAAAGACCGTGATGGATGAACGTGTTGATCCGCCTCAGTGGCCTGCTGCTGCCGCCGGGTAATCCAGTAATCTGGAGTAGAAGTGGTTGCTTTTTATTGTAACACCATTACCCCTCATCCTCCTCCTCCTCTTCCTCAAACACACAACAAAGTATGGATGTACCCGGGTCTAATGGGGTGTGAGCTACGTAGTTATTTATATCTGCACTAATGCAACAATTGTTAGTCGATTAGTGGATCAACTAATCGTGAGGAAATTAATCACTTCCAGTATGTCTAATCTCCAAACGTCACATGCATGACTTTCTTTCACCATTTTGTATGATGACAGGCCAACAATGAACACTTGGTGGGATTTAATCTATTTGTGTCTGCAACTAACAATTGTTTTGTATTAGTTGATTTGCTGATTGTTTATTAGATTAATAGTTGGATCTTTTGGCCTATGAAATGTTCGAAAATAGTTTAAAACATCCATCCCAGCTCCTCAGAGTCCAAAGATGTATCTTTAGATGTCTTGTTGTATTTGTTTATTCTGAGAATGTGATATAAAACAGAGAAAAGCAGGACATCTCTATATTTGAGAGGCTAAAACCATTAGACATTATTGCATAAAAGAATTACTTCAACAATGTACAACATAGGTGGGGAATATTATTATTTATCAACTAATAAAATAGTTAGCCTTTAATAAAGTCATGAGTTGCAGCCCTTAAAGTAATCAAAGGCATTATTCTTAAACTGCAACTATTAGCTGATTTATCTTTCAGATGATCCACTAAATAATAATCTGCAGTTTTTTTGATAATCAGTTGATTTTTCAAGCAAAATCAACTGATTATTAAAATTATTAAAATTCAACTCTCACATATGGAGTTTTCCTACTTTTCTCTGTGTTATATCCTTCTAATCTGAATATCTTTTGGTTATGGACTTAATGAAACTGGGAAGGCAGTTACTGTAACAATTAATCGAATAGATCCAATAATTGGCAGATTATTTGATAGTACAAATGATTGTTATTTTCAGCCTGATCTGAGATGGTTGCAGGCCCAGACTTCTTACTGAACAAGACTGCATGTGCTTGTGAATGCAGTGAGAGCACCAAAGGCTTTTTTCAGACAAAACTCCAGTCTTGTGAGGTGATTGGAAACAGTGTCCTCTTTGTTCCCGCCGCTCTGAGGAGAGGATTAATCCAGTTAATGATCTCTAATGTAAGGGGGGGGGGGATACAAGCACATTTGACCGAGTAGTAATTGGCATTCAGAATCATTAATATTACTGAAGGCCGCTGAGCTATTTATGGGTGGGTGGGAGAGTAAAAAATGTGTGTATCACCATTGTGACTTTGCACTTTTAAAGCTGTGCCCACCCCAGGGTGCAAGGCACAGTCCAGCACAAGCCATTAGGCCATTTTGGATAACAGTGTTTGGTGTTAGGGCTGCATGATATAACTTGAGACACATAGAGAGTGTACCCAGTTCCGCTTTTCTAATATATTCAGTATAGTGCTAAATCAGGATTATAATATTAATCTGAAACTGTAACTAAAAAAAGCTGTGAATGTATTAGTAAACTGAAACCAAGCAAACATCATTGCCTGGTTAAAAAACGATTAAAACAAAAATCAACGTACATTTATTTCAGTTTTGTAACTATTTATTTGCTGTAATAATAAAGACATTAGCTAAAGATTTGATGTAGCTAGCGGATTTGTTCTTTTAGCAAACACACTCTGAAAACTAACTACAACGAAACAAAATGGAAAAATGATTTCAGAGCTATTCTAATATTGGCTAAAACACTAATAATAAAATATATAATCGTTACATTTGATCAGTTTACATTTACTTTCAACTAGTTAAAAAAAATCCCTTCGTGCATTATAGCAATCTTTCCTGATGTGTTCATCGTGAGAGTTGACATCATGATGCTGATAAAAAAACAATATGTGGTGCAGCTGTAGTTGTTGGTGTGTTGTTTTTTGACGTAAAGGCTCTCTGGTATAGCATATTTTCTTTGCCTCGTTCTGACCCCTGAGCAACTCCAGTTAATCCTCCCAGTGTGCAGCTCAGATTAGCAGTTTAGCCGAACCCCCGGCATGCTACACCCCGAGCCAACGTCCAGGAGAACGTAGAGTCACAGCAGGGAGTTTACAGCTTACTCTCATGTCAGCAATGTTGTCCCTAACAAGCTTTGATCAAGTAAAACCATTATCTGTTTGTTTCTTTTGCAACAGGTGGAATATGTAATCCCATATGTTTATAAAATCTCTCTTGATTTTGAGTTTGGTGTAAAACAATGGGCTCTGTCCTGTGCTATGGGCTCATTCACAGATCCCATGTGTTAATATGGGATGGTTTCCTGCTTGACAGCTTTAGTTTGCTTTAAATCTGTAATCTCTTTTGTGACTAGATAAACCCATGCGGGACCCTCTCTTCCTATAGTTCCCCCTGTCTGCTGTTAATCTGCACATTTACTGGTTTATCTTGGAGTAAAAAAAGAGTTTTACACCCTGGCACCAACAGCGGAGGGATAGTTTTTATATTCTCCTTCCAAACTTCTGTGTAGAATTTCCTGTGTAGAGTCAGCCATGAGACTTCCTGTGCGCTGCTGCTGGATGTGGAGGGGGTGGAGAAGAAGGAAAGGAAGGGGAAGAGAAGCAAAAGCAGACTGTGCTCCTTCATGTTGTCCGTGGTGGCCACTGTGGTAGCTGCGTGTCTGTCGTTCACAGTCTCAGACTTTTAAACAAAACAATGTGGCCAAAACCAAGGAAGTGAAAGAGTGTGTTTCCAACCAGCCCCCCCCCCCCCCCCCCCCCCCCCCCCCTTTCACAATTTTTCTTCCTGTGACTTCTGTAATTATGAGAGTCCTTGATAATCACAGAGCCGGAGCACTGTCAGGTATGAAGTAAAGTGTGACATTTCTGTCCTTAATGTCTCCTTTTTGTGTAATTACAGGACATGTCCTTGGGTTTGTTGAAGCCACAGCGCTACACTCCACTCTCCAAGCATGCTAGAATAGTGACAATCTCTCTCCACTCTGCAGGTGAGCAGAAATGTGTCTGTCTCGCTCTATGTCCTTGCCATCATTGTAGCAAAGTGATAAATAAAGCATGATTTTAAAAAAAGAAAAAAAAAGCATTCAAAATAGAATAGACTCACGTAATGTTGCTATTTTTATTTGTTTGGACTTTATGATTAAGGATTAGCCTATATAGGATTGTTAGTTTTTTTTTATCAAAAACTTTAAATATAAATCCTATCAGTATGATTCTAGTATGTTTAAGTGCCTTTTTAAGAGTTTCAATCATATCTTTAGGATTATGAGGATAACATTGTGTATCACATGGCCTGGATGATATTTCCATTTCTTCCCATGCCAGTTTCCTTGCTGCCTATTTTGAATGTGCTTCTTGAAATAACCCTGAAGGTCTTATCAGAAACGAGCCCATGTTCCTCTCCCTCCCTCAGGCCTGTTTGATCCTAGAGAAACGTGCCTTGTAAGGAAGCAGGATGTTCACAGGCTCCACCAAACAGCCACCCACTAAAATCCCGCAGCCCGAGCGGCTGGACGAGGTCTACGCTGCCTTACGGCGAGGCTTACAGTGAGTAAACACAACGCAGACTCTGTTTGCATTGAGTCCACGCACGACTGACAGGTGGAGTGAATACGTCTGCTTTTGTAAATGAGGACTAAACAGTAATGTGTTTGTGTTGTTGTTAGGTCGTACCTGCAGGTCCACCAGCTGGAGCTGGACAGCCTGGGTCAGCAGTCACGAGAGAACAAGAGGAACGGTCGTCTGGTGAGAGCTCCTCTAGTCAAACCAGTCACTCCAGCCTGACCTCCTTTCAGTGCCAGGCTGGAAGTCAGCATGTTAATCTGACACTTTGTGATGCTAAATGCTTTATTTTGTTTTGCAGGGGTCTTTGTATGAGCTGGACAAGGTGAGTTTCATTCACACTGAAACTGTAAACAGATAAAAGAAAGACGTCCTGTATTATCATTCCTTTCTTTTTTGATAGCAAGTGAAAGCCATCGAGAGGTTTATGCGCCGACTGGAGTTCCACCTCAGCAAGGTATGTATACATAAATACATGATTAAAAAAATAGATAATCTTTTACCTTGATGCTGCACTAATCAACATTTATATTAAAACAATGGACCAAAGGACTGCACGATATTTCCCTCAGGAGTTGGTGGAGAAATCAGAGCTAAAAGAGAATTAATATTGGACTCATTAGATGGACACAAACACGACTTTAAATTAATGCTAATGTTTCATTTATAATGGGATATTGTGTCAGTGCTGTTAAAAGCTGCCATTGCTCAGTAGAGTTATTTCAAAAAATATATATAGTTTTGCACATCTGATCTTTTTCATTAAATGAAAAAATGAATGAATAAAACTACCACTATTTCAATAAATATTGTCAAAAGGCTTTCTTATAATTTGTTCTGTAATTTTAAAGTTTATTTTCATCCTCAACTATTGAGTTACACGGCCCACTATTCTTGACGTTGAGAATAAAGAACAGTGCAATCATCCATTGTTTCCTCATGCCTATTGAAAGTAGTATGTAATGTCTTGTTTTTGTATCGTGTCTTGTGTGTTCTCTGTTAAGCTCTATACAAATAAACGATATTATTATATATGCTTCTGCAGGTAGAGGAGCTGTACGATGCGTATTGTATACAGCGGCGACTGCGTGACGGAGCGAGTAAGATGGTGGCGGCCTTTAACGTGGCCGTGGGCAGCCGGGAGGCCAGAGAGAGCCTGAGTGAGGCCAACAAGGGCTACAGAGAGTGCACCGAGGTGAGTGGATGTTTTTTTCATTTTGGTGGCAAATGGTAGCTTTGTGACCTCCTTCTAGTTCCTTCATTTTAATATACATTCACAATTTTGTTGTCATTTATTATGTTGTTTATTCTGTATATACAACATTTATTTCATGTCAGTGGGTTCTGGGATCCCTCCTTTTGTTGCTCTCCCTGGGGTTTCTTAAATGTTCCCATTGATTGTGGGTTGTTGTGGGGGGGTTTTCCTTACCTCTGCGAGGGTGTTGTATGCTGTACAGTCTGTAAAGACAAATGTGTAATCTTTGACATCAGGCTATATAAATCACAGGTGATTGATGTGTGCTGTAAATTCAAATCTCTGTTAAATTATTCAAACCGATGCCTCCATCTGTCCCTGCAGCACATGTGCTCCCTTGAGAGTGAATTAGAAAGCCAGATGGGAGAATTTCATGTCAAGATGAAGGGTGAGTCACTTTCTACCACTTCCTATTTTCATCCGCTCTGCCTTCGCACAGTTCTCATTTTTCTATTACTTTTACATGTTTCAGGCCTCGCTGGCTTCGCAAGGCTCTGTTCTGGTGACCAGTATGAGGTAAGAATCATAAGCACAAGGATGTAGCTACAAATTGTGACAGAGTCTGTGTTTGCTGAATCACATTCACTGTTTTTGGTTCCATCAGGTCCTAATGCGCTATGGGCGTCAGCGCTGGAGGCTACGAGGCCGCATGGAAGTCAGCAACAAGCAGATATGGGACGGGGAAGAGAACATCTTCCTGCCTCTCGTCACAGAACTGCTGTCAATCAAGGTAAGGAAATCAGATTTAAAAAGGCATGGCTAGCGTTATTCCTAATGTTTGTCATTGTAAACAATTCCAATGAAAACATTCAAAGCCACAAATTCAAAGTGTTATTTTTAAAGAGGCTAAATATTTACGTTAAACTGATGTGTTGCTTTTAGCAAATGTGACTCAAACAGCAGTAACTTTATCACATTTAGTGTGAATTTTTGTTCAGCTGTGCATAATACACATTTGTTTCTTTAGTGTGAATTTACTCAGCAATCTTGGAGGATTTGATGTGTCATTAAAAAAGGCCTTTGCTAAAAAGTGGCTACACGAGACAACAACATCCCACTGTGACTGTTTTATTTAATTTATAACATTTGCATTTTATCTCTTGCGAATGCATATAAAAAAATAGAAAACGTTTTGTTTATTTGCTTGGCACAGAGTTAAGCTTTTCTGAAATAATCTCAAATTCAACATAACAATCCCATGGATTAACTTCGTCATTCCTTAGGCAAGGCAAGTTTATTTATATAGCACTTTCCAACACAAGGCAATTCAAAGTGCTTTACAAAAAATGAAAGAGATTAAGAAAATGGCATTTAAAATCAGTCATTAAATTAAAATCAGTCATTAAAGAAGTTCTCGCTGAGGTGTTCCTGTTTTGTTTATCCAGGTGACAGAGCTGAAGAGCCTGGCCAATCACGTGGTGGTGGGCAGCGTGTCCTGCGAGATGCTCGACCTCTTCTGCCCGCTGCCCCAGACGCTCGCCGTGGACATCAACGACCTCGGGACGGTGAAGCTGAACCTGGAGGTCACCTGGAGGTAATTAGACGTCTAATTGGCCCTTTTTATTATTATAGTTCAACACTTTTACCAGTTTTTACCAATTGTTCAGGTGTGTTTTGTTCAGTTTCTCACCCGTTGTCCTGCTTTTTCCTTTGTCTTTTAGTCCGTTTGATAAGGACGACCAGACGTCCTCCACCAATACAGTCACCAAGCGGCTGCTGTCCAATCAGAGCCCTCCTGACACGCCCTCTATGCGGGAGCAGGTATTTTATGTGAGTAACATTAACTTTATTCACCTTAACTTTATTACATTTTTTCTCTTAATGGCCAATCCTGGCCCCTGTCGTAAACCTTTAACTACTAGTAGTTGAAAGTAACTAAGTACATTTAGTCAAGTACTGTAATCTAGTTACATTTTGAGGTACTTGTATTCTGAGTATCCCTATTTATTGACACTTAACACCGCTGCTAAAATGTTTTACCGAAACCACTTGACATGCTTATATAATATTATATTATATATATATATATTATATATATATTATGCTTATACAGTGCTTATACAGTGCAATAATGGTACACACCTTTGATGCTTAAGGTACATTTTGCTTATAATACTTTTACTTAAGTAACATTTTGAAGTCTGGACTTTTACCTCTAATGGAGTATTTTTAGAGTATAGTATTACTACTTCTACTTGAGGTAATGATGTGAATACTTCTTCTACCACTGTTTGCTGCTATTCATTTTTACATCATATAGACATTGTATATTTAATCCTCCTGATGGCCATTATTACTGTCATTTCATTGGCTTGTTCTATTTCAGCTACTCCCCCACTTTTTTGTGTGTAGCGGTAGCTCTGATGTGTGTGAGCGTGTTCGCAGAGCGCTGTGTGTGAGGACATGTGGCTGTGGGAGTGGCGTAGCTAATGGGCGGAGAATGAATGATAGCGGTAGCGCGGCGTGTGACAGCAGCATGTGTGAGCAGAGCTGTGGCCCTTGTAGCTGTTTAATAGTGGTTGAGTAGAGCTCCAATATGTCCCTCCTCTTCCTCACCTCGCTGAAGAGCACGCCTCAGGGCAGGCCCAGGCCGAGCCGCTCGCTGGTGGAGGCGCTTCACGAAGTCATGGCGGACAGGACGACGTCCTTACGTTGTGAATTGAGCCGCACTACACCCAGATTCACCTCAGTACAGTCGGTGTGTTGGGACGTAGTTGTAGTTTAGTTCATAGTGACCAAACTGATAGATGATTTATATTAGAAAAAAATGATATTTAAAATCAAAATTGAAAAAGACAATCACAGACATTTTGTCAGATGCAACGTGATTATATTGTTGTTGATTTTGATTATTTAATTCAAAACCAGATCATGTGTTCTGTATATATGATTATTTTTTCAGATTTTTAGGGCTTACTAAATGATCAGGGCATTTGTCAATTAATCGAGTGACTACTTACATTTTTAAGGGGGGGAATTCAAGAAAACATTGATGATCTTGATTTAGTGTTTAAAATATTAACAATCATAGCTTTACCCAAATTGTTTATTAACAGTGCCCACATATTGCATTAAGTACAGGAGCTAAACATTTTTATATTTGTAGTTTATAGTATGAGGGAGAAAGAGGCCAGATCTAAGATTTAAGCAGCAAATGTTTGATGTGCTCAATTGATAAATCAAATCAATGAATTATTTCTGTAATTAACTTTTTAGTCAAAAACATGTTTTATGTCCCCTCGTCTTTTTTGTCCTACATGACACTGGATATTTCCCTTTAGTTCCACTTCGTATTTTTATCCTTGCCCATTACTAGCGTCTCTGATCAACAGTTAGAGAACTGGATCAAGGAATTTGTCTGTTTCATTGATCAAATGCACTGCATTTAACATCTGAAAGGATTTGTCAATTAATCAATTGAACAAAACACCATCTTTTTGATAATCGATTGAGTGATTTTAAAGCAAAATTGGAAGTTTTTCTCATGAGAGATGTTCTACTTTTCTCTGCTTTATATCATACTCATAGACTAGAGACGGATAGGAAAAGCAATGGCATGAAATCAATAACAGCCTCACATTTAAGAAGCTGGAATAGTGAAGCTTTGACAAACTTCCCCTTGGACTCCGAGACATTTTTCACAATTTTCTTATATTTTATGGACCAACCATTAACCCATAAATAATCTGCAGATGAATCAATAATGAAAATAATCTTTAATTGCAACCCTAACGCAATTACATTTTTCGTGATGTAATTTCATAACCAACATGCACTTAAAACCTGTGATCCTGAAGTATGTCGACATACCTTTGGGCCTTTAGTTAATGTCCTCCGTGTTTCCTGTCTAGTCTCTGCTGAGGCGGCAGGGGGAAGTGGAGAACGGCACCGTCTGGTCCAACTCGTCTGAGTCCTCCGATGACTCGTCCAGCCCGGCGCTCGCTCACCACGCTCAGAAGCTCACGGCCTCCAACATGCTGCAAACCACGCTCACCTCTCAGCTGTCCTTCACGCCACACAAGTCCAGCGCCTCAACGCCGTCGCTCTCCTCCAATCAGGAGGAGGACGAGACCGAAGCCGGGGAGGTTTTCTCTCAGACGGACGCGGTGCCAAACGGCCACCTGAAGACTTCCTGCTCTCACAGCGATGACTGCACCGCGGCTGATCGAGCGTCACTCCAGTCAGCGGACCTCTCTGAAACCTCGGCAGACCTGAGCTGCTCCTGCCCCGACGTGTCCTCTGTACACGCTGTGTCCACTCAGGATTTGTCTGAAAGTGGCGTCTCACATGTGTGTATTTCAGCAGAGGAGGTAAAACAGTCTGAGGACTTGCCAGTGCAGGCTGGACAGACTGAAGCAGAAACAAAGGGCAGCACCACTGAAGCAGCAGAGGACGAAGCATCAGAGAAACACAGTCAGTCCGTCCAGGAGTCCAAAACACCGCAGGACCCTCCAACGGTGAGCTTCATTCACTTCATTGTTTTTGTGAAGTTTATTCTGTTGGTGATTTTTAATCAATCAATCATACTTTATTTGTATAGCAGTTGTCGTACACGAAGGGTAACACAGAGTGCTTCGCAAAACAACAAATCAAAAACTTAACATATAACTAAATAAAAAACACCTTATACCTTAACTTTAAACACTGCTTTGTTTTCTCCGTAGGTTCCTTTTCCAGTTTCTTCTAGTTTCAATCTAGAAGTTGAGACGGCCCTTGAAAGTTTCGACTTTCTCAACTGCTCTGACCTCGAGGAAGATGAGGAGGAAGAGGGAAAGGAGGGAGGAAATAAAGAGGTAGTAGAAGAGAAAAAGGAGGAGGATGCTGCGCAACCTGAAGAGAACCAAATCAAAATGGAGGAAGAGAAAGTGGAGGAAGAAGAAAAGGAAGAGAGATTTCACTCTGGAGGAAGGTCAGTGTTAGTGATCATTGCCTGCTGCTCGAGCCTGTCAAGTATTTGGCAAAAAAAAAAATCTATTTTCATTCTATCCTGAATCTTGGGTTTGAATAGTTCCCTCAGTGTCTGTTATGGTGTTTAATTTTGACTCACCATGTATGTCCCTGTTGTCTCTCTGCAGCGATGACGAGGAGGCTGACGGTCTGCAGATCCTTATGGAAGCTCCCGAAGGATTCAGGAACTCAGATGAAGATCGTTTCTCTGAATCACAGGTAATCAAAGTGTCCGATTAATGTCTTTTTTTTGTTCATATATTAATTTATCATAACTAACTTCAAAAGTTTCTAAAAGTCACCATCATTGCCCATATGATTATTTCTATTTAGGTGTTTTCAACTGGGATTAATTTGCATAAAGTGTAGTGGTTGCGTTGCAGGCACAAGAGAGAGGAGAGACACTGGGGTTACAAAACTCTGAGCAGCATAAAGAATTATTATTATTATATTAAAAATAAATCCCTGAGGATCTCATTAAGTGGAAGAATGCGTAACTAATAGATGGCTCTGAGGAAAACGGCTCCAACAATGATACCACTGTGAAACATGTCTGACGAACTTCAAAGAGAAAAACATGTTTTTTTTTTTTAAAGGAGTCGAGCGTGGAGGACGTGCAGGATCTGTGTCAGATAGAGATGCCCGGCGAGAAGGAAGATGACAGCGAGAAAAAGGGAGAAAATCTACCCGGTGAGAGGAGTTTGTAAACAGAGGCTGCAGCTGGTCATGTGACCACAGCACTGCAGGCGAGAGAGATGTGTTCATTTCCCTCCTGTGTTCGATCTTTCAGGAGAGCACGTGTCACATGGCCAGGAGGAGCGTCCCTCCTCTCCCAAACAATTGGCTACTACCGTCTTCTAAGGACACGGAGGAGCCTCAGCTAAACCATTTATCCCACTCTGATCTCCTCATGCCATGGATGTTCCACTTTCTGCTCAGACAAACAAGCTCGTCCTCTCGGGCCGAGTTTGTGCACATATTTGCCTTGTTCTGACCAAGAGCGATAAGCCTCCAGGTTTCTGCGTTTTGAAGTCCCTCTTCAAACGTCCTTTTCCTTCAACATGAACTTCATCACGTTGCCTGAGTGAAAGCGGGATACCACTTAGTTTACACTTTAATAAACTGTTCCTTTCATGTGAAAATGTAATGTCCAAAACATTTCAGGAACAGCTTTAAGCGGCCTTGTTTTTCGGCTTTATTACAGTGCATATTTTGAAGTAATCTAATTTTTTTTTAATGGTTTTTAAGTTCAAGGTAATAGAGTTGTTTCAATCAACAGAGTAACAAACAATCACTTACTGAGTTGCATTCAAAACTGTCAGTATTTGTGGATGTTAAACTACTTTAAAGGTTATGATTTTCAGTGTGAAATCAGTGTAAAGCCCAGAGCTCTTTCCACTATGTGAGCATGTGATGTCTAAAGATTTACATTTTGTGCTGTGGACACAATCTCATTTACAAAGCGGGATCTTTTAATTTACGTATCATCGAGAGTTAACTACTCAAAAGTACACGAGAGCAGAATTTACATTGAACCCAGGAAGATAAGTAATATAAGGACTGAATAAAAACACTTTAAGTTTCTGCTCAAAGCTCATCTGGTCCAACATGAAATCAACCTGCAGTGTAAACTATATTTAAACCTGCATGTGTAGCTGCCTCACACTGCCAGCATGTCTGTATAGAAGCGTGTGTGCGCCGGCTCCACTGCAGGCAGCCATCAGGTCTGCAGCTGTGTACAGAAGCTGCCTCATGGGGGCGCTATAGTCCTTCAGCATCATGCTTTACGTTGTTCTACAAAAGCCTCGACATTCAGAAAGTGCCTCAAGTGACAGAGATGAAAGGTTTTAAAATGCCACGACAGGAGAGATCAGGCTAAAGATAACAGTGTTTATTTTCTGAATTACTTTAAGAGTGTGCACAATAAGAGATATTTACTGTTTCATATAAAGAATTGTATATGTCTTGAAATGTTAAAATGTTTATGTTCAGAAATGTTTAAACTTTATAAAGGTTTCTTTAAAATGACCAGGTCTGCTGTTGTGTTGAATACCTGTTTATCTCTGGGTTAGTACAGAAAACTTCACAACAACAAATGTAAAAAAACAAAAACATTTACTCAAACACAATTTATTTGTTAACAAGCCTTAAACTCAAGATGTCTTGTGCTCTTTGATCAAGGACACTAAGGCACTGCTTTAAATGAAATATATTGCTTTCTATACAGGCAGACTAACTGTGCCGACATATAGGAAGGGTGGATCTACGTCTCTTGGCTCATGTTGAGGAAATGTTTAGTAGAAGTAAATTCATGTCAAAGACAAACCACTGTTAAAGGTATCTGCTAAAAGAGGAACACTGTGACAAGTAAACTCACAACATGTCAACAAAACCCAAATCTGTGCGTCAAATATTAAGAACTTGCATCGCTCTCACATTTAAGGGAGATTAACGTTGACCTTGCATTGTTTAAAAGACTGCAATGAATATGAAAAACCACACCCAAAAAGAAGATTCCCATCAGAACTCATTCACCTAACACGAGTGCACACATGGAACTCTAAAAGACTCGGCTTCAGTGCAATAATTCAGAAGTAAAACACAACATGATAAAACAAATATTTAAAATCTTCCAAATAGTCTTCTTTCTTCAATGACTCTGAAATTAAAACACAGTACACATGTTAATATTATCACAGAGAATACCTCACATTCAAAATAAACTATAAACACTTTGATATTTAGGTTTACATCTCCTCTGGACCAGAGGCCTGTACTACGAAGCAGGATTTTTGCTTAGCCGGCTAACTTCAGGGAAAACTCTGGCTTTCCGGTCCTACGACGCTGGTTCTCTTTTTAGCGGGCTAGATCTCCATGGTAACTTATGCTGAGCGGCTAACCTGCCCCGGAGCAGGTTAGGTTGCAGGCTAAGAGATCAACTCAGTGAAAGCACCGCCTGCTGACCAATCAGAGCTCAGTGTGCGGAGTTTAAAGCGATCAAGTCATATTACAGGAGAAAGGAAATACAGAAAAGCTGCCGTTGCAGGAAAGACGGCCGGCAAAAATCACCGACTGTGTGAACGTGAACATTAATAGAATATCACTTCCCATCTTCAGAGCAATCTGACTATTATAACATTAGCGTTAAGAAAGCTTACTTAAATATCTGCCACAACATAAGTAACCGGATCAGAGTAACATTACGTACAGTCCGCGGCATATCACTTCATAATGTATCATATTTCCTTATCTGAGTCAGCTGAGCCGTATCTGGCCGTGCAACACTCACAGTGTCACATAGGCCTACTGTATGCAGAAGTATTATTTTAAGCAACACATTAAGTTGACCAAACACTCGAGACAAATGTAATTAAAGTCAGATTGTGTTTTAGACGGTGCAGTGATAACATAAACATGTTAATGTACGCATTCAAACACTTTTTCTTTTGCCAGCTGTATTTATCCTGGATAAAGTGTTTAAGTCATGGATGTTTAAGGTTTAACTTCTTCATATTTGACTAGTATTAAAGTTCACTTTTCATTCAGGAAGTATGACGCTGCGCTGTCAGTGCACTTCTCCATGTTGATAACCCGCGTCGTAGTACAGCTTAGCGACAGCGCGTATGTTTTGGATTAGGCCAACCGGCTAACTCAAACATATCCAGGTTAGGAAAATCCAGCTTCGTAGTACAGGCCTCTGGTCTCATTTGCCCCGGGGATGAGAAGGCACATTTCCCCCTCATTTCTTACAACTGAACTATTTGTGTACTTAATTTATGTGTATAAGAACCTAGAATCCCGGAACCCTGTGACCAGAATCTACATACTTGTACCTAAGTTGCAGAGTGATAACGTCCTCAACTAAAAACTGAGCGGCTGCTCCGCTGCCCCCCCCAGCTGCAGTAACACGGCGCTGAGTCCGGCCTTCAGTGCAGAGTAGTCCGGCTGCTCAGTGTACTGCAGAGCCATCACGTTAGTCAGGTACGCTTGAAATGCACCTTCAACGGGACACACACACACACACACACACACACACAGAAATATATCGGCAAAATGCACATTGAATCAAACGGGTTATCTGTTGTATAACAAACATTTTAACTCACTGGAAACGATATTCTTCTCAAAGCAGTGACTCAACAGAGCAGGGACATCCTTCATGTACCTACAATGAGAAATGTTTGATTATTCCTTTATATTTGACCACTAACTTCATCTTATGCAGGCATGTTGATACAAATCAGAGGTTCTGTGGAGGTTCAAAGGTGTGTTGACGGTTGTTTTAGCAAGTTTATTGTTTGGTCTAAAAATATATCAGATATATGTACAAAAATGTCCAAGTTGATGTCCTAAAATGTCTTGTTTTGCCAGTCCAAAACCCAAAGTAATGAATATAAATATGACATAATAAAGAGCAGGAGATACAAATATTGCATGAGAAATGTAATTGACAACTGATGGATAGATCAAAAATAATTGCCTATTATTTTTTAAGAATACAACTCTCTCACCTCTGTTTCTGCGTGGCCACCTGGTCTGGGTGAGTGATTTGAGTCCATGGCAGCGTCCCTGTGTGCCAGTGCAGCATGCAGTAACCCAGAGACTGCAGGTCGCTGCGTCGAGACGGAGCTGAGAGGAAACACACACACACACACAGCGATGACTACATCTGTTTTCCCTCACACTCACCCTGAAACATCAACACCACAAAACAATCCTCACATTTAGAGACACCTAGTTATTGTGGTTTCCATATTAAACATGTCAAAAGAACTGTCACACTAAAAGAAAATCACAATCATTCAAAAGAAAAACATCAGATCAGTGTTATCATGTGACGCCTGTGTGTGCAGACAGATGGACTGTGGGAGGAGGGCAGCTGGTGCTCATGTAAATTAATCTGAGAGTGTTGAGTGTACAGTAGCTTGTGGAGTGAAATGGCGTCTGATTGGCTGGTGAAAGGAGTCCAGAGGAGGGACTGACCTGCTCCTTTATGAGCGTCCAGGCTGATGAACTCCACACTGCCCTCGTGTGGCGTCCGGCTGTCCTCACGGTACTCCACATGTTGATCACCAGGACAGTATCTGAAGGCATGGCAGTATCCTACCAGGTAAACCTAACCACACACACACACACACACTAATGTAAAAGGCATTTCAATCATGGACACTAACAGAGTACAGTTGGAATAATGAAATGTCCTCACCTGTGATTTCTGTCCTGGTTTGATGTAAATGTTTTCTGCGTTTATATCAGCGTGAACGTACTCATTTGAATGGATATACTGCAGCACATCTAACTGCAAGGGGGAGCCAATGTTACCGTTTATCAAGCAAGGGAGAAAAACAGTTCTTATTCAAGATCTGGATCATGATTTAGATAGGAGATACAATATGACAGGGTACGTTGAGAGAGACTTCAACAAGATACAAAAACAGAAACAGAACAAGACAGGTTAAAAACACATGGACAATAGTGAACATGTAGTAAATAAAAACGTATAAATGATGTCGTTACAGTTTGTGATGTGAAACGACTGTAAAAGCAGTTTAATGTTCCCAAAGGATATTAATGTAATAGATGTGAGGCGTCCATGTAAAGAGAATTAGGGCACGAAGTGACCCGATAACTTTAGGTATTTGATTAAAAGTCAAGTTAAAAGTTGACACTCACTATTCTGCAGGCGAGCTGAAGGACAGCTTTCTCCGACAGCAGCTCGTCTTCTTCCTCCATGACAGAGTGGAGAGACTGGCCCATGTTGGGGAAAATCAGAAACCTATGGAATAATAAAGGACATAAAGAACAACTTGTAATAGACCTTAAGTTAATGGTAAACTTTTTGTAATTCATGTGTAAATATTCACACCTGTAGGACTCTGCATGAGGACCAAAGCCGGCACAGGAGGGAATCCCCAGGAAGTCCATCTTGTTCTGTTTGATCCACCTGTCCACTGCAGAGGGACCATTGGTTTTAATTATCATGTGTGATTCATGACTTTGTTCATTTCATTATTTTCATTTCCATCTTTAATACGAACAGATAAAAAAAAAATAATAATAAAAAAAGTTCAACCATATTGTTTTTTTATTTTTTCATGAATCTTCAAACAATATTTATATATTTCACACAAATATATTTCATAATAATAATAGTGTATGAAAAGGAGCAGAAGGAAGCACATGCTTATAAATTCCCACCCCTTACTAAACTGTTGATAGTCCGTAAAATGATTTCTGCCGTTATAAATAACTGCTTTAATATTTTATACATATATTACAAAAATATATAGAACATTTACATACATTTATAATTATTTCTCACCTTAGATCACTTGTCCCTATATCTTTCCAAGAAAGTATTTTTGTACATCGTTTTAAACAGTTTTGTTTAATGCTTTGTTTTAACTCCTGCTCCAAACCATTCCACAAAATCACCGTACAGATTTGTATGCAAGTTCTCCTCTCAAATGATCCCTCCCCTGTCTTTCCATAAACATGTTCTGTATATTACCTGGGAGTAGATTAAGTCTTGCTTTGTACATGATTTGTGTAGGTTCAAATTCAACCACATCCCTGAACTTCAGTGTATCTGGCTTTAAGAATAATGAATTGGTGTGTTCAACATCTCCAACATTGTTGATCATTCTTATTGCTCTTTTTGGTAATATGCATAATGGCTGGAGGTTGGTTTTGTAAGTATTTCCCAAAATCTCAACACAGTTACTCTGATATGATAATATGAGTGTATTAGTGGCCCAGAATGTGTCTTGACTTCCCCCAATGTTGCTACAGTCTTAGCCAGTTTTGCTTTGACATGATTGATATGTGGTTTACACATGAAGCAGGATTCAAGATGCTCCCGTTAAAAATAAATCTCTTTTCAACTTCTGCTTTCCTCTAAATGGATTAGGAAATGAAGGAAACATATTTTTAAGTGACATTGTGAAACTACATCACATGACAAACTGCCAGAACCGTTACCACTGACTTATTGTTAGTGGTTCTCCGTCTGACTTTCAATATCTCATCAATCTATCTCATCAACTGTGATAAATGCTGCTATTCATTTCAAATAAAAGTGTTCCTCTCGTAATGATCATTAGATGAATAAGAACCATGGTAGGACTACCCTGGCCCTTCATATCCATAGAAAATCACCACTTCTTTTATAGGCAACATTAACATTGTTTTTGTAAATAAAATAAATGTTGAACTTGAAACACAATAAATCCTCACCTGACACAGGTTTAGCAGCTCTTTGCAGAAAGTTCTGCTCAGTGAAGATTCTGCCATCTTTAGCTCCCTAACACAAAGAAAGATAAACGCGATGATGTTATCAAGGAAGTTTACGGGAAATACATAACAAATAAGAACAATACATTCCCTGACAAATACAAAGTGAGGGAGTGATTGTTTCTTCCTTTATGGCACTGCAGTCCCACATATGAGTATTTAGAAAACCTTCAAATGTACCACGTCTGTTCAGGCGGCACTTACCAGCTTGAGGATGTGATTTGACTCCTTGGAATTGGATCGTGAATCTATTTGCAAAACTGAAAAAAACAAACCAAAAAATTATATTTATTTTGTGCCAATACAGGATCTTTTTACTTTACATTTAGATTTGTAATTGTGTTATCCTGTTGAAGGACTGCCTAACTATCTACGAAACTAGCCCTCTCTTTGGAAGGCTTTATTCAAGTTACCCGGACCCAGGATACTTTTTGAAATGGAAACAAAAAGAAGTCTCATAAGAAGAGGTAACACTAAAACTACATCATTTAACCATTTTATATATCTAGCATATCTATTTAGAATATAGTTTCCGTTAAACAGCTATATTGTAAATGAAAGACAAGTCGGAATAGTTTGTTCAAAATTTGAATAAATACTTCTGTATAATAATAACCCTTATCTTTTACCTGAAATGCAATTTGAATAAAAACCAGTATTTCCACTGCCAGTCTCACCTTCGTACAGCAGCTCTGTGGTGCTCTGACTCAGCAGTTTCACCAGCTTCCACTTCTTTCCCGCCGTGTCCGTCACCTCTTCGCCTTCCTGCAGCGGCTCCACAGCAGACGCATGCTTTGCCTTCTTAGATTTGCTTTTTCCTATCGCGATAAATGCAAAAAGAAACAACCCACCTATTACGTCGTATGTTTCAAAGTATGTGAGACACTGACATAAAAAAGGATGCATAGAAAACATAACAAATTGAAAACATAAGGATAAAGAGAGATGACCAGAATTAGTTAACTGACGTCAAAGTTAAAACTATACCTCCACTTCAAATCCCTTCACATTGAATCTCTTCAGAAATGGTCCCATTTACATTGAGCTTATATAATGCAAAGTGTATCTGCCAAGTGACCTGATAAGATTTAACCCTGTGTCTCCATTTAACCGACTGATATTTTGTGAATCTAAAATGCAGGTCCATCCCCTGAGAACTGAATCATGTAGTTGTTCTTACTGTAGTAAATTATTGATATAAAGATTTCCTGGTTCTCCGTTTTATATCATATACAACTGAATATCTTTTAACGTTTTCTTGACTATAAAAAAAATCAGCAGCTTAATCCATAGTGAAATACAATAATAATTGTTTCTCACCTTTTAACTGTGGTGAGGAAACAGGGGAGGAGACAGCCACAAGGGGGCCATGTACTGATACATCCTCCGCTCTCCTGCTTGTTTTATTATTCGGACTCTTTCCCTCTTCTGCCTGCTCAGCAGGGCTGGAGCGTCTCGCCTTTCCCCTCCCTGCAGATAGAATCAGCCGCAATCAAAATAATGAGAAAGACACATCAAGACAGAAGACAGGAAATAGATTTTCCACGAGGAATGTGCTTCAGCTCACCAGGTCGAGGAGACTGCTGCTTGGGTGGAGTTCCGAGCAATCCATCCCCACTATCTGTTGAGACAAATCATAGCATGTTGTCCAAGAAAAATGCATTCAATATTTCAAATTATTATTTTCATTTTCCACCTGGCATGTGCTGCCTGGAGCTTAAATATGTCAGACTGATGGTTCATGCTACAGCAAATTAAATTCAAAAAGCAAATTTTCTCAATCTGTAACTTCTTCCAAACCATTATAAATCACCTTTAATAGCAGTGGAGGGCACCACAGGTGGCGTGGCATTGCTAATATTAAATGTAACTTCCTTCTCCAGACGAAGGGAGTTTCGTGGCTTCCGCAATGCAGGACGAGTCGTAACTAGAGCTGAGGTGTTACATCCATGTGGCAAAGAAAAACAGGATTAACATTCCCAAAGATAAAAACCACACAAAGTCTAAACAATCTATGTTTTACTCTACATAACACTCTGTCAAGATGTTTACCTGTACTTCCTGTGGGCTGGCCACTTGCTACTGAAACAGGGAATGATTTAACTACTGCTTCATCCTTCTTGGCTGGAGAGAGACTTAAAGATGTCACCGGACTCACAGGTCCAGATTCATCAACAATACAAGGAATCTTATCCCCACATGAAGGACAAAATCTGAAACCCGGCTGCAACTTTGTCCCACACTGAGGGCAGAAGTGGAAAGGCATTCTGCAAGTAAAACACACATTATGTTACATACAAACATATTATTATACATCTAGTATTGGGGATCAATACAATGTTCTATTCTAATCAAGTGTTGATGTTATTGCAAAGTGCATGATACTTTCCAATACAATAGTTGGTTAAATTAATAATAAGAACACTCATCATGTGAATGGAATTGTCACATCCAAGAAACTAATCCTTTTTTGAAAAGTTATTGTTTAGTATTGTTTAGCTTTACGTTAACTTGAATATATGTCTCAAAGTGTAAAGCGTCTATGTTGTTATTTATTCACTAGTTAAATAAATTATGTCCGTTGTCATAGAGATAACCGTTCCGAATCTTCCGATTATGTTTTACCCATAGACTGTATATATAAAGCTATATATACAGTCTATGATATAAAGGGGTTTTACCATAGTAACAGCCAGATTCATCCCTCCATAAACGTATGCAATTTAACAAGATTATAGTGATGCTACTTTTTAACATCAATTGCGGGAAAAGAGAAAATATGTTGGGTACAAATAAAGGTGATAAAGGTACGTGTCAGTTCCTTAAAAATAATCCAGAACAAAAAAACGTCAACTAACCTTAATCCTTAGCTAGCTAACATTAGCATTAGCAGAGAGTGACAGCTTCGAGCTAAAGCTCGTGTGTTTTATACGTTATTTTATTTTAACGCCAGGGTTGAAAAAAGAAATGCAATGTCAAGAGAGCTTAACGTTAGCTAGCTAAAACAGATACGAAACTGGTGGATTTTCAGCGGAAGTATCACCGTTGCTGAATTTGAGCCTTGGTTTGAATTGAAATGTAGCTCTGAGTAAAACCGTATTTCAGCATTGAGTTTTTAAGTTGTCAAAATAATGAAAAGTGTCTCTGATACCTTTCCAACCCAGGCTGGTGTTGTGTTTGGTTCTGCAGCTTCTTCTTCACCGGATAAACACTCCTGTGGTAGGAGCTGTGGGGAAAGTGCTCCCCCTTTTGGGTTGGATCTAAATGGTTTATATCTATGGTTTATATTTATAAAGGGGCAATTTAAGCACATTAAAAACACGTTTTAGGATGTATTATGAATGCAGATTGGACAAAAAAAAGGTCGTCAATCGTTAAACATTAAAGCCAGTAGTGGAATAAGGATTTATATTAGACACTGACTGAATTAAAAACACATACCACACAAGTGTTATGTAGTCTGTAATTTTGGCAAGGATGGTCATAATCTCAGTTTCTAAACACATAAAGCAATACTTCATAGTGAAATTACATTTTTATTCAACCTCTTCAAGATTGATTATATAAAATTCGATACTGCTTCAAGAAATACATAAATAAAACAGTTTATTTCACACATGATATACATTTTGCATATGAATAAGTATGGCACACTTTAAAATATGAAATTAATCAGCAGTCATACTCATATTATAATCAAATTCAACTTTAGCTGTTTGTGTCTTAACTAAAACATCACTTTTAGCCTTTACAATTAATAAAAATAATGTCCATGTGTGTGTAAAACAAAAACATACATGTCACAATACCATTTCAGTGTTTTACTAAGTTTAGATACTCTTAATTAAATATCAGTCGTATTATAAATCTATGAAACTTTAAAGGATCTGAAGGGGTAAGCATAATGATTTAAAAATCAACACCATAAGTAAACTGAAATGTTTGTTTATTGCTATTCTTATCAAACTTGCCAATACAAAACCAAGGCTAAGCAGGTTCTTTAAAGATCTCTCTTTTATGTCTCTAATTATGTAACCCTCAGTAGGTCTACATCCAAAAATATACTGAGGGTAAGATGGTATGTAGCAGTTCTTTTCATTGCAATCAGAACTTGAATACATAATAATCCTGATGCATGCCGCATATGTGTAATTAGTAGATGGCCTAAACAGTTGTCCCACTCTTTAAAAACATAGCATCTGCTAGGAGAATCCTGACACTAGCAAAGGTGGTCTTTGTTTTCAGGTGATATATTCTTGTTATCCACATGTTATCATCCGGGGCCTTGGCATAGCAGTATGTAGGATCTCGGCTGAGCAACATCCTGAATACTCTAAAACTACAGAAATCCTTACAGGTGAATATTGAAAAATAATGTTTTGCATGTTACTTGCATGTTCACAAAAGCTACAGCAAAAATGTTCATTGAAATGTCTTACTTTCAAATATATTAAACTATTTGTTTTACTTTTTCCACAATTTTATATTTATACTGAGACTTAATTTTTGCAATCATTGGCAGAACCAGTTGCTGATTATAATGAAATTTTGATGACGAAGACAAACTGTATTCTATTATCAAGGTTTTAAGAAAAACAAGCACAAACGTTGATTTAGGAACAAATAAACAAGTGTTAATTGTCCTTCTAGTAAATTTCAGTCGGACAATGTGAGCAACGTGTTTACTGGCTGTTGCAGGGCAATCTTGCATTCTTCAGAAGGACACTAAGCACAACATCAATAAGCTTCCTAAAAGTATATCCATAGCAAATCCCAATACACCGTGACTGCAGGCATCAGTCAACATTCATCTGACTGTACAAAGTGACTCCTTTCTTAATCGCAGTGTGAATCTACACTTATCTTACAGCAAGTGAAGAGTGTTAGAAGTATTCTTATAGCACATTTGGCAGGGCAGCTCACTTTGATGCAACTTGAAGCACAACATTTATACCTGAAAACATGATCAGCATCCAAATGATGACATTTCCAGCTAGACATCATTAGAAATAAATATCCCACACTCCAATATTAATATATATTTTTTGAAAAGACCATGTTAAATGAATTTAAATTAAACGCCCACATTCAAAAAGCACTTTTCTATGGAGGTGTATTATGGGCAGGCTTGGGAATAAGATGTTTTATTTAATCTATTTAGCATTTCATGAATAAAGGCAAAAATGTTGAGAATAAAGTTAAAATGTAGGATTCATATATATGACTAACTTTTTCCTGACATTTCAATTTAATTCACAACATTTTCCCTAAAAACAACAAATCAATATCTTCCTCTAATGTATTTGCTCTCATGCCTGGACCTAATACACTTCTGTACTTTATATATGTATAGCAAAGCACTACTCTGTGGGGCAATAAAGATAAATATTGTTTCACCTTAAATATTTGACAATATGCATATGTATTCTTCAACTGCTTAACTTGGATATCTTCCTATTTTTTCAACAGTATTATGGACACAAACATGTAACGTTCGTAATTGAGTCTAACATGCACATTTGCTCTTATCAGAGGCCTCTGAGAGGTCTGGGTTGCTGGGTCCATTAGCTCTGACGGTCCCATCAGGGATCCAGGACTTGTCAACACATCGTTCCATTCTCTTCATGATGAGATCCAGCAGGACGTCCACGGCCATGTTCACGTTAAGCCCGTTTGAAGCACTTGTCTCAAAGTAAGGGATTCTGCATGGAAGAAAATATTGGACATAATAAATACGGGATCACAGACTAATGAAGCTTAGCGCAAGTTCAAGCAGGAAGACCAAGCTCTTCATTCATATTACATGTCACTTCTCTCCCCTCTCCTCCCTCATTAAGTGATCGGGGGCGTCACTCCCCAGCTAACCAATCACTCCTCTCTCCATTCTCACAAGCCTATCGTTGCACCCGCTAATCCCTTTATATCTGCTCTTCTTGTCAGCTGTCATTCCAGGTGACAATACGCAACCCTTCTCCACCCCTCTCGCCTCCCGTCTCCTACAGGACCAAGCTAATCCTTCTCCCTTCAGACCGGTCCCACCTACTTATCACCACCACCAGTGTCTAGACTCCGGGGGGTTTCTTCGGAGCGGTTCTTCCCCTCCTGAATGATAATCCTGCAAACCGGGGCCTAATCGCCAAACACCATTCCATTCTCCTGTCTTATTTACACACGGCATCTATTGCACGTCTGTCCGTCCTGGGAGAGGGATCCCTCCTCTGTTGCTCTCCCTGAGTTTTCTCCCATTTTCCCCTTTAAAACTGTGGGTTTTCTTCGGAAGTTTTTCCTTGTACGATGTGAGGGTCTAAGGACAGAGGGTGTCGTATTGTCATGCTGATATTTTTGTACAGATTGTGAAGTCCACTGGGACAGGTGTAACATTTGTGATGTTGGGCTATATAGATAAACATTGATTGATTGATTGATTAATTCTGGCAATCATTATTTCATTCATATGACGTGTCCCAGTAATAAATATGTATTTCATACATCAATGTCTCTCCTGATTGAACTGCCGCTAGTCACAATGTGACACAAACTTTGAGTGTAGAGAAAAAAATAGGGATAAGGCGGGCTTATGCAAGGTTACATTTCCAGTCCCATATAAAGATCAAAAGAGCATCGCCTACAACATCAACATACTTCGAATGTTATATAGAATTCCGAGGTTTATCCTCTCTTGAAGGCATTCACAGCATTTCTCACGGTGCACTTTGTGTGTTTTTAGTAGAGGTGTGTCTTATAGTTTCAGAGCAGGATATTTTACACATGTGTACAAATATTTGCTTTTACAAGACTGGCAAACAATACAGCCACTGCCTTCTTGACAAACATCTAAAGGGAGAGGTTCATGTACAGATGGATCAAAGCGGAGACGTACCCGTACTTCTCCGCCAGCTCACGGGCCTCTTCCTCACGGACTGCTCTCTGATCCGACAAGTCACATTTGTTGCCACACAAAACAATGTCTGGATTTTCGCAGTATGCGTGGATCTGTAACTGACCTGAAAACACACATTGAGCAATTTATTATGTATTTAGTCCCGCGTTTATAAATATGTTTGCTTCTGAGACAGATATAAAGCCATAATTTAGAATTATATTCAAGAAGACACAAGAAAGTTGAGCAGTGTAGCAGCAGTAGTTGAGGTGAGAGTATACTGTGCACAGAAAATACTTTATAATATATAAATACTGGAAGAATACATGTTAAATCACACAATATAAAAGGCCTAACATCCTAGTGTAAATTCTATACACATAAAGAGTAACTCGCCATCATTCAGTAGAAGTATTTTGAGAGTGATCAACTTTGTAAAAAATTCCTGTGCACTAAATTGTGTCTTCATTTTAATGATGCAACATTTCAGTCCACCTATCGGTAATGACATCCACATTTCAAAGCACAACAGGTTATATGGAACGTCTGCTCCCCGATTGTTACATAAGAAACCTCTCAGAGTGGACATTATTACTTTTTCTCATTTCTTACTGCAACTCATCTATGTTAAATAGCATCTGTTCCATTCACCTCACTTGTTTTTAAAAATATTTAATGAAAATGTAGACTGCGTCCTTTGTTCTTACATCTTAACACCCTTCTAAAAACAGCCAAAAAACGAAGTGTACAGTTCAGAGTGAAATATCAAAGGACTTACTCATCCAGTTTCTGACGTTGAGGAAACTTTGTTCATTTGTGAGGTCAAACAGGAGGAGGAAACCCATTGCATCTCTAAAGAACGCCGTCGTCAAACTCCGAAACCTGACAACAAAGAGGAACCACTTGATGACAATATAATAAATAGTGAAAAATAAATGTAAAGTTCAAGTAGAATAACTTCACGTACCTCTCCTGTCCCGCAGTGTCCCACAGCTGCATGTGGATCTTCTGTCCTCGACCTGGAGATCCATCTGGATTTGTTGATTTGTAAACCTGACAGAAACAGAGACGGATCAGGTCAAACAGATGTTCAGATGTTCAAACGGATTGAGAAGCATTCAATCTCAATCTGTTAGAGTGTAATTAAAGTGTAGTTTGATGTAGTAGTAAATCCCTTCATACACATATATTGTATTAAGAATAAGATTTATTTTACGGATCTTACTTTCCAGTGGCTTAAGATGTTTAACAATGCAGCATGTTGAAGCTATACTTGCATCATACTGTTAAACTCTGTTGGGACTGAGTTTTGAGTTTTTCGAGAATGATAAGCAGCATTAATCTTGTATTTCATAGCTGCTTGTAAAAATGGAGAAACAAATGTGCAATTAAAGTTATTGAAGAGTCTCTAAAAGAGTCCCCAGATGTAACTGCACATTTCAATAACACGTTTCCCAGGAATCTTTAGAGATTGAGAAATAATGTAGTCTTTAATTCCTAAGAGTAATCTAGGGACACGCTGTTGATCTCAGTGGTTTCCCTGTGACCATTGAACAGATAGCTTCAGTATTATTGGTGTACTGTATCCATCCGATTATCCATTTAATATACTGTAACTTCATGGTCATTTCATGGATAAGGAAACACAAAGACTGTCTGCTGATTTTTTCACTTTATTGATTTTACCATCAAAAGACAGGAAGCGCAGCTCTAGGTTGTTTGAAGCCTCACTACAATTTCAATTAAAGGTGGGGTAGGTAAGTTTGAGAAACCGGCTCGAGATACACTTTTTGTTATATTCCATGAAATGCTCTTAACATCCAGATAGCAATGAATATCTCAAGTGCTTTGACAAAAGCCGGCCCGGCTAAAATAACTGGATGGCCTACCTGCCTGTCAGCCTTCCATCTGTGCACAAACTTATCTCGTGCCCTCATTGGTCATGTGCGCGTTCGTGTGTGTTGGAGGAGGGGCTCTGTAAGGAAGTGGCAGATTTTTTCCGGCTGTGTATTTTCAAATTCTAGCGCACTCGAGCTGGTTTCTTCAAAATTACCTACCCCACCTTTAAATCGTGGTGGGTTTTAATAAAGTCGCTTTTTTGTGTTTTAGTTGCGTTTGCCTGCTGCTACTACATTTAATCCAGTTTTGAAACAAATTTATTACGATTCACTTTTTTGGATCATGGTCACATAAAACTGTATTTTATCCCGATGGTGGATATTACTTTTTGGATGTCCTGATCTTAGTTTATCACAGAAACAAAGTAAAGCAGACGTTAGTGGAAGATCGGCTCACAGCCCTCTCGGGACAAGTTGAATCTGCCAAGCTGTTCCTAGAAAAATCACATATTGTAATTTAAAACTGCTGTTTTCAGTGCAGGGCTGCCAACATTTGAGTTCAGCTTGGAGTGAGATTTTTTTTTGGTGAACCGAAAAAAGAAAGGTTCATGTGTACAGTGTTACAAATGTATTGAACATGTACAAACTAGGGTTTCCCATTAATGTACCGGGTGCTACAGTGGAACACGCACATACACAGTGTACACGCGACTCTTACAATGAAGGCTTGATAATCAGCTCACAGCATATAAAATGGCATATAGGTGTAAGTAGAGGTAAAGTGCTATTTTACAAGTGGGGGGGGGGGGTCCTCACCTCCTCTAGGGGGGTCCGGGGGCATGCACCCCTTTAATATTGAAGTTAAATGCATCAACCTGGTGCATTTTGAGAGCAAAAATGAATTTATGGATACATCTCTCAACACCCATATGAAACAGAACTGTAAACCGATTTTCTTTTTCTTTATGGATATTTTACAAATCACTCACCTTTTAAACTGTATTCTTGTTTTACTGTCATATAGTATTTCACAACTGTTTTTCATTTATTCTCATAAATGGTGACCAAAACGTTTGAGACCCACTGAGATAACTCGACTAAAGAGTCCCTTACCTCACTGAGCTGTAGTTATCTCTCAGTCTGACAGGACAGAGCTCTCCCTCTCCTTGTTTTAGAAACAGCTTTTAATATCCGTTAAGCTAACCAGATGCTAACAACAACAATGCAAATAGTGAGTTTGGTAGAAATATACTGTATAATAGTAAAGTTATTTAAAGAGGATAAGATTGAAGATTTGACATTATAAATATTCCCCAAAATTATTCAAAAGCATATTCTTCCAAACTCCTTGCTGTAGTATGACCACCATGAGACTATTGATGTGTGTGGTGAGTTTGGTAGTAATAAGCTGTATAACGGTGATTGAATATTATTGTATTCTCTTTTTTCGGAGTTGCACTTTGCAGACGGTCCCTGAGCACTCGTTTCTTCTCGGGCTGTGGATAGAGACCAATGTAATGTGTCCAGCTCGGAAGACGGCGCGTATTGGCTTTTTTTTTATCGAAATGTGATTGTAGTTCGTTGTCAACCTTACCACGGTACTTAGGAGACGTCATTTGTGTCTGAATAACGTTTTGTTCATGAGTTATTGATCCGTGAAATCCGAATCTCCCAATATCGTTCCAACTTTACTGAACTAAGCCAGAAGAACGTCCCATTTCGTAGACCGCTCGGTTTGCTGTTCCTTCACTTTATTTTTATATTTATATACATTTATTTTGGACGAAACCTTAGCGTGAGGAAAGGCAAGTGTGGCGTGAGTGCGTGAGATATGGGATAATTGCGTGACTCTCACGCTCAATGCGTGAGTGTTGGCAGCCCTGTTTCAGTGTTTTCACACTTTTAATCGGCAGGTCAATGTATTTGGAGAGGAGGAGACTTTTTCAAATAGTTTGGTCCTGGTAAACACTGTCACTGGGAGAAGCTGACTGCCATGGCAAACTATACCATGATTGCACACTACTTCACAAAACCCCAAATGTACGAGAACCTTAGTGGCAATGTGTTCCCTACATTGTGCCCTTAACATAACATTGTCCTGGATTGACTGAGTAGCTTCAGTACAGCTGTGGTGAATCTGTTATCAGGATATTATCTTAAAGCTTGAGGTTAGCAGCATTAAAGAGTAAGCAATGAGTAAATATGAACACTGCTCAGCTGTTTGCCAATGGTAAGAAGTGTTTATTCTTAAGGAGGGTGCTGCCTCCTGTTCACCAACATTAGTCATTCCTTGGATTTATGTTGCAACATTCATCAGTACTCTTTTGTTACTTAATGGTGTGGGAATGCATTAAATCCACTAATTAGGCAGCAGTAAATGCTTGCTGCACGAAAGCATACAAAGAGGTCCAAACAATTGCCCGCGTTTGATAAGAATTGACTGAACTTACCACTCTTTTTTCTCTGAAGTCTATTCCCACTGTGGTGATGAACTTGGAGTTGAACTTGCAGTCTGTGTATTGGTAGAGGAAGCTAGTTTTCCCCACTCCAGAGTCACCGAGGGCTAGGAACTTTATGAGGTAATCATACTCTCCATCCGACATCGTGAGAGTTTAATTTCTGAAACACACAAACAAAACAACTCAAACAACAATCTCAAAATGTGTTACAGAAATACATTGGTATTTATGTTCATCTATCCCCCAAATAACCACATCTATTATACAAACACACACAGACTGACCTCCAAATGGTTTAAGCACTTGACATTTAAATATTATGCTTAAATTATTATATTTGTTCAAATCCTCCAAACTACATCCAACAATTACTTTTCCCTACAAATAATAAAAACAAGTAGTAACCATACTATATGCTAGGGATGCACGATATTGGTTTTTTGAAACCGATACCGATAACTTCCTGCTTCTCAAGACCGATACCGATAATAAAAAAATGTTTACGCCACTAATTATTTTAACGCGATTAACGCATGTGTATTTTTTTTCCTCGGCCGCCCCGTAGTTTCAGAGCGCATCGAGTTTAAAATACCATCTACAAGCTGATGCTGACAGCCCCGCTCCTGTCGCCCGCTTGTGGCAGACCACACGTCCACGCTCACCGGCAGGCACCGACTGGCTGTTGGGAGGACCGGGAGGGTGTGTGTATGTGTGGCTCGAGCGAGCGAGAGAGAGACCTTACGTGCATTGTTGTTGTTAGCATCTGGTGCTAGCTAGCTGCGCTAACGGATATACGGAGCTGTTTAAATAAAAACAGAGGAGCGACATTTCGCCACAACTGCGCCGAGCACTTGACTTTATGCAGAAAGCCAGACAGTGGGACATTGTACGAAAAGTCAGCACACTCAGCACGGATAGTGCGCAACATGATTGCAGCGTCCAGGCAGCTCCGGTTCGAGCATATGCCTTGAGTTGCACATAGCTCCAACGCCCATACCACCGACGACATGTTTGTTTACTGTCCTGGCTTCACACCATTTACGTCACAGCCAGGCATGAGTTAGGGAGCGCTGGATTTGTGAAAAAATCCCCTCTTCCTAAACCACTAATACCACAGTACTGGTAAAATGGGAGGAGCCGAGTAAAAAACAAGCGCCCCTCATCCCAATCCACACACACCGCAGTATTTTTATTTATTTTTTTACCCAAAAAATATATTGTATATTATCGGGGCTATTAATACTGGTATCGGGTTTATCGGGATGACGTCATAATTCCTAATATCGAACCGATAATTATCGGGCCGATCATTATCGTGCATCCCTACTATATGCATAAACAATCAGAAAACACGCTTCATAGGGTGTTATGATTGTTGATGTTAAGATTCATCAATAATTATGAGTGTTCAAAAAAAAATAACTGAAATTCTATAAACATATTAGGATCCACCATAATTAGAATATTTTATGTTGTAAAAATAATTATAGAAAGGGCTACCTTATATTGTTGTGGTTTTACAGGAATGTATAAGTGCAGGAACAACATTGGGAGAAAAACACTAATATAAACAATATGAACCTAATATGAAAAGCTATCAACATATTGTTTAGATTCTCTGAGCACTAAAATACAACACCTATTCTATGTAGCACACATTCTGTAAAAAAATACAACTAAAAGCTGATGAACACACGGCGAGGGGAACAACTACTTCCAAACTCTCGAAATGGGGCAATCCGAGGAGCAAGTGAACGCACCATTACCCACACAGTCCTGAGAGGAGATCTAATCAGGCAACAGGAGGGGAAACACCGTGTGGGAGGACTGTGGCTGCGAGGCTCAAACTCCTACAGATCACGACTATGTGGAAGTAAGTCGTAGCATAGATGAACAATGTTGGGACTTATCCCTTCAATCTACTTAATGCAGTTCAGTCCACCCCCACACATTTGTATTATTCTTTTTTCTTGTTTGTCATCTTTCCAGCTCCACTGGTGCCCTTAGCATTATGCTAATTACATTTCACTTTCAGTACCAGCAGCCATCATCTTTAATTCTAATGAATTCTAATGTCACTGGATCAACAGCCAGCCTCCGTACAAGAGGGACGTCAATGTGCTTCTTATCCGAAATGAACAAGCTTGACTCTATTAAATCAAGTCTCAAATAATAGCACAAAACATACATTTAAAGCACATCAAAAAAACAAGTTACTTTGTAGAATGCTCGATCTGTTCTGACTGATGAAGTCGCAGCTGTGACGTCTACGAAAGATACAAATGAATTACAAAATAATTATGCAATTCCTAAATGTTGCTGACTAATGGATTGACATAAAAAGCAAACGTCATGTCTGAAGTAATAATTTCACATACTTTAATTTATATTCTTTATGTTAATCATGTCCTTACTGTATAGTCACAGCACATCAGTAGTTAACCATAATGGGAAACAAAACTCAAGATAAATACAACTTGGTTGTTAATCGTTTTTACAGCCTCTTACTAATGGTGTTCATGTAATACGGCCGACTCTTGTGGTTTGTTTTTATTGCTATTATGTCTACTTAGTTGAGCTTCTCCAACATTTTCCATGTACCCCATGGCATCAGCAAAAGTACTGCTGTGGGGGTGGAGTATAATCTTCATTCAATCCTGTATACATAACATTTTGTACACTTTTCAAAACATCCCTAACCCTCCAAATGTATCTTTGTATAGTTTATGACATTGCAGGGGTATGTGTGTAACATAGGAGCCATGTTATCTTGTTGACACAGTAACAGGAAGCTTTTTAAATCCCTCTGTCCCTCTCCAGCCACAGACAACACTCAAGTATGTACTCACGATCAGCACGACAAGAAAGCAGAAGTAATGTGTCTCTAGAAATCAGTCGCTTGCTGCTCTACACATTTTGGAGTAACGGTTGAAGTAATTCAGCACACTATGAAATCTAATAAATGAGACATTTTCATTTGACATGGACGACTTACTACAGTCAAAACATTGAAAAGAAAGTGCAGATGTATCATATGACCAGCTCGTAGAAAACTCAGCAGACAAGTCCTACATTCTTTCACTGTGACCCCCCCTGAACCCTTTATCTGGAGCCATAAGTAGCTTAAGGTCTCGTGCTATATCGAGATCCATGATGAATGCACTTTGACGGAAACGGCTGCAAAGAGAACAAGGAGCCCCAAATGATGAAGTCAACATTCCTGCTCGTAGCTGGTACATTAAAGTTAACATTAAGGTTTTACTTATATCTCTATAACGCTTTAGGTCCTTCTTTCGGGGGTGCCAAAACAAGCTCAAGCTGGGTCAGTTGCTATTGACATTGCAACAAAAGCTGAAACTCTGAAAAAAGTATTAATTGTGTTTTAGGTTCCTTTAGTTTTTGATGTTTACTCTCTCCATCCTGTCGTAAAGCTCTTCATAACGGTTTTTGAATGCTTTCAAAAATCTTTTTTTTTTTTTTAAAGGAAATGATTACCATCAAACCCACTCAGTTAAAGATTTGTAACACTACACAACTTTATATACACATATGAGTAAAATGGTTTATTAGCATTAAACTCACAACTTCCTGTAACATTTCCTCTTATCTCCCAATTTAAGGGGCCTACTACAAATCTATTGAAAGCTAATTAAAACTACGCAGCCCAATATATCAAACCTGCAATAAACACTACCTTCATGATGGGTCTAATGTTCACTTTTTGTTGAAATGTTCACTTGTAACTGTCATGAACCCATTTATCTGTAAAGGCATCCTCTTAACTTTTGATTATTGATCTTTTTAATTATTTGTGTTATTTCTATTTTGTTAGTGGTACCTTTTCTCATACCGTTTGAAGCTCCTTTGCTTTTTAAACGTTTGTCTGCCATTTTGTACCTTGTTAAGCACTGTTTTTTAGTTTTACTACTAAACTTTATGATCTTCCTGTAAACCGTAATCTGTAGTCCTGCTGAATTGTATTGAGTATTATTTCCTGCCATAACAAGTCAAAGCGTCTGCATCACTGACTTGTTGCCCAACTTACTGATATTGTTATTAAAACAGCCTGACTCCAAAACTTGAGTCAGTAAATGATTTCTGTGTCATTTAAAAACAGGTCACACAAGTTACACAGCCGAGCAAAACCACACTGCAAGAGATGCAGATTGTGTCAGCAAACTTCTGCAGACTACTATCAGGTTCATCTGATGACTTCTCATTAAGCTCCAATCGGAAACAAGAAAAAGCACTATCTCCTGAAAAGCCAAATGTTCTAATGAAAAGCAAATGTTCATGCACATGTCTAGTATGTTACACAGTGTGGTGCTAAAGCTACCTCTTCCAGTCCTAGCAGCTGGGAAGGGAAAGCAAGCTCTGATGACGGAGTACAATCTGATATGTTGCGCAAGAATACATATAGTGTGGTTAACAAAAAAAACGTTAAGTCTATTAACCTATTTACTGGGTTTCATTTACCTTTCAATTTGAGTCAAGCAGAACTTAATGTGTCCCTAAAGGGGCGATTGATTACGCAGCAGGAAAAACAGTAATATCATAAAGCCAAATACCCACACAAGTGGTACATATGTTATAAAATACGTTTTTAAGGAGCATGTTAAAATGGTTGGCAAGGTTGTAAAAGCAAACACATTCAGTTAGACTTTGAAGAGAATGCCTATTATTTCATAATGCAAATACTTTCATGAAATGTATGACTTTTCTTTCGCAATTAGTTGATTGTGCAACACCTTGGACAAGCCACATCTGCAATAACCAAGCCTCTTGTGATTATATACAAACCAGCAATTACAATGTTGGTCAGGAAGCTAACAAGATCACATCATTGCCATGTTTTTATAAATTAAGTTCTGATCATTTTATTACATTTGCTCAACTGAAATGCATCTATAGATACCTACACAACCATCATGTCTTCAGGCTCAGTAACACATGGAGCATCCATCAGGAATTATAATCCTGATGTGAATACTCATTATGACAAACAGCTTCTTCTGTTCGGGACGAAAATAGGGAGTTTTAACCCTTGCCTCCAGAACTCAAACTGGATCCTGACTGGGTTTATTTTCAACCCAAACCGAGACCATTTTTTCAAAAAGGGACCATTCATGCAGTCAGGAATAATCCTGTGCTTCTTGTTTTAGTTTGTGTTATTTTGTCTTTGTTGAGCTCTGAGTTTTGTGTTCTATTGTATATATAACTATGTTTTGTTCTTTTCTGTTGAGAACCTGTGATATTGCTTGAGTCCTTAATTAAGGAAGAATTATATAAGATCTATAAAACAAACGTATCAAACACTAACCCTTTGTTATCCTTGATTTCTGAAAGAACATTTTCATTCACCGTAGAGGCATGCTAGGAAAAACACGTTTTCTTCAATAATTCAATGTAACACTTGATGAGTGTCGCACAATATATACAACTTTAAAAAAAACTTAATATGAACAATTGTAAAATTGAAGTTAAAAATGTGTGCACCCAGCCTGAGAACAATTTCCTGAGAGTTACAGCTGCAGTGCAGAACAGAGGAATATACCTGACATACTGTAAATCTCTCAAATTGTGGAGGTTAAACTCATTCGGATTAAGAGTAAATGCCATTGGGCAGTCTCAGGTTTCCCACAGCCTTTTAACAGAAAACAAACGAGGCTCTGTCAGATTAAGGTGTCACATAGTACAGTTCTGCCTTCATAGGAAAGGGCCTCCCAAATATCTGTGTAACACTTATCTTAAAGTTATTCGTTTCATTAAAAACAACAAAGGGTTAGGGTTTGCCTATTACAAAACCAACAGCTACACATCATTTACGATCATCCTGACATTTCAACTTGCAGGATGTGTGGAGGTGTGTTGCGCTTTCACAAGAAATTGCATCTACCACAATCACTTAATACAAATTAGAAACTAGCAACAGAAACTGAACAAACTGAAACAGGTTTAATCTAATTAAAAGTTCATTCGTGGAGGCCTCCCAAATTAAAATCTAGTACTTACCTACTTAATTGTACTGCATTTAAATACTAGCAGCGCTATACATCAATATTACATTGTCATCAGATATTAGAATAGATATCATTTTAGTTTTTTGATATTTCTTGTTTTAACGGCTGAATCACAGTGAAGTAATGTCGTTTTCTATCTCAGATTGTGAACAGTATCAGAGAGACATTGTTTGTTTGTCTTTATTATTCTAAATTAAAATGTAGGTCTATTTGTAGTCTATTTTAAAGTATGTGTTCCACTAGGTATTTACATCATATTGTTGCAAGAGAGTAATCAATTGTTTTTATGTATGTGTGATAATGCTAAAGGTAAAACACTTGTCAATTGTACTCAAGTTGATTGACAGATACATATTATTCTTAATGTCCTTTGCATGGGGAGATGTCCTGCTTTTCTCTGTTTCATATCGTATCAAACTGAATATTTGGGGTTTTGGACGGACAAAAAGTCATCACCTTGGACTTTGAGAACCAGGATGAAGCTTATTTACTATTTTCCAAAATGTTCTATATACAAATATTAATCAATTTATCTTGAAAACAATCAGCAGATAAATAATGACATGATTGTATTTAAAACAATTATATTCATGATTTTATAATTGCATTTCTAATTTAGATTTTGCGGCAATTCTTTATATCATCTGTCTTGAATTGTCTGTCTGTATTTTTACATGTTTAGGCAAGGACTCTTGAAAGGGATGTTTTATCTCAATGAGGCTTTGCTTTTTAGATCAAGTATAACTAAACCTTAATCTACCGTAATACCTTTTGGCATTTTGTCCCGCGGTGGGAGTCAGACCAGCAAACACTAAAAGCTGTAATCCTTTCCCAGGGAGAAGTGGAAGACCCACCCTGGGCAGCTGTCCAACACAGAGGCTCCTTGGAGAAATCCGGTTGTGTGCATACCATAAACTAGAAAGGGTGCAGCAGCACAATAATGACGTGCACATTAGAATAAAATAATATGATCAGTTATTTTGGCACCATGTTTCTTTAAAGTTACTGGCTGCCAATGCTCTAACTGTCTGCTCATTAAAATACCTTGAGAGGGTTTATCTGCAGCAGCAGCAGCGCCAGGCAGTACCAGGCACATCAAACTCATTCTTCACAAACATCGGTAGAACAAGTATTCAGTACTAACACCGCCATGTGAAAATACTCAACTACAAGTCAAAGTCATGCGTTCAAGCCTTACTTAAGAAGTGGTATGTAAGTGTTTAGCCAAATGTACTTAAAGTTAAACTCATTATATATGATGTTTTTGGATCAATATATAACACCTGAATTAATGTGTAAGTTGCATTTTATTGCTGTAGATGTTGTGTTAAAGTTACCTCCTTTATATAATCAATGTATCTTTGTGTCCAGTCCAGTTTTCAGCTTTGTTACAAACAATGCATTGTTCAGCTGTAGTGCTTTTGATATGCTTTATTTAACTTAAGAGGTCCTCAACCCATAAAGGAAACACTTTATCCTTTAGATAAAGTGTATGAAAACCTGGAAAGTAACTAAAGTTGAGACACAAATGTGGTACAAAATAGTAGCCTACTATATTTACTCCTGAGGTGTAGTGGACAATGCCACTTCAAATGAAGACCTGTACAAACATTAAACGTAAATAACCAAGTAACGAACCCTTAGGCCTACCTTGAATTTGTACTTAAATATAAGCTACTTAGTCACTTTCCACCACTGCCAACAGACCTACAGTCTATGTCACAAACACACACTCAAATCGAGTAACCGAAACAAATGTAAATGAATGTAATGACCCTCAGCAGGTCTTCATGTGGCTGTCCTGTTAAGTAACAAAATATCACTTTGTTTTACTTTAAGACTTAACAGGATGCCAGCTTCCTCTGTCAGACATACGCAGTGAACATATTGATGCAAACAGCGTTATAAACGTTTTAAAAAAAAAACTGCAGTCCAGTCCCGAGAAACCAAATGTTTTATTTGTATAAACAATGGTGTTTAGTGTGGGATAAACAAACAACTCTTACAGGAGGATAAGGCAGGTGTAACATTGTTCCCTACGCCACGTTATTGTTAATGTTTGAGGGGTGGATTTAACAAGTTTGGAGGCAGAAAGTGTGTAAGAGATGCAGATAATCGAGTGAATTTAAGTTGTTAGTGAACTTTCAGCCCCTCGCTAACTCCTGACAGATGCTACAGACCGATTTCTTCGATTTCCTGAAAACATGTGAACATACTCACCAGCCCCGGGGCGTTGCTGCTGCGCACTGAGTCCCGCTAGTAAAAGTTAAAAAAAGTTTTACAAAGTTACAGTTTTAGACTTTAGATAAGCGGATAAATGATAACTTCACTCTCTCCGTCGCCTCTGGGCCAATAGTTGAGATGAGCTTCATTAACACTGAACGCCTGCTTCACTTCCCGTGGAGAAACAGCTCCTCCTCACTGAGCCGCTGCAGGGAGCCTCCGTTACTGCAGCACTACATCTAACGCAGGGGTGTCCAAACTACGGTCCGGGGGCCAAATGCGGACCATTTTGAATCGGCCCTCAGCAAAGTATGATGAAATATGGCCACAAATGAAACTTCTGCTTGTATTAGGCTACTTCTTAAATATAAATGTTCAAATATATTACACAGTATTCATGTGTTAACAAGACCACTTTTCTAATAAATTCAGTCAATTAAAGTTGACAATATTTTCTAACAAATCTAAGTTGATAACAAAAAAGCCCAATAACACATTTACATAACAACCTTGAAATATACCTTTCGTATTTCCTATAATTATAATCAATCTGAGGCATCTGTTTTAAGGAATGAGCTGCCAACACTTATTGTAACAAAATATATGATGGAGAGCTGTGATGGAGGCTGTTATTTTCTTAAAGCATTTTCAAGTATCAAGAATGGTTTACATTTAATTGATTTTTCCAACTGTTAACTGCATTTATGAGGCAATATACCTCACCTCTAGGGAGTGGCCACACCTTTCGTATAATTTTCTGTATGTGGCCCTCGGTGAAAAAAGTTTGATCTAACGCAACACATCTCACAGGGACATAAGCTGGGGTGGAGAAGTACTCAGATCTTGTGCTCAACTAAAAGTAGAAGTACCAGAGTGTAGGAATACTCTGTTACAAGTAAAAGTCCTGCAATCAAAATATGACTCATGTAAAAGTAGAAAAGCATTAGCATCAGAAAAGTGCCAAAAGTAAAAGTACTCATTAGGAAGATTGGCCCATTTCACAATCTTATATAGTATATGTTCTTATAGTAATTATTTATGCATTAAAGTGTGATAAATGTGCAGCTAGTTTGACTTTGTATACTGCAGGGTAGCTTTTTTTATCTTTTAAGTTTTTAATGCTATTTTATTTATATTTCTAAATCTGAAATATATTGGACTGTTTATTTTTTGTGTCTTAGTTTCTCTTACATTGCTTTGTGTTTTTTATGTTGCTGAAACGTAAACATTTCCCAAGATCAATAAAGTACCTATCTATCTATCTATCTATCTAGCTTGTGAATTTACTCCAGGTGTAACTAAAGTCTTATTTAAGTGTTGCTTATATCTCACATAATAATCAGAATCTACAAAGTAGGTACATAATAAAAGTATTGGAGGAAAAGTATTTACGATTTACCTCTGAATTGTACTGGGGTAGAAATACAAAGTAGCATAACATGGAAATACTCAAGTAAAGTACAAGTATTTCAAAATTGTACTTATCTACAGTACTTGAATAAATGTACTTAGTTACTTCCCACCTCTGAAAATGAGCATGTACTTTTTATCACACACATTCTACCTGACATTTACTTCAGTAAAACACGTTCTTCTTTTAATAGTAAACCATCTTCAGGTTGAGAAACAATCATGCAATCTTACTGTAATTGAAATAAAAGTAGGCCTACACACATATCAACATCAGAATATATTTATAAATATATATTTTATTACATTTCTAGGTATTTCACTCACTATAGGCTTATCTCTGAAAATCCTATAGGACAATAAAACACGATATTTACTTACAAATACAAATCTCTTCAAGGAGACAATGACAACTAGTTAATGGTTACGTGCCCGAACTACTTTCAATGTATTATAATTCATATGAATGTATTTAATTTTGAAGAACAAAATGTGGACCAAAAATTATGCGTATTTTTACAGTTAATCCCTGTTGCAATGTAAATCTCAGAGGGAGTTCATGACTAAAGTATTGTACTGTGCATTGTTTCTTGTATTGTTGTATTTTCATTGTAATTTTTAGCACTTTGAATACAATTTTGCAAGAGAGGCACTATACAAATAAAGTTTTTACTTTACAGCACCGCAGGACTTTAAGTCATATTTATTGGCATATTTAGAAAAATATTAAGCTTTTTTGTTTTAATAAAGCCAAAATGCAACATAATTTCTCTATATATTCAATAAATCACATACAGCATTGAGAGTTTGTGTGCTAACTGATTTGATGAATGTGAGTTACCCTTTGAAATGATTGGAGATAAAAACAAACATATAAAACAAAACTTTTGACACATCATTTTGAAATAGATGATTGTCAGAGAATAATTCTTCCTTACTCCTAAGATATTTAACCTTTCTGCCTGTTGACGTGTATGACCAACCCTGGCTCTGTTATCTCCCGTAAGGAATGTGCTAATGCAGTCATATGTTGATATTTCTCAGTCAATGACCGGTCAACTCTCGGTCACAGAGCCTAAGAGTCAGACAAGTGATTGAGTGTCTCCAGATGTTGGGGCTATCTCCAGTGTTCCCAGAACTCTCTGTAAACTAGTTAAAAGGTCTATCGAGAGAGAGGCTGGGCAGAATTGATGTGGCAACCCACCCGTGCAGTCAGAACCTCTGGCTGCTGTGACTTGTGATGTGAAATTCTCCGGCCGATACTTATAATAAAACACCAGTGTTTGACATCAAAGCTCCAACTCTCCTCGTGTCTCTCTGAGTCCTGACTCTCCATTGCTGCAGAAGTTTCCCTTACAATGATTATTCAAGACGTGAAATTATTAAATGTTTTATTTTGTAAATGAACAATCACACAAAGGACCCCAAAGAAGCATAAATCCATGCAGGTCTTTGGTTCAGCCAGAAGCCTCTCATGTTGATCTCCTGGTTTCTGTCTGTGAAGTATTTCCTTGAAGGGGTGAAATATATAAGTCTGTTTCTTTTGGTGTCTGTGGCACATCCTGGTTTTGTTGTTCTGAGGTCTTCGGCTCCAGCTGAGGTGCAAAAACAGGGCTGAAGATATAAATACCACCAGCGACTCCAACCAGTGTGGCGAAGAGGACATCTGCAAAGGGTATTCTCCTTCGAAACATGACTTCTTTTAATATGAAAACCCAATTTCCAAACACAGGATGATTCTGAAAGAAGAGTAAAAAGTTGTTATCCAAGACAGTTGATTTAGATACTTTGAATTATAACTATTATTTGTGCACCCCCTTTGCTCTGTTGAATGTTACATGTTCTTGCAAAAATGTTAAGCATAACTTGCAGCATGTATGTTGTCAGCTACTCTTCATGCAGTGCAAGGTAGCTGTGTTGCTGGACTGAATTGTGTGTTTTGAGGTTGGATTTCCTGTTCTATCATCCTCAGAGAAACTGGTGCAAGATTGTTTCCAAATTACCATTCAAACCCGAAGCCAAGACACATATCACTACAATCCAAGGAGGACTGACGTTGATCCCGAAACTGAACAATGTCCCTTCACATTAGCTGGTATTTTTAGGAATGTATACTTGTATAAAAAAATGCTTAATGGCAGATGTACCTGTAAAAAAAACTCTAATGGAAGTAATTGATCAAACATCGACATTTTGCACGGGAAAAACTCGCCTATGGACTCCCAACTGATACAGATCAGATATGGAAGAACATATATTACTTTATCATAAGAGCAAACAATAGCCTAAATACTTTCGATTTTGTAAAGAAGATACAGTAGTGGGAAATTCTACTATTTTTTCCTATTTTCCCATAATCAGAAACTAATAAATGCCTTACAACAGATTTTGTAATGTAGTCTGAATGGCTCAGTTGTGCAGTTTCTTTGGTGTCAAACAACATACATCCTGATTCATAAGCCTTCCGTTATACCTTATGGTTTTCAAAAAACATTAAAAAAGTGATCTCTAACCTGACATTGATTTACATTTAGACATTTAAACGAGTCTTATTTTGAAAAAAAAACCGTAAATGCACAAACAGCCTCTGAAAGCTTGACCGTTTTGTAACCATTTGGCGGCTAAAAACAACTCAAACATGACAATTTAACTGGTTTAACAGCGATGTTGTCATATTTCTAAAAACTCACCGAGGAAGCGGTTTGTTCAAAGTGTCTTGGATCACCACATTCAGACAGACAGGAGAACACAGAGGTGAAAACACAAGATATATAACTGCAAGGACACCAACGAGCAGCAGGGCAGGCAAGCTCTCTTCTTCTTTTTCTGTCGTGAATTCTGACTGAACAGCAGCGCGCGTTAGTCCGCCACCTAGTGGAGGAACGTGGGAAGAGCAGAATAATAATAATAATAATAACTAAATAATAATATGCAGCATGCTGTATATAAATATATATCAATAACAAATAATACATACATAAATACTAAAATAATAGTAATACTACTACTACTACTACTACAATTAATAATAATAATAATAATTGTTTCAAGAAATATCAAATTAAAATTAATGTTGGTTACATTTTTGTTTTCAAAATGTCCTTTTGCGTGCATGAGAAAAGCGCACGAATATCCTGTCAGTCACATTACAAAAGGTGAAGGGTCCCCTTCAAATTTCAGTCTCTAAAACATATATATATATATATATATATAAAATCTGCAACCGGTTAAACTTGTGAATACATTGAGTGTACTGTAAGTAGAAAAATGGCCCATCTGTTACTAAAGCATATGATCCAACAACACAATGCAGGATCCCTTTATTTTGAAATCAGGAATCAGAGTTCCAGCGGAAGTAAGTCTGAGTGCGGAAGCGCAGTCAACATAATACCACAGTTCTGTGATACTGAAGTTAATGTGGATTAATCGTGTTTTAGTTTAAGATGTGAAAGTTTAATACCGTGGGATCAATAAACGGAAGCAGTGTGCAGACTGTCCACACGCAGCGCCCAGCCAATAACTATCACCTTACGTCATTTCGAGTATTTAAAAATAGTAACATTGTGTTGAAGAGTTGACTGAGCACACCTGACTGACTGAAGTCCTGACAGGTGTCCTGCAGCAGACACTATGTCCTGATGGAGAACATCCGATCGCGTCTAAATATTGGGAATAAAGTGGAAGATGTGAAACTGCGGAAACGAAAATCGCAACTATACTCAAAGGAAGATGAAAACATTCTTAAGGACGGTGGGTTCATCTTTGTATGTCAGACAATGGGGACTAAACAACTAATCATAAAACAAATCAAGTGATATATTAATCATGTCCTCCACAGGGGAGCTGAGAAGAGTGGTTCTGTTTTCTGTGGCCTTCAGACTGATAAACTGCTTGTTGGTGCAGACCAGCTTCGTCCCTGATGAGTACTGGCAGTCTCTGGAGGTTTCCCATCGGATGGTCTTCAAATATCCTTTACATTAAGTATTACCTGCAGATATGTGCCTCTACTTACTATGCATTATTATTGTTAGAGCAGTGCTAAGTCAAGTCTGTTTATACAGGAAAAAATGTACAGGTCAGTGGGCTTCAAAATAAAATAAAATCAATCATAATCTTTTTATTATTCTTCCTCTAAATTAATACATTAGCTTAAAAAAGCTCTTGTTTGAATGTTCACAGAGCACATGAAAGGGTATTGCATATGTTTGGATAACATAAATGACATTAAACACCATACAAGATAACAAGGTATTACAATAAAAAGGAAATAGGATAAGCCATAATTATTGTTAGTATTATAACCATTATTACTATTCTTAACATAAATAATACTTTTACTTTTTGTCTTGACAAACTTTAGTTCAGGTTGTAGATATTTCATCAACCCAATAAAATAGTATAAATTAAAACAACAAGTTACATTAAAAGGAACATCTCAAATCTGACACCTGCTGAATGGAAGCAGATTCTTTTTTAAATGTTTGTTCTATCCCTGTATCCTGATGGAACCTTAACAGAGTGACTTATGGGTATCTGACCTGGGAATGGAAGGAAGGGATAAGAGGATTCACCTATCCGCTCTTCTTTGCATTCATATACAAGATATTACACTTCCTAAACTACGACTCAGTCTTTCTCCTGGTGTGTTCACAGACAACTTCAATATTGCATGTCTTTGAGCAAATATTTTTTCTTTTGTCCCTTCGTTTCACTAATCCTGGTCTGTTTGGTTCTGCAGATATGGCTACCACGAATAATTCAAGCACTCTTCGCTGCTTTTGCAGATGTAAAATTCTTCTACCTCATCCGAACTTTGGAAAGTCATGACGTTGCAAAATGGACGGTAAGGAGTTCACCTCGGTTTTTAAGGAAATGTACAAGTTACAGCTTGCGCTGGATTGGTTTGTGATAATCTTATTTCCTCAGATCAAAAGACATATATAACTTTTCAATTTCCAACTTTTCTAAACTTAATTCAGACATAATTAACTAGCAGCATTTTATAACAACAGAGCCAGTCTGGGCTTATGTGACCTGAAAACATGTTTGGGCAGATTGTTGCAAAATGGATTGCAACCTTTTTTTACTAGTTTCTCAACAGCTGACTCCTGGAGAATCTCAGTGTTGCTGAGTGGAGAACAGATTACAGGCACAATATGTCTCACACACAGATAGAAAACCTTAAAGTTAAAATACAAATATCTAGCTACAGTATGAAATAAAACCACTACATGTAATATTACAGCTAGATAAAATGAGTCTTTGTCATGGGGAAATCATGTAATTCATATTAAACATGAATTCAAACCACTATGAATACATGTTGCAAATGATCCTTGCTTTCTTGGCTATTCAGTATACATTTCAAACTAATCCAGTGGCTAGTAAGAAATTGGTGAGGCTTTAAATACACAGTTTAAAAGTTTAGAACTAAACATATATTCAGGGTAGAACCATTTGATTTCTCCCATTAATGGATATGTTTGTCAGGATGCATGACATGAGCTGGGAGGTTATGCTGGGTTGCTAAGTAATTCAAATCAAATCAAATCAAGTTTTATTTATATAGCACATTTATAAACGATTTTTGGTCGAGCCAAAGTGCTGTACATATAATAAAAATAGCCTACAGTAGAGACACTTTACAGCAAATACAACAACACAGATTGTTCAGAATATCAGTATGAGATAACAACACCCTCTATCCTTAGACCCTCACATCGTACAAGGAAAAACTTCCAGAGAAAACCCACAGTTTGAGGGGAAAAAATGGGAGAAACCTCAGGGAGAGCAACAGAGGAGGGATCCCTCTCCCAGGACGGACAGACGTGCAATAGATGCCGTGTGTAAATCGAAGAGATAATACATTTTACAGCATATAGACCGAATGTTAGGAAATGCATGTGTCTGTAATAAGAAGATGAATCCACGAGGATGTCAGCTACAATCCTGTGGAAGCCATCAGGGAAGCAGCATGACGAGACCCAAGGCAGGACCGCAGAGACAGGTTCAGCCACGACCCGAAGTCCACGATTTAATCCAGAACTCAGGATAGAGGATCCAAGACACAGGACTACAGCAAGAGGATCAGCCTCGACTCCGGTTCCCGGCGTAGATATAGATACAAAACAAGAAAAAAGATTTGGCTGGGTTAATCGGAACAAGAGAATACACAGACACAGACAGAGAGGGAAAAGGTCATTGGATAAAAGTTATTCTTGATAACCCTCTAGAAAGATCTCATGAACTTCCCCACTCAATCTATCAAGACCCGAGCAGTTCTATTAGATATAGATAAGAAACAGAGATAGGGAGCTCAGGTATTGATGGGTTGGCTATTGCCCTTATACAACACAAGGAGGCCCAATGAAATGCAGTTGCAATTAGTCCACTATGTTACATAAGCAAACATGACAAAACACAACAGCACAAACTCACAGTAAGGCACCGACCAACTTCATATCATCCTCCAATCAGATCTTTCTTTGTGTTCAGATCATCCCAGGTTTTTGTACGTTCATACAGGACTTTATCACTTCTCCTTGTTTTGTTTGTCTCCAGTTCTTCTGCCACATGTGCTCGTGGTTCTCTTGGTTCTGCTGCACCAGGACCCTCACCAACAGCACGGAGACCACCCTCACCTCTCTGGCTCTCTTTTACTTTCCCCTCCCAAGATCCAAAACTCACAGCAGGTTTGGCTTGTGACTTCATGTTTAATTAATCCCCCTATCTTTATAAAGATTATTTACTAACAGTGTCTCTCCAGCAAAATATACCTGAGCCTGGTCGCCCTGGCAGTCATCGTCCGCCCCACGGCCCTGATCGTCTGGTTCCCTCTGCTGATGTACCATTTCTGGCAGGAGAATGACAAACTGAGGCTCATCACTCATACCGTTGTTCCTATAGGGTGTGTGCTTTATGTCTCCCATCATCTCATCATACATTTCATCCATGTCTCTTTATTGCATGATTATTTTTCTTTCTCTCATTTCCAGAGCTGTGGCTGTTGTGATTTCAACACTGATCGACTGCATATTTTATGGAAAGGTAAAAAATATAATCAGAGCTGCAACAATTAGTTGATCGACTGAAAAATGAGCACCAACTATCTACAAAAAAATGATCTGTTACATTTTTACTTTATTGTTAAACCATATTAAACTATACATTGAAAGACATCACATTGAACTTTAAGGAACTTGAATAAACATGTTTCTCTATTTTCTGTAACTGGTTAGGCCAAACACTTAATCTCAAGAATAATCTGCAGATTTATTGATAATAATAAAACTGTTTTAATTCAGCCCTAGATAAAACCCATGTGAAGTTTAGATCGCATTCACAGCTGCTTTTTAAGTTTAATGTAACAATATGATTTAACTTTTTGTTTCTCAGTGGACCGTGGTGCAGTTTAACTTCCTGAAGTTTAACGTCTTCCACGGTGTGGCCGATTTCTACGGCTCTCACCCCTGGCACTGGTACTTCTCTCAGGGCTTTGCCGTGGTGATCGGTCCTCATCTTCCGCTCTTTCTTCACGGGTGCAGCCTCGCCTTCAAAAGATACAAAATCCTGCTGGCAGCGATCGTCTGGACTATCGTGGTCTACAGGTAAATGTCTGTGTTCACAATAAAAAAGGGAATATTAACTAAACAGCTGTGGGTCTAAAACTGACTTTACATAACTATATCTCCTTTCAAAAAATCCAAACTATCCCTTTTAAGACCCAAAATGTCCCTTTCCTCAGTTTGAGTAATACAGGTCCAGATCAGTCATGTTTTGCATCTTGACGGACAAACTAACCTGTTTTGATCTTCTCCTTCAGTTTGCTTCCTCACAAAGAGTTCAGATTCATCTACCCAGTGCTACCTTTCTGTATGATCTTCTGTGGTAAGTTTTCACATCCCACATGTATTTGTGATTACAGCCAGACGTGTGTTTTAATACTTCTTCTACTCCAGGGATATCTCTGGCCAGTTTGAAAGCGTGGCGGCGAGCTGCTGCCACCGTCCTGTTGGTGAGCAACCTGCTGGCAGCGCTGTACACCGGGCTGATCCACCAGCGAGGCTCTCTGGACGTCATGAGCCGCCTGCAGACGCTGTGTGACGTCAGAAACATCTCCACCATGCAGCCGGACGTCCTGCTGCTCATGCCCTGCCACTCCACGCCTTATTACAGGTAGAGAAGTGTTGTAAAAACTGCACACCCACAACTCTGATGCAAAACAGTTTTGAGTTATTCAACGTTGTTCAAAGCTTACAACGTTTCAAATTTAAAATCAGGAAACTTGTATAACACATTTGCACATGTAGAGCTCCAGAATAGCCGTTAAAAGGGAGGTGACGTTTATTTACATTAGTTTACTTACACTAATGTCCATTATTATTAGGGTTCGGTTCGGTATAGTTTACAATATGTTATTATCAATACCTTTTAGCAGAAATTGTAGCATTTCAGTTAAAGAATATTAACCGTTTTTTGTAAATAACCCTGTTCAAATAACTAATTAAAGGTGGGATAGGTAAGTTTGAGAAACCAGCTCGAGATACCCTTTTTGTTATATTCCATGGAATGCTCTTAACATCCCGATAGCAATGAATATCTTAAGTGCTTTGACAAAAAATCCATTAAAAAAACTTCATCTGTAAAAAGCACGACCAATCATTTTAGTCGGCCCGGCTAAAGTAACTGGATGGCCTACCTGCCTGTCAGCTTTCCATCTGTGCACAAACTTATCTCGTGCCCTCATTGGTCATGTGTGCGTTCGTGTGTATTGGAGGCATAGACTGGTTGGACGAGGGGCTCTGTAAGGAAGTGGCAGATTTTCTCCGGTTGTATTTTCAAATTCTAGCACACTCGAGCTGGTTTCTCCTAAATTACCTACCCCAACTTTAAGCGAAATGTATTAATACAACATTGTTTCAGTGAGTCTTTAATGTAATGTGCAGCTGTACAAAAATAAGCCTGCATACAAAATAAACATTAAGAATAGTGATTTATAACAAGAGTAAGGCCAAGCTGTGACCTAAGTTTTTCATTGCCATATCTACACTGTAGCTAATGTGCAAATGACAATAGAGCCTTGAATTGAAGCTAGCAACATGTTTGTGTGTAGACTGTACCAAAGTTACATGCAGCAGCTGACTGCTCTCTTTGTGGCTCTGCAGCCACGTGCACTGCCCGATGAAGATGAGGTTCCTCGAGTGTCCCCCGGACCTCGGAGAGGAAGGTCACGTCGATGAAGCAGACCGGTTCTACGAGGACCCGCTTCACTGGCTCAGAACCTCATTTCCGTACAAATCTTCTCTACCAACCCATCTGGTTCTGTTTGACGTTTTGGAGAAAGTGAGATCTTCAGTGTATTTATGTTATCTATTTGTCTAAATGAGTGTGAGATTTGTATTTATGTAATGTGTTTTTTTGTTGCAGGAAATATCCGTGTTTTTGCAGGGGAATAACTTTGTGAGGACAGCAGAGATGTTTCATACTCATTTCCCCGAGGGGAGAGTTGGAGGGAGCATCTTTATATATGAAAGGCACTGACACTGGAACAATGGATCCTGAATGAGATTGCTACTGAAATAAATGGTGTCATTTTTCTCTTCCAGTAATTTCTTTCCCAACACTACACACAAATAAAAATAAAACTCAGATCCAGTAAAAATAGGCTTCATGTGGAATGTTAGAACATAGCATCTTTACAATGAAAGCAAACTCAGTCATACACATCTGTCTCTGTAGCAGCGAATTAAAACAACTCCTACAAATACTTACAAACATTCATCTTAAAATAAGCTCTGCATTCCCAATAAACATTTTTAAACATTATGTGCTGTGGTTGAAGGTGAGTGTTAATGGTGTTTACCCATCTTAAACTCAAACGTAACAGCTTCTTCAAAACAGCAAAAACAGCTCAAGAAACTTCAGTAGCATTAAAAAGTTAACATTGTGCAAACAAGTTGGACATAGCAGGTAAATACAACTCAAAATGGAATTGGCTAATCAAATATATTATCAATATTTGGGATCAAACGGCAGCGGACCCAGTTCTATTTTGACGTCGGCCATGTGTCGGTCTGCGTCTCTTCCTGAGCGGCTCGACGTGCGCTCGCCGTGCGGTCGGGGTCTCGCTCTCTGCTTCCGCTGCTGATGCTTCGCCTCCTTGGGTCTGTGTCGGGTCCTTCAAACGGCCCGCTGCGTGGTTCAAAAACAAGACATCAAAAGCATGAATAATACTAGTATTTTGTGTTTAACTTGAATAAATGAGCACTAAAGAATGGAGGGATCCTAACTGCAATGACAAACTCCCATGATCCCTTGCACACAACCAAACTCTGAATGTTGTGATTGTTGAAAAGGAGAACCCACAGCGTCAGAAAATTACAAATCTTGCGTCTGAAATTACAACTTTTTCCTGCTTTAACTTATCATTATGAAGTTCATTGCACAATGTAATGTCTCAAGGATAATGACATCATCTGTGCTTAGATTTGTAAAATGCAATCCCGTCTGCAAGAGGGAACGATCTTCCAGAAAATAAGTCTCTTCCCTTAAGGTTCCTGCACATTTCTGATGGCCAGGAAATTCACCACTTTCCAAACTTCACTGTAGATTCTTCCGACCACTTGTCTTGCATTTGCCCTCCCATGATTTACCATGGCTGCCTCCCACTTCTTTAAGATGTCAAATGATTTCATATAGATGGAATCCAACTCTCTTTTCCTATTTGGCATTGTAATGAGCACTCCGCTCTGCACCAGCCAAACGGCTCGCTGCACCCGCACTGCGAGGGGGACCCAAGTTCCCATCAGCAAAAACATGTCGGTTTGCTGTCCTGGCTCCAAGATGGTGGAATGAGCTCCCCATTGACATCAGGACAGCAGATAGCTTGCACATCTTCCGGCGCAGACTGAAAACTCATCTCTTTCGACTCCACTTCGAGCGATACAATTACTAACAAAGCACTTATATACTAATAAAGGACTGGCTTATCTAAAGCCAAACGAGTAGCACTTTAAATGTTTTGTCTCTATGAAACCTGATTTACTTATATGATTCTGTTTTATTCAAGTTTCTATCTTCTTGGTCGAATGTACTTATTGTAAGTCGCTTTGGATAAAAGCGTCAGCTAAATGCAATGTAATGTAATGTAATGCCCTCAGAAAATGTTATTTATGTAAACATTGTGGCGGTTTGATACAAAGTCCTGAAAGAAGCTCTCGGCAAAAGAGCCCTGAACTGCAAATACTTACTAGGATAGCTATTCATGTAATCAATAAGATTTAAGTTTAGAAGTGTACCAATTACACCAAATGTTTTTCCCCCAACATCAGATCTTCTTGTATAACTGGAAAACTCTTTCGGACGATTAGGAATGAGAATGACGTTCCACAGAAAGCTTGGACTTATTCCCTAATTAAGATGGGCTACTTTTTTAAAAAGATAATTGGGACTTACTTTGGGCCGTGGCTTTTTCTGTAACCCTTTCCAAAGAAGTGCCGGTAGACGAAGTCGTCGAGATCTCTGAACACGTCGTCGTCGAGGCCTTGATACTCGAGCATTTCTCTCAGGTAGTTTTCCACGCCGCTGACAAAGTCCGTGAAAAGCATCCGGTCGTGGATGAACACGCCGTTGTGGAAGAAGTTGTTGATGAACTTCTCGAGCTCCTTCCAGTGGTGGAAGTGGTCGACTTCCTGCTGCAAGTAGCTCCGCAGCAGCTGGTTGAACTCGTCCGCTCTGATTGGATCCATGGCTTTGTCGAAGAGACTCCTGGACTCCTGGAAGGCGCAGTCGAACACTCCCGAGCATCCTTTGAAGTTTGCCTTGTGGGAATCTTGACCTCCATCTCTGTGAACTTTATCTCCTGATTTACGGGTGTTGTGGCTGCTCGCCTGGTGTGTGCGCTGCTGTGTGTTGTGAGTGGATCTGTGCTGCCACGCCTCCTTTGTGTTCTTCTCGCCACGTCTCTTCTCATAAAAGCCTCCCGCATTTTTAAAGAGGGTCGAGGCAGAGTCTTTGAAGTTTCTGAACGTTGATTTGACGGAATCTGAAAACTTCCTCAGGTTTTCCTTCACGGCTTCCTTTGCTTTCTTTATCTGCTCTTTGTGGTGATGGACGAACTCCTTGGTGGAGTTTTTCACAGCGTCAAATGTCTCTTTAACTTTTCCTGCCGTGCCCCCTTTCTGACTTTTGACTTTGGGCTCCGTGTCTCCTTTAGCTCTTTCCTCTTTGGTTTCCAGGTAGAGCCTCTCCCACAGGTCGGAGCGCTGCTGCTCGAAGCTCAGCCTCTTCTCCAGCTCCGTCAGATGGGCCTGGAGCTCCTCTGTCTCTGCCTCCTGATTGGCTCTGGGGAAGAGACCCCTCAGCTCCTCTAACTCTCTCCTGAGCTCCTCTGTAACTGTTCTCTGCTTGTTGAGCTTCTTCCTCAGTGTCTGGGTTTCAGCCATCATGTCTACCCTCTGGCTGTGAAAGCTGCGGACCAGCTGTTTCTCCCCCTCCAGCTCGTCTAACAGCCTCTCGTTTTCAGAAAGCAGCACGTCAGCACCGGCTCTCATCGCCTCCTGATCTCTGAGCTTGTTCAGCTCCTCCTGCAGGGCGGCTAGTGACGCTTCTTTATGTTGTAGGGAGTTCATCAGCAGAATGTTCTCAGCGGTCAACAGGTGCTGCTCGGACACCATCAGGTCAGTCTGCTCCTTCTCTCTCAGCAACATCTCCAGCTCCTCTCTCTGGGCCTGAAGGGAAGAGAGGAAATGTTATGGCTTATAAAGCGGTGTTTAAATGATGATTGAATGTAATGAAATATTGGTACCACTTTACAATAAGACTACCCTTATAAAGGATTCATAAAGGGTTCATAATTAGGTTATTAATTAGGTTGTAAACACTTTATTAATCATTAACAACCATTTATAAACCAGTTCTAACATAGTTTTCATACATCAACACAGGCTCACTATTTGGTAAGATGACTAAGCCTTATATTAGCGAGAATCAACTCAGTGAACAACAGATACCAAGGATGCTGGCTGATGAAGAACACGAAGTAAGCTAGGTAGCAAATATAAGGCCTAGTCATCTTGCCAAATAGTGAGCCAACATTTATCTGTACTGCTAAGTCTTATATTGGCTATCTAGCTTTCTTCGTCTTCTTCATCAGCCAGCATCCTTGGTATCTGTTGTTCACTGAGTTGATTCCCCCCCCTTCCATCTTGATGTGTCTTGGCATCTCTTATGACCATTTATTTACGACTTACTAACATTTATAGTTGCCAAAAGGGAGCCTTGTAAAGTGTAAAACACATTCCCATTTATTAATGAGTTACTACCATTTATAATAAGGCTTAGCAGTACAGATAAATGTGGGCTCACTATTTGGCAGGCAACCGGTCACAGTTGCCCTGTTTATCGCATGTCTTATAAAAGCTTATTAATGATTTATAAAGTGTTCACAACCTAATTAATGAATGAATTACAAACTATTCGTAAACCTTTTATAAGGGTAGTCTTATTGTGAAGTAGTCTTATTGTGAAATATCATTCGGCATTAGAGCATTAAATCAAAATGCAAAAATGCAAGAGAGAGTTTTCCACCCATAACTGGGGCCGTGGAATGAAGTGAAGAAGTGACCTGAATGAGAACCTGTTGGATGTGGAGCTCTTCTCCCTCACCTGTGAGAGCAGTGAGTTCACTTCTTGCTGATCCAGATCATCCGCTCCAAAGTCAACAATCTGGCCCTGAGAGAGAACAACAAGAAACACGTTATGGCCAAATGAAAGTCTTCCTAATATAATATAATCTTATGCTCAAAAATAGGTAATAAAAGTCAAAGCACGGGTTGATGAATGACATGAACAGAATGAGTTAGTTATGTGTTCATGTACATACTGCTACACATGATGTTGTGATCTCTGTACTCTCTGACCTGGTGTTTAAAAGGTTGTTCTCGAACATGTCGTTGAATCAGATCCATCACAACATCGAGTTCATTCACTCTGATTTCCTCCCCTGGTTTCTGCCTTTCTTTAATCTGGACTGAACCTGTAACACAAACACATTATTTACATTTGTATTCACACACACACATTAGGATTAGCATAGTTGGGCTACAGGGCTCAGTATATGTTCCTCGTCTCACCATAGAAGTGTCCAAAGCCCGCACTGAAGGCTATGACGAGGGCGATCAGGATGCAGCTGCTGAGGATGCTGCTGCCCTTGCCTTGTGTCCGGACATCAAGAACTTCACCCTCATCCTCCTTATCCTGCTCCTCCTCTTCCTCAGGCTCTGTCACGCTGCCAGCCGTATTCTTCCTCAACCTTCGCCTTCGGACAACAGTGCTCGGCCCTTCCTCATCCTCACTGCTGCTGGAGTGAGTCACTGCAGGCAGCGGCTGCTGCCCTGGGAATACTACAATACAAATACACAAGGTCACGGCTGCAGTGGTTTCATGAGGGAATTCATAAACAGGGAAAGGTAGACACAAAACTAACAGGTTCAAAAGAATGTGCAGCGAGGTTTATCATGCAGGGAACAAATACTGCAGATTAATTGGCTGTTCACGTTTTATGAATACATTTAAATGGAATTAACATTTTAAATGACTACTTATGATTTGCTATTATGTGTCTATAATATATTTCTGTATATCCTTGTAGCCAATGACACTGTTTATTGTAGAGTACTCCATTTATTCAATATCTGGTCATATTGTGTATTATGTAGATACTCTAGGCTAGGGATACATGTATTTTCTATTATGAAATAGTTATATACTGTATCTTTTAAACATTTGTTACTCTTGTAATGCTTGACACTGCTTCTGACTAGCCTCGCAGCGGCGAAACTGAGGCTCCGTGGTAAACTGTGGTAACATGAAGAGCCGTTTGGGAGCCGAAAGAGCCGGCTCTTTTTAGTGAGCCAAGCCAAATGATCCGGCTCACTAAAAAGAGCCGGAATTCCCATCACTAATACGTAAAGAGATAGCATCTATAACTTAAGGGACGGCTCAATTCAAAATGTAAGTCATGTGACACGACGTGACAATCTTGTAGCCAGCATAGAGAAATTATTGGAAGACCATTTCATCATTAAAGAGTGTGTGTGTGTGTGTGTGTGTGTGTGTGTGTGTATGTGTGTGTGTGTGTGTGTGTGTGTGTGTGTGTGTGTGTGTGTGTGTGTGTGTGTGTGTGTGTGTGTTGCAGCCCTACCAGTCTCCGCAGCACTGAAAGCGTACTGGCTGCTGCAGGAGGTGCCGAGGTAAAACTCCCCGTTGGCTGCTTCCTCTTCCTCCTCAGCGGGCTCGTCCTCCTTCAGATCTCCAAGAGTCACAATGTCGGAGTGATCGCTGAAGGACAGCACATGCTGTTTCCCTGTGGAGCTGTGGGCGTCCTGGAGAAGATACAATATTTTGAATATGGAGCGCTAAGGGAGCAGACTCTGGATTGTTTAAAGAACACTGCAGGTCATTCTGATCATTTTCTCACCTCTGAGGGACACACCGTCTCATCTATGGTTTGCTCTTTCAGAGTTTCATCAAGTGACTCTGCAACTTGTTCTTCATCACACTGAGCTGCAAACATAATAAATACAAATTGAGTGTGAATTATGATGGGTACTGTATGATCTTCATGACCTATTAATGTCAAATAAAAAGAACCAGTAAACGCTCGTATTTGAGAAACTGAAACAAAACAATGCCCTATATTGATCAGCTGGATTTATCTTTTCATTAATCATATTTATTTTCCAAGCTGATATTTTTCTAGCTGCTTTAAAAAGGGATAATGAAAGCATGTACAAAAAAAAACAAGGAAAAACACAAGGATACATTAATAAAGTTAGAGCTTTAAGTTGTGAATGTAAAATGTCTGACAGTCAGACAATACAAAGTCAACGTTTCAGGCATTTAGCTGAAAGAGATGTGGATATTCTTGCTTGTACATAAACACACAATTTAACCAAGAAAACGGTTTGTATTCCTACAGTGTCATACTCACATCTTCTACTGTTAAACTCAGGTAGAAAATAATATGAGGAGTGTTACCAGTGGAGTCTGAGGCCTGTTCATCCTGCCGCTCCTCCTCCTCCTCCTCCTCTGCTGGAGGACGCTCTAACAGCTCGGCAGCCTCTGCTCCCAACATCTCAATATCTGAACCCTGGGGACACATCATTTTATTTATGAATAAACAAGACAATACATGCAGAATTCAGCAAGATATTTACCTATTATCGTTGAAATGCATATTTTAAGTGTCTTTCAGTTCTATGTAAACTAGATTTTCCCTTGGCTCAATACAGATTTTTCACACCTTTAATGCAAAAAGACTGGCTACCTTGAGTTCTCTAGCATTCGACAGAGAGCAGATTGACACTGTGACAATTGTCTGGCAAATTATCATACTGGTGTTACCGGTTATAATTAACATGTCTATACTTAACCCTCGCCTGCTCACCATTTCAATAACCTGTAGTTTACATGTTGATTGGCTGGGACCTTTCCCTTTCTCCTGTGTAAAGTGCTTGCCTTTCTGTTGGAAGGCAGCTGGAAATAGATTGATTCTGTTAACTCTTCATTAAATAACACAACTTTGGTTTAAACTTGATGATTTGTTCATTACTAACCAGAATGTGATTAAGTGTGGAATTTCCACCACACTTATAAAAATGATTATTGGATATGTCGAATAAACAGTGTATCATATACAACTCTATAAAAAGTGTCTAAATAATTCCAGGAATAAGTTAGGAAGAGATTGCTCAAATGTGTAATGTTTTAAAATATTTGAATGAGAGTTGTGAACTTGAATGTTGGAGATAGGGAACTGAGAGGCTATCCATCCTGTGATTTGAAAATAGACAACTGAAAATAGCTGGTTTAGGTACCAAGAAAAGGATTTATACCTCATTACTGATAATGGTCCAGCCACAGGACGACTCTGCATCACTTGACGTCGCCGACATTTCTGTCCGCTGTCAGCCAGACAGGGATTTGGAGGAGATAAGGTGGTGAAAGTATATTGTGGTGAAAAAGATCAAGTAGGACATTGTGTCACAGGATGATAATGTGTCACGTCAACAATGTATCAATTGGATAGTTAATTAGTTCAAAGTATTTATTAAAAAATAAAAATGTTTGCTTCTGTCCTTGGGATGTATTTGAGGGTAAGAAATGTTATTTAAGGGCAATATAAAAAGGTATTAAAAAGAAAGAACCTAAGACACACATCCAACACTTTTGTATCACTGCCTGTGGGTGTCGTCGTCACACATCTTATCAATCAGTTGTACAGGTAGTGCTGTACAACTGTGTCCTTACCTTATGTATCTGACTGAGCTGAAAATAGGACCTCAGGCAGTCTGGAACTCTTTCACTTTTACTGGAAAGTACCTTTTACTGGAGACAACTGCCGTTTTGTTTTTAATGAAAAGTGTGCTGTATTGAAATACTGTAATCAGGGCACCCTACATCTAATATACACTGAAAGTCCAAATTCAAGCACATATAATGCATTTTTACGTGGCAATTGTATTAATCTCCTTAGACTTATAGTTAGAGATGTCCCGATCCGATCACGTGATCGGGGATCGGAGCCGATCACGTGATTTTCAAAAGATCGGAATCGGGAGAAAAAAATCGGGGATCGGGATTTTTTTTTTTTTTTTTTATAATTTATTTTATTTTATTTAATGTTACAAAACTAAAATGACCATGTTCACGTCTTAAAGTCATCCTGAGGCCTTAGTTTTGGTTTAAAATGACACAACATCATGTATGTGTTGCTTCTTTTGGGCTTGTTTTCATTTGCTTATTTCTCTCAAATCTGGAAACAGAGTGGGCGCAGTGTCTAATAGTAGCAGTAAGCTAACGAGAGGCTACGTTCAGCTGGTGAGTCGGGAGTTGGGACAGAGAAAATGTCAGGAGTTTGGAAGTATTATAAAATTGAAAGCGAAGGCAGTGTAACAGCCAGATGCAATGTTTGCAAGGCGGAGGTTCCGCGTGGTGGAAAGAACAGAGCTACGTTCAACACGACCAATCTAACACGCCGCCTGAGAAACAAACACCAACAACAACACGACGAGTACACAGCGGCCACTCGGGTAACGGCACTGACACAACCAACACTTTCAGAGACTTTGAAAAGGAAAGAGAATCTGCCCCAGAACAGTGAAAAGGCCAAAAAACAACAGCCAAGATAGCTGAATTCATCGCGTTGGATGACCAGCCGTTATCTGTTACCTTTTTTTTCTCATTGCATAAAGATCGGATCGGGAAAAATCGGTATCGGCAGATTGTCAAAATCAAATGATTGGAATCGGATCGGGAGCAAAAAAAGGTGATCTGGACATCCCTACTTATAGTTGTAAGTAACATATTTAAATAAAGCACATTTACTTATTTTTTAGATAAATGAACTATGATTCACATCAACATAGACACGTTTTCAAAAATAAAAGCACTTCTGTTATGGTTGGCCAAATGTGGTTTTATTTACCACCCCAGTGTGACGCACTGTTATGAAGTAAAGCCTTGCAACAAACGGACATTATGTAAAAGGCGACATCTATCGGTGAAGACCTCAGCAGCAGCGAACACAAGATGCCTGCTCGTGCGGCCTGACATTTTAAACAAATGAGATAGGCTACCAACAGTTTATACAACAACCATAGCTACCATTACATCCGGCCGTTAACACCAATGACGACGTTTAGCTGTTGGTTTTAACTAAGTTACCAGGCTAGTTATTAACGTCACCTGTCTGAGCACCGTCAAAACATATAATTAGTAACGTTACGTATCTTAAGCAGCCTTTTAACATCACTAGCTTTAAAAAAAAGACTAAACTCACCGGTGTGTTGTGCCAAACGACGAGGCAGCTGTTGGAGCTCCAGACGCAGTTACAGCCCAGGTTATCCTTTAACAACACTGCAAAACCAGTCTTTTTATGGGAAATGTAGTTTTGAAGTGTTTAGCTGGACAAGCGGAAACCGCATTTTTAGAACTCATTGAACTACAACTCCCATACGTCAGCGTGGCGGCAAAACTGGCTCAGCAAGCGAGTGGAAAAAAACATAAACAAGGAAGCGTGATAAAGCAGACTGTCAGCAGAACTAAGATGGAAACAAAAAAAAGAAAACTACATAATGTATTGTTTCACTGTGTTTTAGAGTCAACACTGAACAGTTCAAATGTCAAATAGAAGCCACGTGCTCGTTGTTATTAAGTGCTAGTGTGCGCGTGTCGTCTGGCTCTAAGCTCTAAACCTACATATTCTATATATAGAAAGCACAACTTCTACAAGTTTTATATGACAGGTGAGTCTCCACACAGCATACTGTCATATAAGAAGTCATAGAGTACCAGTAGTATTTAAAGTTGCTGAACTCAACTTACCATTCGATTCAAGTAACATAACCTTGGAATATTTTTGGTTTAGAGCCAGACGACACGCGCACACTAGCACCCACCTAACAACAACGAACACGTGGCTTCTATTTGACATTTGAACTTTTCAGTGTTAACATGTCCATTTACAAAAGTATTAGAATCAAAATATAATTAAAGTAAAGTTACTCAATTTGCACAAGAGCTCTTATGAGGATGATATACATATTATATCATTGAAATATAACAATTTATGTAATTATGTTTTATTTTATGTTGCAGCTTTCCCCAATTATTATACATTTAATCTTTTCCTATAATAATTTAATGATTGTATCTCAACACAAAGGATTATGCATTTCATTTATACTATTATCTTAAAGAAACTAATATCATATAGCGCGGTGCAGAAGCAGAAATACCAGGACATGGAAATACTTAAAACTAAACTACAAGTGAAACACTAAAAGGTTAAAGTCCTGTATTAAATACCTTACTTACCTAAAAATGTGTAAGAATTATCAATAAAATGTACAATGATCTGATGTTAACATATCATACCAGTAGAGATATACTGTAGTCAAAGCTAATGCATGTTCGTTCAATCAAAACAATTGTAGACAAATGACATTTTTTATACTTTTATTTAAATTGAGAATCAGACTTATACATAATTACCAGCTGTCTTAAATCTCCTAACTTAACATATTTTGGCAAAAACCAACTTGCAAGTGGTTTTGCTGACAAAGATGATCTGACAAATAAAACAAAACATTAACATAAAATATCATGAAACATAATCATTACAAAAAGGTACATTCCATTTTCAAGACTTGAAAACCAGTTTTCTCTTTGAGGCGGAGCAGCTGCAGGTTCCCCTGAGTTTTGACTGTAAATGACCCGCAGCGCTCTACCTCACATTATTTAAACAATATTACTGCTAAAAGGAAAAACAAGAGTGTGTTTTATCCCTTTGAATTCACACATTCGGACAGGAACATAACTCCAACATAACAACATTCATGCGATGAACAGACCAACATCTCAGGTCATTTGTGGGACGATCTTAAAGATGCAATGTGTAAAAGCTGGCCATAGACCCACGTCTTCTGAACTACGTCTTCACATGTTGGACTGATGCTAGACTGGACGCTACAGTGACTCACAATCGCCAGAGGGACAAGTGGTAATACAAGACAGGACGGAGCAGAGAGAAAGTACATTTCTGCAACATGACGGGAGTCTTTGACATGACGTCAACACTAAATTATCTTTACATTCTGTATATGTTCATTTTTCAACTGTTTTAAACTCAAATTCTTGCCATATCTCACACATTGCATCTTTTATCTTACACATATTAATGACCCAAGTAAATTGCATTTGCACTTATCACAAGAATTTGAAAAATAAAAACCTGAGGTAACACTTCTGTACCTGTTTGAACTACGAAGAGCCCAATTTAGAATCTGCATCCAGGTGTGTGTGTGTGTGTGTGTGTGTGTGTGTGTGTGTGTGTGTGTGTGTGTGTGTGTGTGTGTGTGAGTATCCCAAGTTAAAGACATAAACAGTGTCTTTGTGAAGCAGTTCAGTATCTTATCAGAGCTCCACAACATCTCTTGAACATTTTGGGTTGAGAGTTATAAGCATGAGGACTGGTTTCAGATTCTGGATTGAGCTCTTAAAGCTCTAATAACACAGGACATATGAATACAGTATGGTTCAATTACAAAGGGAAATGTGTATTCTTCTTTAACTTTGAATAATAAAAAGTGTTAAAAAAAAGAGGATAACTTAATTTTTGGAAATAAAAGATGAATAATGGAAACGTTTTCATCCTGAAATCCCCAAGTAGAACACATTTTTCTGTTATTAAATGAGCACAAGGACACTGAAAATGACAACTTTCACACAAAGATAGGATGCTTAAACAGATCTTTCTCAATATGCCAATATGCAACGGTGACCTTTAAAAACAATCTTTGGTTTATATTGTTTGCTTTTCCAAAAGAAAAGTAAACTGATTGTGTCACTCTTCATCCCGTACATTTCCCATGATTGAATCCTCCGCAGAATCTCTCTGATTAAAATACAGAATGTAAAAACAAAGCTGCACCCACTGACTTGTCAGTTATGATTTAAACTAAGATATCTTTAAAGATGATCAAAGTATCTTTAGTATTAACTCAAAAGGCAAACATTTAAATACCTCACATATATTTTGGGTTGAGATAAATGACTTTATGTATGTCCTATGTGAGGAAATCTTCTAAATACAACATTTAAAAAAAAAAAATCTTTCAATCAGTGGGTGCACATTTACACAAAACTGCACCGTTGCAACACAGACACTACTCAATATAATATATTGTATTTAATAATTTCGCCCCTACAATGTACAGACATCTGTTTGCAACAGTTTTGGAGGAACACTGCGGCAGGATAATTTGGTTTGTGCGCAAAATGATTAATAATTGTCACTCCAGTGTCTGAGTGTCCTGCAGGCACTTCCTTGGAGTTTTAACCCGCGACTCTCTTCACTCTTTTTGTCGCGGATCAAGGCCACTAATGTGCAAGGCTTTGTTTGAGGAACTCAAAACTGATCTCAGTGGCCGCGTCTCATCTTTGGTCTAACGTGTTTCGATTATTTCACATTCCTCAGTAACCTTCTGCCAGAGATGAGTTGAGAGACTAAAATAAACACAGGTAGCAAACAACTCTTTGGGTTCTAGCGTCACACTCACCGCTGCACATTGGACGATAATACAAAACTACTTGGCAGACAAGTGCTAATCTTTATCTACTCTACAACAAAACAAAAAGACTACTTGGAAAATTCTACAATGTGAACTCCGTGGAACATTATCTTCTAATAAAAATATAGTTTTATGGTGTTCATTCAATTCTTCACTTTCATCTCTGATTAAACACTGCTTTTACTACAATCATTCTTCACGTGTTGCATCCTCACGTGGAGCTTATCCCTCAGAAAGATTTGGTTTCCACTTCTGAGGGAGGCTTTCCCACATTAAGGCCAATTATAAAGCTTTTCTGAACCGACACGCCACTGCAAGCACTTCTGGTGTGAATCTTTACACTAATTAAAAGGAAGAAGTCAATAAACTAAAGAGTCTGTTGTAAAAACAAAACAAACAGACGTTATAGGACCTGAGGAGAAACTACATAGGGGCTTTTAACATTGAGCTACTAGCGCACAATGTCTGGGGGATACATTCATAGCATTTTCTATTAGGCAAATACACACTCAAACGGTTTAGTACTGAGAAGATACCCTGTCAGTTAAGCCTGTAACACTACATGACTTTTCAAATGTACTAAACTTTGTTCCCTGAGTTTAGGAAAACAATAAGACAATAAAATACATTCGTAATCGAGGTAGTATAAAACAAGAATAGTGAGGGCAGCTGCACAAAGGAAACAAAAAGGAGACATTCATTGTCTTTTCATACCATTACTCAATAATGGACAAAATACAAACTATTAATACTGGCTCAGTGCCTCAGCAACACCTGAGGGGATAAATAACAAACTGTGTGTGTTTCTATCATTCAGGCCACACAGGTGGAGCGAGAGGAGAGAGCTGCCCTCACCATCCAGCAAAATCCGGACAAAATCAATTGAAAAAACTAAAGTGGGATGACAATCAGGAGGAAAGTCATCAGGAAGTATCAAATGCAATGTAACCGAAGCAGCACATCACATAACGTTGGTATAAGTAGTTATTAAATATACAGTGGAAGTTTACACGGAGGTAAACCGAGGTAGATAATCAGTGAAAAGGATTCACGCTTTCCTTCGCTCCAGTGATAAACTCTCTTAAATAATGTCAGAAATGTCACGTTGTGCCACATTTTACAATCTTTTTAAACATTCATGGTGGGTGAAATAAAATAAAAAAACACACACACAACAAAGAGAAAATAAAAAAAGGCATTCATTGAAAGTAAAATAAATCATGTGACCCATCCCTGCCAACATTTTATACTGGAAAAGGCATTTGTCGGCTTTCACTGTGTTGGACCTACAGAGGATGAATGTAAAAAAAAGGTTTCTCTCCTTGTTTTTTTACACATCTCTCTCTCACTTACATTCAGGCCTGCGGTACACTTGCAATAGAGAATAACTGCAAAGAATAACTGAAGGATAGTTACAAGTATTAGTTTGTCATCAGCCTGCAGCCAATTCACTTAACTTAGCACAAAGACTGTAAACAGGGGTATACAGCTAGCCTGGATGTGTCCATAGGTAACAAAATCCACCTCTAAAGCTAAACAATTTCTCTGCAAAAACTGAAGTGAAAAACTACAAATTGTCGCTTTACGAAGGCTTCCCGATGGGTAGACTCCAGAAAGCTGGTCTCAACCATAGCTAAACACAAGACCTCCTATAAAACCATAGCTTGATGTTTCCACACTTCACAACTAAGTGTTCATTTGGGATATTAAAGGTGTTGGTAGGTGGATTTTGTTCTTTTTACACAGAGCCAGAGACCCTGAATCCCGCTTCTAATCCTTGTGCTAAACTAAGCTTGTCAGGAGTAATAATAATAATACATTTTATTTCTATAGCGCTTTCTTGACCCAAAGACGCATTTGGGAGGGAGGGTAGACAAACAAAACAAAAACAAACCAAACCAAAAGAAACAAAACAAAACAGAAAAGCAGTCAGGAGGAAGTTAGTTGAGAGGGGGGGGGGGGGGCTTATGGACAGAGTTCAAGAGGTGGGTTTTGAGGCGGGACTGTGGAGTGGTGTTGATCGTTTCCTCTAACTCTCTAGGATGTGCTCTGCTCAGTAGTTTTTGTACTTCACTGCAGTTTGACTTTTTGCAAGTGTACGACTGCCTTCACACCCTCACACATTCTCGCACACATTCTCACACTCACACACACTCAGGCACCTGGAGAGAAAGTGCATCCTGAGAGCTGTTCTTTGCTTCATGGTGACAGCAGCCATTGTCGACAGACTCCATTAACTTCAGGTCAGACAGACTTTCCTCCACCACATCGCCTGACTCTTTTACGCTGCAGTCGGAGCCTCCGCTGCTGTCCGAGCCTCCGCTGCAAGTCCGAGGCCTCCGCTGCAGTCCGAGCCTCCGCTGTCCTCCACGGACAGAGACGGGCGGCTGCTGCTAGCCCCAGACGAGAGATTGGTCATCTCCGTCTCGTCATGAGAGTAACGGCCCGAGTCGCCGGTTGCGTGGCTGCCCTCGCTGCTGGAGGAGCCCTCTGAGTCCCCGGGCGACCAGCGCATTGCCTGCATGGCGTCGGGCTGATCTGGAGACAGGTTCAGCTCCTCTTCATAGGTCAGCACGGGTGGAGCCGGGCTGGTAGGAGGCGGGGTCTCACAATCTGCAGCACAGAGGAAGTGATGATTAGTCTGAGTGTCTGAGTGTTTATGGCTCTGTTGTAAAACTGCAACAATAGGTTTACTACGTCTATAAATCGATTAAAACAAAAATAATTGGAAATCATTTAGTCTATAGATTCATCTTAAAGTAGTCTTTCATGCAAAAATGGCATGAAATGCTGCTTTCAGCCTCTCAAATCTGGAGAGTTACTGCTTTCTCTGTTTTATGCCATATTTAACAGAACGTCTTTGGTTTTTGGACTGACCAAACAAGACGTTTGAAAAATTCACCTTGGAATTTTCGAAAGTGGATGGACATTTTTCACTATTATCTGACCATTTTAAACCTAACAATGAATCTACACATTCATCTGGAGATTTATCAATAATAAAACATCATTTGTTACAGCCTTAGTCAAATGGGAAGTAAAAAGGTCTTATATCTAAGTCCCAGGCCGACTGTTACCCAAACAAAGACAAACAATCAAATAGCAGTGTTTAAGTTTAAGCTGAGGTTTGGGTCTGATTTTTTTTTTAACCATATGCAAATTGTAATTTACAAAGCAATGAATTGTTTGTATCGATTTTGCTACAAGTTGCTGATGACAATTAACCAAGCAAGAGTCCTCTTTTTAAATCTTACCTGCAGTGCTTTACTGTCCTTTTTCGCATTACTGCTGAAGGAAAACCATTTCTCTTTCTTCTCAGTGCTTGGCTGAACAGGGCCGAGAGAATTGATAATGAGATTTGTTCCACCCTAAAAGTGAAAAATATATAAGTAAACTTGGTAAGTATAGTAAGTTTGAAAAAGCACAAGCCATATCCAGTACTTTACTGTAAAATGAATATGATCAAGTGATACTCTTGCAACTATATTTTATATCATCAGGTAGTATAATTAATAATATCCTTACAAACATTGTAATGTTTCCAAAAGATGTGTTAATATTTCCAAAACTGCTCTAGGCCCCCAAAAAAATACTAAATCCAAAGCTTTTCCAGTCTTTCAGTGAGTGTGTTTCATGCTGTGCTGAGTGTGAAGTACCTTGGCATCGATGAAGTGGTTTGGACTCAGCATCGGCACGCTGACATCAGCGCTCTCTGTTTGTCCCTCAGAGCCCAGCTGTCCTGCAGCTGCGGCAGATGTGCCAGATGTGCCCGCTCCTTCTCTGTACGCTTTAAATGCTGAGAATTTCCTGGAGGAAGAAAACATGATGTCAGTACAAACAGAGAATACACTGGGCATCTGCTGTTTAACAATATGTGTTCGGACAGTCCAAGTACCTGTTTTTGCCTCTGCAGACGATGATGAAGGCACAGATAATGATGCAGATGAGAGCGATGCAGACTCCCACAGTGATTCCTGTCATTGACTTTTGGTCCAGGTGGTAGAAACCATCAGAAAAGGCTGTGAAAGTTAAAGGGAACATTGTCAGATTATCAATCCTTCAAATTGCAGTCAGAAAGAAACTTATAGAAAATATATAAAGGGATTCTCTCAGGTTGATGTTAATGGTACTGACCTGTGGAGTGTGTGTTGCCACGAGAGAGCCGGGGATCGTGACCTGAGGACAGATCTGCCAGGACCTTCAGCTCCACAGTCAGAGAGAACGGACCATCGCCCATGTTGTTGGAGGCAGAAACTTTCACAAAGTAAATCTGACCAGGCTTCAATTTCTCCAGCAGGGCCATGGTGATGGTTCCTGTTGGTGAGGTTTAACTGGTGTTTAACTGCACATTTTGAATATATTGTTGAAAAAGGGGGATTTTGCTTTTTAAACTATTTACTTGTGATTATTGCTACAGACAACAGTTGGGTGTTAACTTCATTTCATGGTTATACTGAAAGGAATAGTTCAACCATTTGAAACGTGTTTATTTGCTTTCTTGACCAGAGAAAGATAAGAATATTGATGCCACTCACACACAGTGGGGGAAGAAGTACTGAAATCCTCCTTACTAATATCACACTGTGAAATGTTCAGCACGGTGATGATAATCTTTCCATTTGAAGCAAGATAACAGTTTTTGTTTTATATTTAAATGAAAAATTAGAAGAAAATTCGTTTTTTTCTGGAAAGTAAAGTTATGAAAATGTGTAATCTGAAAAGTACCTTAAGCTATCAGACAAAGGTAACTGGCAAATTGCAGAAAGTAAGGAGAACATTTACATTTCCCAAAATGTGTAACTAGTCCTTTAATGTCTAAATGTATTTAAACAAGTTTTTTTGAAAAGAATATTGATTATTTGTTACTCCAATATGTTACTATCAAGATACGCGCAGATGCCTGTTTCAGTGAGTGGAGAACAACAGGACTTTGTGCTGCAGAGAAAGACAAACACAAAAACAATCCTGATGGCTGAGAGGTGCTATGTGAGAGAAGAGCAGGGGGTCAGGGCTATACACATTGCCTTATCCAGCACCACCAGGGTCCCATCAGAGGCCGCGGGGGGGGTGGGGGTTCAGTTTGAGGTGATGGCTGGGCTGAGCTGAAGGCTTTGTGAACGGCTTCACTTTTGACCCCTTCACTAGAGGCAAAGGGAATTGTGTGTGTGTCTTTTTTTTTGTTTCCTGAGGTCATCTGCCTTGAGACACCTAAACAGCCTCACACATCAGACCCACCAACATCTTTATGGTGCCTGTGACTGAGTGGATTGGTTGCTTTACAAAGAGTTCTCACTTTGCTTTTTGGTTGGCGCAAACATGGGGAATGTATCGTTTCATTTTGTATTCGGTTAGGTTTTTTTTGGTGAAACTTTTCACATTAAATTAATTTTCTTAATCTTATAAAACATGCATCCTATTTCTATTCATTTAATACATTTATGTTTGACACAATTTCGACTGATTTCACAAACTGTACTGTAACTGAAAAGTGTCAATAAGAAGGTAAATCAAAGTCTTTGTAGTAATCATATTAAACCTACAAACCGGTCTTTTATCAGTAAGACAAAAGCATTGAGCCTAACCTGTCCTGGCAAAGACTGGAGGATAAAATGAGTTACTGATTTCCAATGGATTATTTGTGTGGGACAGGAGGAAGTCTTTGTGGTTCCCCCTTCCCCTGCAAACATGTATAACCTCTTTCTCTCCACATCTATCACCACACTCATCCGTACCTTCTCTCTGCAGCACTTGCCATTCCCCAGCTAACCAGGCGTTTCTGGAGGCGTACAGGATGGTGTAATGTGTCACAGCTACATTAGGTTCATCTGGGTTTTTCCATGAAACCAGCGCCGTGTCCTCTTCTATCAGAGTCACTTTCACGTTGGAAGGAGGCAGAGTTGGAGCTGTGTGGGTGTAAGGAGCAAGGTCAAATAACAATACCATGCAGCAGCAGTAACAAACTCCTAGCTATAATAAATAGGATTGAAATGTTTGATCATTTTGTGCACACCATCAGGTAAAGTGCTGTGATAGACCACAGGGCTCCAGGGGCTGGACAGCTGGTCAATGTGGAGGCGGATGGCAAATTCATACTTGGTGTTGGGCTCCAGATTTCTCACTAGGAGGTTCTGCTCATTCCTGCAGGAAAAAGAAAATCAGAGACTTTTAACACTTAACACTAATGATCTATTATTACTTTATAAACATTTTAACTGTTTAAATGTGAGTTTAAATGACACTGTTAAACATGTATTACTTTCTGTTTACTCCCCAGTGGAAACCAGGAAAATAGCATGTATTTGACCCATAGGAAACATCTTCAAGCCACTTCTCTAAAATGTAAAACCTGATATGATATAATGCACAATGTTGTGTTGTTATAGCCATTGGATCAAGCATTGTGGATTTAATGGGTTTCATTGGCGACACTTAAGTCCTACAGGGTCTAACAAACAAATAATAACACAAAAAAAATGATGACTTTCCCAGCTATTTTATTATATAGTAAGTCACAATGATCTACATAATTATGTAATCAGTTTTTACTTTTGAAATAGTCTGATAATAAAAGGTCTTGTCCAGCAGATGGTGGTATGGAGCTTTGCGGACTGTGGGAAAAGACACCACTGAGAGTTTAAGGTGACCAAAACACTCTCCCCAACAAGTGTGAAAAAAATGTATGTTGTTAAGTTTTAAGTGGTTTAAGTGTTATGTTGTGGTAGGACAACTTATTGATAATAAGGTGTTAAGATAAGAGCAGAACTGCAGCGTGAGACTAAGTCATCTCATCATACATTAAGATAGACCAAACACACAGTAACATGTGTTTTAAATCAGTATTCACTATCAATGAAACACTCCAAACAGAGAGCATTGTCCCTTTGAATGTGCTTGTCCCAAACTGTACTAATTCTTTAAAAGTTCAACACAATGATAAAAAAGCTGCCTGTGCTGTTAGTCAATTCTTACGTCTGCAGGTAGAGCACCAGCGAGGCGTTCTGCAGGCCTACTGGGTTGCAGCGCACGGTGTAGTTGATGGTTTGGCTGGAGGTGAAGGCTGGTCGACTCCAGCGCAGAAACACCGAGCTGGAGCTGTTGCTCTTGATGTAGACGTTGTGTGGAGGAGGTGGAGGAGGCACCAGGCGATCTCTGACAGCTACGAGATACATTGAGGGTGAAGTTATTTACTGTTGCAATACAAGAGACACCAACATGCTCCTATAAAGGTGAACAAGGGCCATTGTAGGTACAAAATAAATAAATGACATAGAGGGAGTAAGTATTCAGGAAATGTCCAACATTTCAGTTATTCAGTTATTTATTATCTGAGATACATTTTGAGGAAGATTTTGTTTTTATCTCTTGCAAATGTATGACATTAAAGTCTGAGACATAACCTCATTTTTGTCTTTTGTTGTTATGGTTCAAACACTTCAACCGTAGAGAATAATATTTACGTTTTATTCTCATATAATATATGACTTATATCTTAGGAAATCAAGTTTTTCATAAGAATATTACCACCCATCCCTCCGTATTTAAAAAATACAGTACAACGGTCCTTATATGCAATCTAATGTTATTGTCACACTTTTGCGACTTACAGACACATCCAGTGGTGCTGACAGTTTGGTCAGCCTGGTAGCCTTCTCCGACAAAATTATAAGCCAGAAGCTTCACATGGTACTTCTTCCTTGGGTCTATATTGAGAAAAAGAAAGAAACAAAAATGTCTTAATAATCATAACAACCACAGAGAATGTAAAGTTTAGCTGTAAAATACATCAGTCAATATGCAGTCTTAGATCTGGACTTCAGGAAACATCTATTGAGATTTATTCTCAAAAACACTTCATTTTTCACCATGGACCACAACACCACGGCAGATGACAACGTGATTCGTCCAGCTAACAGGAAGCAGGGTGATACATGAAAGAGGCCTGGGCCGTGTGGGTGTGGGGTCAGTGAGGGTTTCTGTCCTAATGGTGTGGTGGGAACCAGAGGTGAGGGCAGTGTGACAGATGCTCTGTGACGTGAGTCCTTTGGTCAGTTTCTGCAGTGCTCAGGGCAGCAGAACAGAAGAGCTCCACTATCCATCACCCTGTCACCCCCAAGTCTTTTGATAAAATCAGAAAAGCCCCTTCTCGGCCCCAGTCAGGCCTGCTGGTCAGTGGTCAGTGGCCACTCCTACTCAGGTCCAGAATCTGGGGGTCACATCGACGGACAAAATCCCCTGGGAAGGGCTTTGCTGACGGTCAACAACAGTTTCAGGCCTCGGTGACCCCGAAGAGCCTCGATGAACAAAAGCCATCTGACCAAATGTCCCTCTTACCCCTAAAAGAATAATTAGCAGGGTCTAATTTGAATATTTGCATGTGATATTGATATTGTGAGCTATATATGTAAAATAAAAGCACAGTGAACCCTCGTCTCTTTAATGAATGTTTCTCAAATGTTTGGTCACAGTTTGTTTGGAAGTTGTTTTAAACAAAAATGCTATTTATGCTCAAAAAATATATTTAGAGCATTTTCCGACATGAAGTCTTCGATGTTTGTTAGGAAGTTTTAAATAAGTAACAGTGGGACCACCTGGCATTCTCGTCATTGTGATTTTTTATGTATGTTTTTGTTCAGAAGAAGTTAAAACTACTTTAATGTTGTGTTCTTACTTGTCTCTGTGTATTAACTTAACCCATAAATAAATATTAACTCCAATATGACCATGAGCATTTTGCTGGACACTTTAATGATCTGGCTTCTATTACTGTTATAAAAGTTCGGCCTATCACTAAAACAAACTTCTATTTCTTTATAAAACATTTAGAGGCTCTTGAGAAGAGTCCCACAGGACCACAGGAGATGAATGTGTGTCCATGGAGGTAAGAGAAGTTTAGGAGGGGTGGAGTGGTGGAGTGGTGCACCCCCATGCTGCCCTGAGGAGCTTCACTAGAGCCAGACCAGGGCCAGCAGGTCAGGCCGAGATTAAACTCTGAAAGAATCTGAGGTCACGGGTGTGCAATATGAGAGGAGCCTCCTTTTTTTCTTCCTCCTGAAAACTATGTGGCTATATTCAATGACAATTAGGAGTCAAATGTAAATATGAACACTTAAATCACCAATCATGAAATCCATATTGAATTTCTGGAAGAGTTACATAATACCAAGACTGGTTTGAACTGAACATCTTTCCTGTTGATTACTTTTTTTTCTTATTGCAAGAGATAAACACAACCAGGAGGCTTTTTGTCCACCTTGTTATCCTGTGTTTTCCGCCCTGTTTGTGATGTCTCAGTGTCCACCACCTCTAAAGACAAGCATGCACACAGTATGCACCTCTACCCAGCCCCACAGTACAATGGGCCTGCCGTAATTATGCGAGAGAGTAGCTCTGCGAGGGGGGGAAGCTGACATCTGGGCCACGACCTTTGACATGGAATCTGGGCAAGCTAAATCCTGCAAAAGGAGGGGGACAGGGCTCTCTCTGAGGGGGGAGGGTCAAGCAGAGGAAGTGAGTGGAAAAACAGGGGAACACCTAGAGTCAAAATAAAATGCCACTTGATAGGTGATGACACTGAGTCCTGATAAGAGAAAACTCAGAGGACAGGTTTGGCGTTCACTCGCAAAATGGACCTGACACCTGAAGCTCTTAACATAAACGTTATGTGAATATCCTCTCTACCACAGATAGCTAAATAGTTGTCATTAATAATCAAACATACCGTGCTTTTCTGAAAAAATCCTGATATTAAGGCAGCAACTAACGCTTATTTGGCAAATCATTTGTTTTTCAAATGTCTAAAGTTCACCACTAATTATTTAACTAAATAACATTTAGTTTACACAGTCATAAAACACAAAACATAAAACACATTTTGAAACATGAAGATAGCCATGTTTGGCATTATTGCTGGATAAAAATAAACTAAAATGATAACTTCGCAATCAAAATAAAACAACATTTCAATTCATCTTCTTATTGTTTCTACCTCTCTACCTTGTAAAGCAGTGAATCCGTATTACAAAAAACAATTGTGGCTGCGTTACCTCACATTTTATTCTTAGAGTGCGGCGTTCTGCTTGAGTTGCCATTCCTTGAGAGAAGAAATGTTTCCGACCTTCCCACTGGGATAAATCTCACATGGCCTCACTCCCATAAATTATGCTGTTTGTATTAAAGGGCATATTTTTAGCCATTTGTGGTCATCCCCCTTTTTTTACAGCCAAAATGCAGATCCTGTTGGCCCCTGAGGTTTTTGTTCTGCCCTGCGAAAGGCCCCCCAGGCCAGGCCTGAACAGGGGCCATAAATGTCAACTCCTGCATGAACCCTCACACCAGCATCTATCATCTCCCTCTCTGTCCTCCCCTTCTCTCTTTTGCCCTTACTCACACAAATCAACTACTGACACACACAAGTTAAGCACAAAATGACCTTTTAAAATGATGGTCAGCATGGAAATCTAGTTATCACACGAAGCACGCTTTGCCTTTTGTCTAATAAAAGGAATGGACAAGAAGATGGCCTGCAGCTAAGAGATAAATCTACAGTTGTGCACACAGCGCGGCCTGGTGCCAACAGGTATGAGAGGTATTTAAGCCTCGACTACAAGCCGTCTAGATGTGCTTCTCTTGAGCCAAGCAGAGGCTACACACGCGAGGAAAGGTCACATCACCATGTCATTTATACCCAACTGGAGCCTCTCAAACACATTCCTGTCTCTCAGGGTGTGCTTTCAATCATCTGCATTGGTCATAAGTGATAATTTACAGCCAGCTCGAAGCATGCTCTTCTGCGGCTGTACACAGAGCTCAGTCTGCAGTTGTTTCTGTCTTTGTCAAATCTCCACTGCATTCACACATGCTCTGAAACATAATCACCTTAAACAGAAAGTCACCGCTGACAGCTCGGAAAACAATGTTATTGGCAAAAGAAGGCATGTCCACTGCTGGAATATCGGAAATGTCATTTACAGTACAAGCAGATTTCATTTGCAAAGCAATCACTTGCTGAGAAAGCTCTACGGTCAGCATTTTGTTGTCTCAAGAACACAACATATGGACTCTTTGTTTGAGCATCTGTAGCTTCAAATCTTAATTCCTGGTCATTAATGTAGTTTCCCTTTAAACCAAAGCCCTGACCATGCTCTTTACATCCAGGTCAGGTGTTACTTTGTGATTAAATATCTACATTTCTCGATGATTAGAGACAATAACATTATGCATTCATTTTTAAGTAGTACAATTATTGTTGAAGTACTATGTTTAAAACTTGTGATACTAAATATCTAGGGGTGCACCAACTCATCACCTGACTACCTTTAAGACTATATAACGTTTGATGATAAGAAATTACATACTCTACCTCTTGCACATGAGAAGTGAAACTCATAAATAATCAAATGTACCCTGGATTAAATGCTTAAACTCGCTACATTTGCATTATTCCTAACACAGTGGTTTTGCTTCTACAGCCTTAACTTTGTCTTGTAGGACCAGCAGCTTAGGGTGGCTAATGTTCGCGAATGTTAACACACTTTAGATACAGTAAATGTTGCTTTAAAACTGAAATGACTGAGTATTCTCTATTTGTGCTACTGTCAGAGTAGCGTGGACTTATATATGCATCTTCTTGTATTTCATTAGTTTATTAATTGCTTAAATGTTTTTGATCAATTTAAAAACAGCCTATTGCATGTATTATGCTGCAGCTTGGAACAATATTAAACATATGAAAAAGTGATGTCTTTAAGAAGGAAGAAGTCATTTGTAAAAGTGTTAAAGCCATTTAGTCGGGTTCCTCACAGCTCTGCGGGGTTTTCTGATGAAGGATGTGTTGCCACACAGGAGGTCACATGCTTGTGCACAGTCCTACAACTAATTCATGAGAAAGAAATCTCAGAACTGCAAGATAGTGAGCTCACAAGATGTGCTCATTGTTAGGCCTACAGCTCGATCAGTGAGAGGCTGCATTTCCTTTAGGTCTTAGCTAATAAACTATCTTTGTGGCTCTCAAAGCCAAACACAATGAGAGTCTTTGATGTCAATGTTCCTCCAGCAATGCAGCTCAAAGCAGTCATAAAACACATAATAAATCTGCCTCCACTAAACAGCGTTCCTCTCTTCAACACAGCAGCCCTGCAAAGCTCCTTTATCGAAGAGGAACAAAAAGATGATTCTTTTTATTCAGCAGAAGCTCTATTTTTGGTATTGCTAATTTATTTTTGGCTTCATATTTATCAGCAGCTTCATCTTCCTCCAAGCACTTTGAAACATTCAGAGCAGTAGGATGATAAAGAGTAGGGGAACTTTTAAGAGCAGCAGATCTTTCCCGAATATACACGTCAATAAAACAGTTATGACAATAATATAAAATATAATTACATTTAATAAGCAAAACACAAATTAAACAGTCCGTTTTTTCTTTCTGAAAATGATCCATTATCAAACCTGCATCCCAGGTGTTTATATTTAGCTAAGTAAGTTAAGTAGTTATTCTGATTGTATCAGTATTAGTGTTCATTATTCATTAATATCCTTATTAGTAAAAGCAACAGTTCATTGTGGGTGTATTTATCATTTTGGTGTTTAACCCATAACATGAACTATCTAACTAACTAAATGCCTGCAGCGGTTAGAGTTAACACCTAAAGTCATTTTTAGTGCCTCCTCATCTTTCTTTCTTTCTTTCTGATCCCGTTCTGGCACAAGCTTCCTGATTTACAAGTCAGCTGCTGACCACCTGGTTGACCCCTCTCGCCACAGATGGTGAGTTGTCCACTGCGTTGGCCTGAGCCCCCTCTCCTCTCTCAAACAAAAAAATCCAAAATGAATCTGACCTAAAGGCCAAAAGAGCTGTGATATGTCCAGAACACCATCCAGCAGCTGTTGAAAAGGCACACACAAAAGTCCGGCACAGAGGTTGGGAGGTCATGGAAGTGGGATGTGATGCCGTTCTGTTTCACGGATCTCCTCTACAACACTTTGGCCAATTAATCACTTATATGCTTAGCCGTCGTCAATAGATGCCACTGCTGCTTGTTAAACCACCCAAAACGATTTAAACCGGCTTAAACAAGTACTTTCTTTTTTGTCTCCCAATTATGGAGATATATTCCCTTCTTTTCTCTGTTTTACATAATTTTAAGTGTAATATATTTGGTTTTTGCAGTGACAAAACAACAACATTTAAAGACATGGTGGACACTATTCAGGTGTTTATAAACTAATTGGCGGCTTGATTGAAAATGAAAAGCATTGTGAGTTTCAGCATTGATACCAGGTACCACAGTGGCAGCAGGTAACTCAAATGATCTGAACCAAAAACTCACCAAGGCCTCCGATGGTGTAAGTATTATCCAAGGCGCGAAGCTGAAGCGGCGCCCTCTCTGACTGGCTCTCCTCGTGGTAGAAGAGCCTATAGCCTTGAACACTAGCTGAGTTCCTGGGAGACAGCTGCCAGCGCGCCAAGATAGTGGTGCAGTTTAAAGGCTCTAAATGCAGCTCAGGAGCCATGGGAACTAAAGACAAGATAAAGAAAAAACATTTAGATTTAGATATTGTGTGATGGATAACAGTCCTACAAAAAAAACAGTAATTGATCCAGAAACAGATGTGATTCATAAACATCGTTCTGATAGGTGCATCTTATCGCTGAAGCTTTTCAGAAAACAGGAACTTGTTCCTGGACAACTGGAATCTCTTCACAGAGTTGTTTCCAGTGTTTTTGTGAGGCACATGGGAGTTTTCTTTGAAAAGTGAAACTACCATCTGATGCTTTACCAGCTGTTTCACACTCAAAACAGACCGGAGTCAACCCAACGAGCTGTCAGGGGAGTCATTTCACACGTTTTTATTTTAGGAATGAGGGGAATGGAGTTTACCAATATAAGTCTTTGGGACTTGAAACAGAGAGAGAAAGAGAAGGGCAGGAAAAACAAATCCTCCCGTCCCCCACCTCAAAGCTTCAGATGTGGCTCTAACAACCATATACTGTGTCCCACCCAGAGACCTGAGTCGCTCCTTTTATGACCCATGACTGAAACCCCTCCAATGCTACTGACAGTGCAGGGCAAAGGTCACAGAGTAACAAACGCAAGGCCTTAACAAGATTATTAGAGCACGTTTTTATCTTGATTCGGTCTTAAGGTTTAACGGAACCCACCATCCCAAAATCAGAAATATCGATTTTTCCTCTTATCTGTTGTGCCGGTTATCAGTCTACATAGTTTTAATGAGAGTTGCTATTTTCTTTCAACTAAACAACGCCGAAATGAGTACAAGCCTTTTTTCATGAAAAGGTGATTGATAAAATAGTGTTCCAACATGAACTGCTCTCAACAATGTATGTGGATTATCTTAAGTAACTACGTTATGATTTCACCAAAACGCGGATGCCATCTTGTTCCATTATATTGAAAATAATCTCTTTGTCGATATCTCTAACACTCGGAACCTCACATCAAGAATAATGATTGATAAATAGAATTTCAGGCAAGAGAAAGAACATGTCCCTCTGATTTTGGGCTGAACTGTGCCTTTAAGCGGAAGATAAATGTTTCGTGATCATTAACAATGATGCTAAACTTTGCATGTTTGAAATTGTGGATATGACAACAGTTCCTTCATCTTTAATACACCATGAAGGCTGTATGGCAGTCATGTGTTACCTCGAGCACTCGATAGCTTCGGAGTGCGGTGAGACGTCCAGGCGGACTGCTCCCCCCACCCGATGCTGGTGGCAGCAACGATTCGCAGCAGGTAGATGGTGTCGGGCTGCAGGTTCTCCAGGAGGTGCTGCGTTTTCTCTCCAGGTAGCTCCAGCTGTGACACAGTGCTCTCAGCACTGGTGCGGTAGGACAAACGGTAGGCGGAGACTCGGCCACGACTCAGCTTGTCTGGAAGCGGCTGCCAAGACACCTGGATGTCCATGGGACTGCGGCTGGTGAGGCTGAGCTCAGGAGCACGGAGGGGAACTGTGGAGCGAAAAGACAGGGACGTTAGGACCAAAACAAACTGAAGTCCTCCCTTCTATTCCCCATATTGTCAATAGCTGTTTCTTCTGAAGAGTTTTCATGGCTAGGAAAAGGCCCTCTTGGAGATGAGGTTCAGTGGCTACAGCTTTTACCAAACACACTAGATCACTCTTGAATGAATTGTTATAACCATATACATTCAGAGGCCTCCCCAAGATATACAGTGAGCCCTGAGACAATATAATTATGTGCACCAATACAAATGATGTGTCTTATTCAATTTCTTGCAAATCAATGCAGGGCTGTTTCATGGCATTATTCCAATCAGTGGTCCAGAAATGAACCTGTTTCCTATATATAGCGTTATAAAATAACCAACACAGTATTTTATACATATAGCTCACCCTTATTCAAACTAACCCTAAAACTGCAAGACAGAGTTACACATGGTGGCTACAGTTGGTAATCACATTTCAGAATATGATGCAAGATCATTTTAAGTCATATTTTCATGAGGTTACAAAGAGTCTTGCATGTAAAAAAAGAAATGTTTTACCATGATTATAACTTGATTTAATCGTCTAACAAGAGCACCTATTTAGGGTGACCTCCAGCTTGCCCTGCCTGCTATGTAAAATCATTTCATAACTTCAGTCATGTAGAACAGACACAGGGCAGCCTTTGACCCACAGGTCATGAACAAATGAGGTTTTCATGGAATTCAAAATCACTCACAAGGCATTAGATGTATGCATTGGAGCTTGTGTAAGTAGGCACACACACACACATACATGTACACACACTGTTCAAATAATGAGTTTATCTCTACATCAATAAGCAAGCTCATTTACAGCACCTACAATATGTTATAAACAAACATCCTCTGAGCTCCCAATGGAATAACATGGTCTCTGTAGATCGATAATGGCCGTTTGTCCTTTATCTGCCCACCTCACTCTCTATACATGTCTTACTTCTGATCGGTATTCTAGTGTTTGTGACCTTCACTGAGTGTATGCCTCACCGTCCTCGAGTGTGTGCTGGAACACGTTGTCCGACATGCGGCTGGCTCCCATGGGCATGTAGGCCACCACGTAGAAAGTGTAGTTGCGAGCCGGCTCCAGGTCATCAATAATGTAGCGAGTTGTATCGTTTCCAATCACAACTTGATATTCCTCGTTGTTTAGTCCTGGACAAATTATAACATTGTTAAAGGAGACTTATATAAACACAATCAATAGTGCTTCTGATGAGAACTGCTGTTGTTGGTACGGAACAAAATCATAATCATGCAATTACAAAATATCTTATATCAACAGTCATCACTTCCTGGAGCAGTTTTTGAACATTCATTTCCATGTTTACTTGTAGCAGTTTTTATAAATGACCTATTGTGGAATATGTATTTAATTAAAGCAGATTAGAAAATTCACACAAAGATGTATTTTCTTCCCAAGGTAAAAAGAGACATGGTCTGATTTCTGACTTTGTAAACAAGGTACTTGCGCAAAAAAAACCCACTAAGCCTCTCAGAAAAGTGTAACAAAGTCTGCCTTCCTGTCCAATTCACTCCCTCTAACGGTCCTCACAGAATACACACTTTTAGACACTTCATCACACGGACTAATTAGTTCCTCCTTTCATAAGAGCCTCCATTTACTGCTGGGTTTTCTCTGTCACCTCAGGTGCAGAGCGTACTGTCAGATACTCTGTCAATCTCAATGAACAGCCATTCTTTGTGACCGGGACCGAGAAGATTGTGTCACGAAATCTAAATCAAGTGCAGAAAAACTCCGGACGGATGCCAGTAATTCAAGAATAAAATGGAGGGAATTTGTTCAACTTGTTCTTTTTATGTTGACCTCATTATCCCCAACAGAATCCGGCAGGTGTTCTTTTCTGTACATTTCACCTCCCCAATGGAAGTGAGGGCCATTATAATTAAGTGTAGTGCTTGAATGAGCAAGCTGATTTTTTTTTCCTCAAATGTTGCATTGTTTGAATGTGACTCTTGTTGTCCACAGCAAGGGTTCCCAGGAAGGCTGAAAGGCTTTAAGGCTTTTCTGCTTCCACAATACAACCGTTGTGCTTTAATGAATAGTTGTGTGTGCATCCTGCATTTTAGCAGCCAAAAGGAAGGGACCCTGCATCTTCAAACTCCACAGGGCGACAGTCCATAAAGGAATGTTCCTGTTTCTCAAGAAAAGCAGTTGTTCTGCTTTATTCTAGAAAAAGAGATTTCCTTTTTCTTTCTTTTACCTCATCCCACCAACATGGTGTTAATAAAAAACCGAAAGGTCCCACAATATATTTTATAGATAGGAAGTGGCAGAATTTCACTTCCTAACTGTTTTTCTCTCAGGATTTAAACTGGAAATGTTCTGAATTGACACATTTAGTGCTAAAAAAAAAATGCTGTACAATAGAGATAATATCCCTATGTGACAAAAAGACATTGCAAATCTAATTCCTGTTGTCTCTTGTTTGTTTGCACACCACTCACCTTCAGCCTTCATGTAGTGCACTGAGTAAGCAATAACTTTATCTGCGTTGAACTGAGGCCTGTCCCACGCCAGAAGGATCGCGGAGCTCGACACGGTGTCAGCTCGGATATTCCTGGGAGCACTGGGCCGATCTTCAGACATCACCACGATGAGCCTGGCCATGGAGAGGACCGACCCCTGCTCGTTCTCTGCCTGGCACTGATAGATGGCATCGTCCTCAGGGATGATCTGGTTGATGACCAGTTTGCTATGAGACACAGACACACACAGATTAAGATTATGCACACATGGTCATATCCTGAGGCTTGTTTAGCAGTGTGTTATCATTCTATAATTACCTTTAACAAGCACTGACAGTTGAATAACTATACCATGTTAAATCCTTTTTCCATAATGTAAATTATTCAGTTTCCTTTCTACTGTAAGGAAAGTAGTGCATTATTTATTTACATTGTTTTAAACTGAACAACAAAGACTGTTAAATGAACATTTTATGGTACAGTAAAATTAGTCTGGTATCCTGTTTTCATTATCTCTGTAAATACAGACGCACACATGTTTAAATATGAATGGGTGTTCTCTTAAATGGAAGGAGGAATCACCTGTTGTACATCTTGAATCGACCATTAGAGTGAACTTTCTCTCCGTTCTTGAACCAAGTGATTTGAGGCGTTGGAACTCCTTCAGCTTGACACACGAAGCGGGCGGTGCCGGCTCGTGGACGGGTCAGGCTCTCTGGCCACTCAACCAAGGAAGGGGGTGCTTTAGAAAAAGAACATTAATGAAAATATATTTAACATTTTAACTCCACATTTTCAATCAAAAAACATACACAGACAAACTGCGGTATGTCTTTACCTAACACGGTGATGTTGGCTGAAGAGACTGTGAAGTTTCGCGTGCCAGGAGTGGTGGCTCTGCACATATAGACGCCTCCATGCTGGGGCTTGATGTCGGTGATGATGAGGTTGCCATTTCCCAACACTTTGGTGCTGTAAACGTCAATAGACTTGCTGTCCGCTCGGCTCCAGGAGAGGATGGGTCGGGGATTGCCTGTGGCCATGCACTCCAGGATGGCATTCTGGTGCAGCGACACTGAAATGTTCTGTGGCCCGACGATAATGCGCGGCCTCTGGGGAAGCGGGGGCCTGGGGGCTGCGAGGGGGAGGGGGAAAAACAGGTTTAGTGAATGTGATCTGATGGGATTGGCATCACAGATTCAAGTGGACATGCTCTCTCTGTGCTAACACTTTAGTTAATAAATAAGCCTTTCAACGAACTGTTGACCACAACTGCTTGAGAGGCAAACACTTACCTTAATGTGATTTTGAAGTATGAGTTCATAGCTGCTAAATTTAAACTTTGTTTATTATTATTTGTAGACTTTATTTTATTACAAGGACTGTGCATGAAAAAAATCAAAAAAGAGAAGAATATTAATGCCAGATTTAGCTATAAATGAATTTCCATCTGTAGTCCCTGAACACTAAAACACCAACATATTTTTGACAAGGATATTTCCTGTTTTTCTCAGTTTTATAATCATATTCAACTGAAAACAAATGTTTTGGGGTGACAATACAAGACACTTTGGGATGGACATTTTTTCACAATTTCCTGACATCTTAAAGACATTAATCTAGACCAGCTGACAGACCTGGGGTGACAGTGAGGGAGGCCTCTATGCTTCGGCGGCGGCTGGCGATGTTGGTGGTGATACACCGATAGTTTCCAGCATCTTTCCGCTGCACCCCGTGGATCTGAAGCACACCACTGGGTAGGACGGTGATTCTGGATAGGATACAGCATGGAGAAATGACACATCAAACATTCATAAAAACTCATAATGGATGATAATGGTCACAGATTATGTTTCATGTAAATAAAACTCGGCTGTCCAGTAAAACATGAAGTATGAAACTGAAAACAGTGCTTACCGCTCTGTGGCAAGGGGTAACGAGACCCGATTGAACTCCCAAGTGATGATGCAAGGAGGGTGGGCACTGATTTTGCAGGCAAACCTGGCGACTGAGCCTTCAGTCACCGCGATGGACGTCGGCTGGATTGTAAAAGCTGAGATACCTGCAGAAGAACAAAGAGACGACTTTAATGTTTTTTCCTTCATCTTATAATGTCAGAATGAGATGGCACTGTCTTTCAGTGTGAGGGAAGTAGCGCAGCTTCCTTTATCAAATTCTCCTCAGCTCTTGAACATTTACTTTATCGCAATAAAAAGTGGCCTGGTTTCTACAAAGACACAAAACTCTTGTACGGTCCAATTCCTCCGTGCAACCAAGAGAGTTTTCATATTTTTATCTTTTAGCCTACATGGAAGCTTTCCTAGAAAAGGTCAAAGCAAACTATTTTCCCTTGAGGTGTTGTGAAAGCTGGTGTTGTATTTCACTCCATGCGTTTCCCACAAATCATGTTTGACATAAAACTAAAGCCCATAACAAATCATCCAAGACCTAGAACATCCAAGAACATCAGTCAAAAGCCCTGCACAACTTCCCACAATGTTAAGGTTACAGAAACATTCATCAAAGTGTCATCAAGGACAGATTATATTATCCCTATTAATATTTGTATAGCCTACAATTAAACGGTAATATAGTGCTTGTGACCCGCTCTCCAAGATCAACTCAAAGGATGATTAACTTACTATTTATTTCTGATTGAACTCTCCTTGTTTACAAACATATTGGTGTGTTTCAGACATCCATCCATCTCAGTCCGATCCACTGGATGTCAGAAAACAGAGAGACGATGACCTAAAGCTACAGACCTGCTGAGGAAGGTGATGACTGGAGTGGAACAGCTACATCCTGCGAGGATAGAGTTTCCCTGAAACTGAGCTGTTGTCAGCCACCAGCTGAGCGGCAAGCAAATGAGGCCCAACATGAATTACAATAAGTCCTTTTATGCTGAACCAACCAAGAGAAGTGTATGTATTTTATAATGAAGTTGTTTTTAGCCTTTTTTGTTAATGAATGCTCTTTGACAGTGGTTCATCCTGGGCCATAACAGTTCTGAAAGCTATTAAGGTCACCCACTGCTGTACCGTCCCCCTCTCTGCTCAAAAAGCTGCAGAAGCCTGAGGTCAATCATTGGTTAAAAGAAATCAATTGCATTGCTGTTTGTGAAATAGAGCAAGTACTGAAATGACCAGAAAACAGTAGGCATCACAGCACGCTCACATCCTATTCATTATCGTGTATATTATATAGTCATTCATGGTACAGACTGAGATGGACAAATCAATAGACTGTCAATTATTTTTTCAATGGACCAGAACAAAAGGCTGTTGAATGTTTTATTCTGCTAAATAACATTATTTGTAATTTCAGTAGGTGCGTTTCAAGATGCTAAACTGCCGGGCTGCTCTCAGCATGAAACTATCCCCATGTTAAGTAATGGATGAATAAACACACTGTGACCTCTGTGAACACTTCTAAAGCTTCTTCTGCTGCAGTGAGACATCAACACTTGGCAAAGAAGAAGCAGGAAGAAGCAGGAAGAAGCGCATCAAATTGAAATAACATCTGACAGGTATTCAGTGTGAAAAGACATCCCCAAAAAATTCCAAAATGGTTGTTTTCTGCTACCACGTTTACAAGATGCTGCAAGGCACCCACAATACACATATACATAATGTGGATAACCTTAAATATGTATAAAAGTAAATCATTTCCTAAGTGAACAACTAACCAGGAAACGAAGGTGAAACAGGGAAAACAGTGAAACTACAGAATTGTCTGACTTGCTATTTACCAATCATAACTCTTTGTCCTGATTGGATATCCAACATCTGTATTCGTTTATTCAGACATGCAACACTCTCCTGTGGAACCCTGTGCTTTCGAGAAAAGTGTAGAAGGTCCACTGCCATAAACTCACTGCAGTGTCTGTGAGGGCCATGATGGATGGCTGCGTGTAAGCGGTGTTGCCAGGTGTTGTGGTGCTAAACAGCAGGAGAGCTATGACTGCCATTCAGTGAATTATGACTTTTACACAGCGCCTTGGCTTCAAATCCAGCTGACTCTTGTGGAGGAAAGAGCAATTCATTTTGGGAAGGGAGAACGTTTCAGTTGCTGGGATAAAGTTATGAAGACTCATTTTTTCAAATGTAAAGGTTATTTAGTTGTAGAGCTCTATTTCATGGTGGCTTTAGAGTTGTCGTAAAGGACTGCCAAACTGCCGTCAGGATCAGATCCTTTCGCTTTAGACACATTTAATCAAATTAGTCCTGAGCTGCTGCCCCTATTAGCTCCACTCTGGTTGTTTGATGTGAGGTAGTTAGAGGCATTCAAACCCCCCTCCATCACACGCTCAAACTGTCCCACCCCCAGTGTTAACGCAGGCTCGAAAATGCCATTAATGTGCTGAAGTGATATGACTGCAGGGCATGAGAGATGAGCTGCAGTGATCCTCTGCCTCCCTGCTGGATTGACAAGTTGCGGGATGATTATTGATTATTGATAAACTACTAAGAGAGGGAGGGAAATCTATGACGGCTAGGGATGGTCCAGCATTGGTAAGAGCACTATACTGATATGGGAGGGTGACCTGCTTTGAACGATGATGTTAGCCGTGGGGCATCTAATGTGAAGATGAGAAAAATAACATGTCATTTACTTTAAATATATTTGTGATAATAAAGACTACTATTATGTTTTCCACTTTCATGTGTGTGCCTATGTTCTTTTATTCCACCAAATAATACAACATTTCCTCTTGTGTGCCATACATAGATTTAGCCAACAAGACTAGGAGAAGAAATTCCTGCCTAAAAGCATGAAGAAACAGTTCTGGCTTCCCAGCAATCTCACCTCTCACCTTTGACCTCCACAAATCCTGGCTAGCACCAAACACAGAGCCCAACATGACCACCCCAAAGCTCTCCTGCTCACTGCTGCCCCGCAAGCCGCCTATAAATCTCTGAGTTCCTCCTCCAGCTGCAACGTTTGAAATGCTGTTTTGTAATGATATCCTTTTCTGATGTATCGATGACATGTCCCAGTTTAGCAACTACAACAAATAAAACTATATATGTGGTCCAGTTGTTGCATGTTGAATAACAGTGATAAAACTAACTGCATGCTTGATGTAAAGTGACAGCAATGTCCAGAGGTCTGAATTCAAAGCTAAAGATGTACAAATATAAGTCTGTCAACAACTCTTCTCTGTTAATTACAGAACGTTTCACCACAGTCCAAATCTGAAGAGTAAACATGTATTTGCTTCACTTCTGCCTGCAACAGATGGGTCTGCTGATGCCAGCAGCTCAACAAACTGAAGGTCAGTGGACAGGTCAGGCCCAAACAAAGGTTCCCTTACAAATACCAGGAATTAGTTCAGCCCTCTCTCTCCTCTGGTTACTGTGGTCAGTTCCTAAGTCAGGCCTCAGCACATTATAGTCTACCTGCATATGAGTGGATTTCTCTGTGATTTTGTACTGAAAATCATATGAATCCTTTACTTACTAATCTTGAAAGTCAATGTATCTCTTCATTTAAACCAAAAAATACATTATTTGATTTCCACGACACACAAGCATATGTTTTGGTCTATACTGCTGTCATTCTTTTTATTTTATGTATGGAGGATATGTTTGCACCATAATACCAAGTCAAATTCCTCGTATGTTACTTGGCAGTAAACTTGTTTCTGACTCTGATTCTTATTCTAAATAATACTGTGCATTGAAACGTGGCAATTCAATATAAACAATATGCACTTTATATTTCCTATGGGTCTTATGAAGGTAAGGAACACACTTTATATCAAATAAATCCTGACACTGAAGTGCAAAGAAAATATATCAAAATGAAATTGTCAAACAAGGAAAAAAAGCTGTTTTGTAAAATCATCGGAAAAAAAGAAAAATTATTAATAGTTTTTCACTTAAAAGAAACAACCTGAGAAAGTCCAAAATAAATACTCAAAGAATAAGTCGTGCCGTTTAATAATCCAAAAAAGTGTTGTCAATGAGAGTATGTTTAATTCAATGTGGTATTCCATGTCCTGATACATGATGACAGAAGCCGCTTCAGTGTTGCTATGCTCAGCTATGTAGATGCTGTGATGGCCGCTGACCGTCCCCAACCTAAACCCCCCCCCCCCCCTCAGAGTCCAATCTTTTAGGAGAACATTCAAATTGACCATCTTCTCATGATCCTGCAGGGTGCCTGCTAGATTGATAGCTTTAAGCATCAGGAAGCCCTGAAAAAAGCTCCATTGAATCACTAAGCAACCCCAAAAAGGTTTGAGAGTCTTCCTATTGGTCCTATGGAGTGCACCACATGGTTACACCAAAATAAGTTCAATCTTCATTTACTCCTCCCACACCTTTACTGAAAAAACCTCCATCTAATTGAGTGATGAGCCCTTTAAAGTGTTCCATGACCCCCGCTGAAGATTAATAAAAGGATCGGGGGGGGGGAAAGGAGGCTGATAAGCAAGAAGGAGAAGAATGCAAAGCTGAAAAAAATCAAATCAATCACTGGCTGGCTGGCAGATGTGCTGCTGCTACACAGGCTGCAGGACAGTCAAGTGACCACTGGCCTGGCTAAACAAAGAGCTATTCCCATGAGCAGCGTGACCTCTGAAAGCACCGGGCGGGCGGTGGGGGAGCGGTGTTGGGAAGGAGCATTCATCCCCCTCCTTCAACCCCTTATCTCTGCTACAAAGTTTTCCAATCATTCAACAGCAACCCTCCACTCACCGCAAACAGTGGCTGCATTGTCTTTAATCTCCGTATCATAACACGGAACTGAAGAAGTCAATCTTTGAAAAGTCTTTTTTTAACCGCACTAATATACTTTTCCATGGCAGCAACAAAACGTTTAGGAAAAGAAAAGTTGGTTATAACATGATAGATCAGAGAGAGAGAAAAGTAAACCCACTGATTATGGCACTAATGACCATTGCAGCAACTGATAAAACTAGATGAGCATCCCACATTATTGTAGGAAAGATTTAAGTCCTGTGCTCTGTCGCACGGCCCTCCATCTATTGAACAATTTAAAGAAACCTTTGACCCCTGGGCCAGCCGTTCAGGGGAACCATGGTAACCTTTCGTGTCCAGCAGAGGAGAAAAACAAGATTCCAGGCAGAGAGTTGTCTCACTTCAGGCCATTCCATCCATTCACACCACAGCTAACACTTGCAAGGTTTACTTTCGTCTTATGGGGGTTTCTAATTGGACCGAGCCAGTGCTTGTCAGAAACATTCCTTAGCAACTAGAAATAATGCTGTGGTCCTGGCCTGGCTTCCTATGGACACATCATTAAGTTAAAACAAACTTTGTACATTAGCAGCTGTAGCTTCTTTAAAAAAACTCCAAATCTTAATCCATTTAAAGGCAATAGCACTTGTTCTGCTGGAGATAGAAAGTTGAATCAGCTCAACCCTGAAACAGATACCTCTGGATGACAGTTTCAAATTACATGGTCACCACAAAATAAATGTTTGATTAGTTTACTTTTTATTCATCAAGCACAACAAAGGCACCAACAAAGGACTCATATTAAAAACAACAGCTAGATCTGTTTCCAGGCACCTTGGCCCAGTTTACTCAAGATATTCCACCTTGTGAGCAGTTAGGGTTAATTTGGGGTATTTTCCTTCCTAATATCCAATACCCGCCCCTGATTAAGCATGAGCCTCTCATACTAGTAGTAGCTTACTTTTGTACGGTGATGGTGGTTAACACATTTTGCAAATTTATTTATTTGGGGCTTTTGGCACTAGCAAAGTGTCACCTATTTCCATTATATTTGAGAGAAAGTAGAGGCAGGGATTTGCATTTTAAATGTTGGGTTGAACTGTCCTTTTTTGCCTACCATTATGTTATGTTTGCAACAAATGCATAAGGCCCTTTCTGAGGGTAATGACAAGTTACAATCAGTATAGTTTTCCTAAATAAATGGACTCAATCAGTGAGAACGTAACACAGGTGTTATTTAAGCCATCCTTCAACACAGGCCCAAGCCTACTTTCTACAAGGTTATCCAGACGCCCTCAATTTCATCTGTTCCAGGAATTGGTCCCAAGACTTTACCGCATCAATAATGCCAGAGTACAACAGAGCATTACCATCACAGACTGGCCAATGATTTTCAATCACCATGTCTTAAACCATCCAGACTGCAATGCATCCTAGAAACCTGACACCTCAGGACAGTTTTCACCATCTCATAGTGCCTATACCAATAGGGGGGCCACACTGAGACGTACCTGCAAAACCTAATGAGAACTCTGACATTATGCCCTTTGTATACCTGTGATCACATGGTACAAGAGGCTACAAAAGGACGCTAACTCAGGAGGCAATTACTCTGCTAAAATCCCCATCAATCTAAAGTCTATTGACAAAAGTCACATGGTGAGGCTCATGTGTCACATTCCTTTTCATCGAGTCCAAATCCCTCACCTTTGTGCTTTAGCAAACCCAATGTTTAAGGTTACCCTCCATCACCATCACATTCCTCAAAGAACAACTGGCAGGTCCATCGCTTCGACATAAGAGCAGAGAATTCAAAAGCTCACCGCTGGTACGATGAAACATTGTCATTTTAACCACATATCACAAAGAACTAAGCTATATAAATCGAAATGATAGCATCAATATCGATACAAAATGTGGCTTTATTTGGCTCTGGAAAGGCGGTATCAAGACATGATACACCATCTATCTTTCAGATGAAGAATTAACATGTGTTAAGGACAGACTGACAGCTGGATCAAAATGTTCATAATAAACTAAATGTCATGTACAGCCATAATAGATTGAAAACAAATAACCACATGTTGCCAAAATCCTTTTAGGGCAAGACAAATGGCAGTTCATAAAATAAAGTCATGCTGTTTAATGAGGATTGCCACCCTGACTTCTCAATTAAACTGTAAGCTTAGAATCAGCCTCAGATGTTAAATTATACAAGTTATGTAATAGGCGTTTTAGTGGTGTAAATGTCCAGCTGTTCTGTCCACTGATATCAGGACAAACAACTTCCCCCAAAGAATCCCTTTACTTTTGCAAGCATGGAGGCAATGTGGACCAAAACGGTCAGAGAGAAAAGCTTTTCACTCTTTCACCAGAGTAGTGAGGCAGAACACAATTGTGTGCAAAGCCTCCAGCCCCTACTAACCTTGTAAGACCTGCAATAAAGTTTGGTCATTTAGACACTCGGGGTAAGGCAGTGATACTGGGAAACAGCAATTCACATTTGTGTGTGTGTGCGTATGTGTGTTGGCACACCACTCGCAGCAGCCCCCACTGCTGCCTCTGTGTCCTTCAACTGAGCATTTCTCAGGTATGTGCAAATTTTACGAGCTTCCAGATAGACCCTCAAGCTGGTCTAAGTGTCATTTTAAAACAAACTAGTAAAGCTTACTGCCATCCTTTATTAGCACTTACCTTTTTACTATAAAGCATGTACACCACTCAATGAATTAATAAACGATATGTTCCTTTTAAATACCAGAAAATATCTGACTTATAACTGATAATTTACAACATCACATGTAGTCAGGAACAACTGTTAAATTACTCACTCCTAATTGCACCCCATTAAACCAAAGTTCATAACAACTATTCCATTATTGCTGGTAATGTTATAAAAACCCATTTTGTTCTAACATGAGAGCAAACATTTCTAATAATGTTTTTAATCTGTTTAAATAAAAAAAATTAAAAATCATCAGTTATTGTTCTGCAACTCAACAATAACTTTCTGGACCTCAGAACAGAGGATGAATGAACTTTAACGTAAACATAATCTTCCACTATTGAAACACATGGAGACAAGGACTATTACCCTATGTCAAGGCTTGCTATTGTCTTCCTTCAAAGTAATTCCACATCTCAGCAATAATAAATATGCACATTTAAGTGCATTGGGTGGGGGTACAAAGATGACCACACACAAAAAAGTGGCACAGCAAGATGCATGGCCCAATTGGCCCATGGTGTGGGAGGAGGGGATATAATGTCCCAAAAGACCAAATCTGCCTGAAGCTTCTCCGCTCCCCCCTTCAATTTCGAGGCCAACTTGCGCAGCACTGGAGGAGAAAGCATTCCAAAAGAACAATTCCTCAAGCAGTCAGGGTGCAATAACATGAAAGCCCGGCCTCTGAATAGGGGTCATCTGCTCTTTAGCATTGGAGAGCCGGTATCCTGGACAGATCCTGACCTTTCAGATCTGCTGCTCCTTCATTACCACACCAATGGGCATATATCCCCTCCACAGCATCTATTTTGGGGTCTTACTTTGAAGACTTTGTCCCCCTTCCTTCACTACCACCAAAGCTGCCTTGATTGCAACGCTGAGCAGCAAAATAAATAGCCAGAATATAAGACATCTCACTGCCTGATTATGATCGAAGTTGTCCATCACACTCTTATGTTTCCATGGTGACTGCAGCATGATACTTACTTGCGATTGTTAGACGGGCTTTCTGGCTCAGGATTGCGCCATATTTGTTCTGAGCAAGGCACTGATAGAGCCCTTCATCTGATTTGTCTCCTCTCCTGCTCTCCACCTCCGAAATAAAAAGGGAGCCATTGGAGAGCCGGTACACCCGGTCGTTCTCCAACACTTTTACTCCGTTTTTGAGCCATCTGACGTCGATGGGTGACTCTCCATGCGCCTGACAGTCCAAAATAACAGCTTCTTTCCGCATGGCGGTGACATCATGGGGCTCCTTGATGAAAAATAACTCACTAAAGCATAAAACACCTGCAGAAAGAGAGAGAAAAAGCTAATTAGAAGTGAATGATGCAACCAGCACCAACAGAAGTTCAGTGAAAACATCTAAGGCATTGAAACAGTTATTTAAAGTCAGGCTTTAAGTTATTTTAAAGAGTTTATACTCAGTAAAGGAAGTTGTGGCTCAGCTTCCTTTGGATGGGTATTATCAGTGTTTATAGTCTCAGTTGGATACATGCGTGAGACTACTTAAAACACCCTGCTATTAGGTGAAATACAACATGTGAGAGGCTTGCAGGCTACTGTCCTCTACAGTAAATCACATTGTAGCTTCCTTTCTGCACCACTTTAATCCAATCACTTACGGCTCATAGAGTCACCAGCTGAAGGTGAAACTGTTTGATCCCATTAGTCTCTTTGGTTTACACAGAAACCTATTACTAACTGAACACTCAGCATGAGCTTTATGTAATGTTCCATTAATTGGACCTTTGAAAAGAGACACAGTGTCATTTGTAACATGCTACGCTTCAATAGATCAACTGAATACATGCAGGTTTTTCACTATCAATTCAGAACAATTACATAACAACCTGTTCTTTAAAGTCATCATCTCTTTAGAAGCAGGGCCACAGTATATGACTTCATTGAGCCGTATCACCAACACCAACTTTAAGGCTGATATGATGTGTATTGATTTTGTATTATCATTGGCTCTTTGTTGGACTGACACACTGCTGGGCTCTTATTTCAGCTCTGTAATTGGATAATCCTGGTTAGAAGATCAAAGAGTCACATTGTAACTAAACACTCCGTACACTTAACAATATAACCCAGCTAATACTGTTCATTTAAAAAAATCAATAGGATCGATACACATGGTAGATATCGACAGCATGTTAACCCCCTTAATACTATATTTTGTCTATAGCTGTAGCTAAGAACATAATTCAGAAGGAGTTATGGTAGGCTACTTCTGACACAAGTTAGGCTACTGTTTAAATAAAAGTATACAGTATGTTCAAATAGCTTTACACATTTCAACCTTAAATACGCTACATATGGCTTGAACATATTCTTAATCATACTCTTTGTCAGGATTACATAATAACATAACGCTGTGACAGGTCTCACTTAGTGTACAGTACACTAGGCTATTTTGTAAATAACACTTTACTTTCACTTGAGTAACAGTATACATATTTTTGATAGCCTGATGTCTTAATCTTCATTAAATCAGTGGTGTAAAGTAACTAAGTATATTGACTTAAGTACTGTACTTAAGTACAATTATAAGTTAATTAGTTATCTTGAGTATTTAAATGTTTTTGCTACTTTGTTTTTCTACCCCTCTACAATTCAGAGGTAAATTCTGTGCTTTTACTCCACTACATTTATGTAATACCTTACTTTGCAGAATTGGATTAATGATATGAAAGATAATCAACACTTACATAAGACTTTAGTTACACCTGGAGTAAATCCACAAGCTTACAAAGTAATTCAAACTAGCTGCACCTTTACCAGCTTAAATTAATCAATGAATATAATCAAAACATAATGATATATAAATTATTCTAAAATTGGGCTATCTGCATAATGAGTACTTTTACTTTTGGTACTTCAAGTTTATTTTGATGCTGATACTTTTCTACTTTTACTTGAGTAACATCTTGATTGCAGGACTTTAACTTGTAACAGAGTATTCCTACACTACTTTTACTTCAGTACAAGTCAAGATCTGAGTACTTCTCCCACCTCTGAGTAAAGGTATCTGAGCACGGTAACGTTAGTGAGTTTTAAAGTTACATGACAGTTGAATTCGCTAAAACACAACACATTCTCAGCCGGACATGACAATGGTCGTTACATAAATAAAACATAACGTTAATATATTAGAAAGAGTCAATGTCAAACCGGTTAATCTAGATAACCTGATGACTTTCCAGTTATTCTGTCTTCTGATGTGACAGGTTTTGGTGATAAAACTCTCAGTTGCATTCCTAACCGAGAGTGGTGTAAAGTAACATTTATAGTCAAGTATTTTATCAGAGTACTTCTTCCAGTTAAGTTAAACGGGTTTTAACGTTAGTCAGTTAGTTAAATGTAACATTAAAGGTCCGCAGTGAGCTGCTGTTGAGGCTCCACATAGTCAAACATGTAGGCGACACACAGTCAGAGTGATAGGGTTTTAACTCTCAGAATAATATCGATAACGCTTCTTACCTGAGATTGGAAGAAAAACGACCAAGAACAGCAACCGCTGATATAATTTCCCTTTGACAGGCGCCATTAATACCTGAATTGTCTTTGCATGCTAGCTACTCTCTCATAGTTGTGTCCTGCAGATGAGCTGCGCTGATACTGAGCAGGAGGAGGGAGGGCAGCAGCAGGAGAGCAGTCCCCTCCGCTGGATCATGGACACCTCTCCATTCATCTCTCTCTCCCACAGGCTGACGCTTTCAGTCCAGCGCCACCTACCGTTAGCTGTGCGTCACTTATATCATCTCCTAAACTCATGCATTTACACCAAGGCCTGATCCCATTACATACTAGCCTGCTAATGATGAATACTCAACTACAATTAAGTACTGCATTATTAGCAGAGGTGAACAAAGTATTCAGATCATTTACTCTAACTTAGTACATGTAATAATACTACACTGTATTATCTGTTTTATTTGTTCTATGTCCTATATATTAATGTCCTATGTTGCACTGTTGGAGGAGCCTGTGACCTAAGTGTTTCATTGCAATATCTACACTGTAGTTAATGTGCAAATGACAATAAAGCCTTGAAACTTGAAACTGTAGAAATACTCCATTACAGGTGAAAGTCCTGCATTGAGAATGGTACTTAAGTTAAAAGTATAATCAGTACTCAAAGTATTGGAAGTAAATGTACTCATTGCTGAAAAAAACCCTCTAGAATATTAAATAGAAAAATATGTAAATGGAAAAGCAGCAAATCTTCACATTTTTGAAGATGGAACTATCTACATAAAAACATACTTTAACAATTAGCACAATTGCATCCAAATAATTAGTGTCAACCCACCCATGTTAAAGGCACTTTGTGGATAGTTTGATCTACATCCATTAAGTTCTTCTTATTATCTATGTTTAAAACTCTTAAAGCAACTAAAGCTGTTAAATACATGTACCCATAGTGAAGTAATAAGTACAATATTTCCACTGAATTGAAGTGGAGTAGATGTATATAGAGGCACAGAAAGAAAATACTCAAATGTGTACTTAAGTATGGTACTCGAGTAAACTGACTTAGTTACCAGTGATTATTAGTTGTATTTTTCAAGGAAACCAAATAAACACATACATGGAGATTGGTTTTGAATAGTGTATTTTAGTACTATGCAAAGATGGAATGTAAAGCGAGTTGCATGGGCTACTACTTCTAAACTGTAAATAGAGTTTGTAAACTGTGACCTGTAATGTATGTTGTATGTCGTCCTTATTGTTGTTCTGTTGTTTTGATGTTACATGTGTAACCAATGTGCTGCAGGTCACCCTTGAAAAATAAATCTTTTGATCTCAAGGGGCTTTCACCTGGTTAAATAAAGGCTACAAACAAACAAACTCAACTTGACTATTTCTTGCCACTTCATACTTTCAGTCAGACAACTCACTTGTTTCTTTAACATGTTTATTAGAAGCCGCATATAGTTGAGTTTGGCATCTAGGCTCGGGCCTCATCACTCCACAGATATACATAGCACGATGAGTGATGATTAAATAACTAACCCCCCGAGCCTACAGGTGGAAGCTGGGGTGGTGGTGGGGCAGGCAAGCAGCAGCGACGTGGAAGTAGCTGCAGCAATAGCAGCAGCAAGCAATGCATAGAGAGAGGCAGCTTAAATAGAGCGGCATATTAAGGAGACTCTGTTTGGTTGGTTGTAGAGTGGCAAGGGGCGTTATGTATGAATGCAGCATAAGTGCTCGAGTTGACTGCCTGAACTAGCTCGCAGGCGTCGCCCCATTCTATTCCACTACATTTTCAGATGAAAATATTTAACTTTGTATTCAACTACACTCATCAGCTATGGCTCCTACTTTACCAACATGTAAAAACTACAGCTGAAACACCGCATGCTTTACATTAACAACTTTTGTATTGTGGGACTGAAACCAAAATAATGAAGAATTTGTACATTATGTAACAGCAGGAGTTCAGCACTGGCTCCATCGAGGCCCTTTAACTCTTCCTTATCAATACTATGCTGTATTGATGAGAGCAGACCCCTCAGCATCAGAGACCAACTGCACACCAAATGGTCTCTATGGACTGAAAACAAAAATGATAATGGAAATGAGTTTGTCCTCTAAAACTGGGTTCTGCAATTAAAGAGGAAGCATTGATAGGAGGGAGCAGGACAGCTGTTGTGTCAATGTGGATATTGATCCAGTGTCCATAATTTATTGTGCATGCAGATCAAACCTCCCCTCCCACGCTGCTCCCCCTCTGTGAACCTTTTTCAGCAGCAGGACCGCGGCCCAGCTGGAATGTCCGGTCAATCAGAGAACAAAACACAAGAAGTGCTGAGAAAATCTGCACTCTACAGCAAAGACGTTCTGCACTTGATTTTTTGGAATATGGATCCATGTTAAAGATTCAAGCTGCCTTAATGAGCTGACATAAAGCAGTGTACTTTATGTAGAAAGTTCAGTAAAACGGCAACATTATAATCAACAAGAAACATCAGACTTCTTCCTGAACTTGAAACTACAAACGTATCTTGAGTTGGATGACAGTGTTAAAACAAATATGTTTCAAGTGTCCTTTAAATTGAACATTGGATTTTCTATAGTTATCTGCATAAAGACATTTGCAAAAATATGTCAAAATCAGATGGTACAGTTAATAATTAGTGTAAAGATGATTTTCCAAATTAATTTAATTAGTTTGTTTTAAAAATGTCTAAAAATAGTGGGGAATTCTCAAAGTCCTGGTGATGTCTTTAATGTCTTGTATTGTTGGTCCCAAACCAAAATATATTCAGTTTAAAATGAGGAGAAAAAAACCGAGAATCATTTCCACATTTGATTTATATATTAACAAATTAGTTGATGTTTATTTTTCTGTTGGGTGACTTATGGATTAGTGAATTTATCTTTGAAACTCTAAATAAATGTAAATGAAATAGGAACCGGTCAAAAAAAGCCTCAGGACATTGTTCAATTAATCAGAAATATATAGTAGCCTACATGAACTTTTCCAACAAGTTAAAATCACATCTTCTGCTCCAATCATGTCTTACACACACTTCCTAACCTGTAAGCTTGTCATGTTTCCCTGTGAAGTACTTGTACTGCGTTATGTAACCAAATACTATATTCACAGCCCTGGTGCGGTTGTAGGCTCTTCTCTTACATAACGTGAGAAAGTGAAAACCTCATTCATGGTCAGCGAGGCTCTCCCCAGGGTGTTTAATTAATCAAGAACTCAGTTTCGGCACCTGCCAATATGGCACAGTTTGTGGGTGGAGGGACGGTCAGCCTGCCTGTGAACTCGGGGTCGAGCTCTGCGGCCGGATCAATGGAGGAACAGCCATTATCAGGACAGGTTATGAATGTTGGTGAGGGTAGATGGGAGCCATTGGTTGAGCAGCGTGTCTTCCTGCTGCCACACGTGCCCATCCCCACTGACCCCCAGTAGTGTCCAAAAGGCCGGCCTGAATCCTGTGTGACCTTTTCCACTAACCCCGGTGCAGGGGAGGGGGCTTTTAGTGCAACAACAGGGGGGGTTGTGGAGAATATAGGACTATGGCGTTTGAGCTGAGTCACACAAAAGGCTCTGAGTCCTCTTCACCTACCCTGCTGTTGTTAAAAACACTAGTTATGAACCTCTGCTCCAAACTGTTAACATAATCCCAGATTCATATGTGACTGCAGCTAGGTGAGTTTGGGATAAACAGCCAGACTGTGCTCTGTTACAGTCAAATGTAATTTAAAATAAATCACACAATCAAACCTATGAAAGACACTGCACATGTGTTAAACCCCTCTTTGTCCAGACAGATATTGCAGGTCCATCTAAGTGAAGCTGGCTGTTGGTTATTTATTTGTTATTATATATTGCTCATTTCAGTTTCATAAACAATGTTGAAATAATCTGAGGAACAACTGCATTGCACTTTCATACTTTATAATGATGAAATCAACAATTAAAAAAAAACAGGTTAAATTCATGACAGACAGACAACAGTTTGATATAAAAAAGTAGATTTCAAAAAGAAGATTTATTTTTCACTGCCAATTTTATTTGAAACCAGCCAGTGTTAACGTTTGGTGATGCCTTAAAATACAATGTGCCTTATCGCCCCCATCTGGAACGACTCAGTACTACAACACCCACACTTATTTTTCTTTTATAAAGGTCACCTGTTATGCAAAATCCACGTTGTCATATCTTTTATACATTTTCCCCTATGTGTAAAGAGATTCTGAAAGTTTCAGGAAAAAAGATTCTCTCACTTTTTGTCCTGATCCATTTATATAAAAACCTGTCTGAAAATGAGCTGATCAGATTTAGGCCACTTTATGATGTTTTTGGCTTGTGTAACCATTATCCAATCACCAACCAAGGTAACCCCCCCCCCCCCCCCCCCATATCACCTGAATCTCCTCCTAGAGCACCATTGTGTTCTTTTTAACATCTAAAGTAACAGACAGAGAATCAGCACTTTTGAAACAGGGCTGAGAGGGGATTATGGGAAGCTGCTAGGGGTGATCCGTTTGGTATTTGGAGCCAAACACTTCAGAGACATGTTTTGTTTATATCTGAGACCTATAATAACATAATGAAAAAAAGTATAATAGCAAGGCAAGGCAAGGCAAGTTTATTTATATAGCACCTTTCAACAAAGTGCTTTTCAAAAAATGAAAGACATTAAGAAAATGGCATTTAAAATCAGTCATTAAAAATAAAAGATAATAAAAAATGTACAATAGGGGACCTTTAAACTCAAATGTTATCATTTACCTTTAACTCTTAAGCCCCACGGACCCGGTTCCGGGTCCGAAATCGCTTCATTTGCAGGAAACAACGTCTAAGGAACCTTAATATTTAATAAACTATGAATATTTTATATCCATATAACGGGAAAAAACTAATTTAACTGATCTTTTTCATTTAAAAAAAACAAACAAACACACAATGCTAACAGTGACCCTCTGAATTAGCCCAGAGCGAAAAATGCTAACCTATTACTGCACCGAAAATCACTCCTAGCTCCCTTATTACTTATCCTAGCTGCACATCCAACACATACGTTTATGATCGTAAAGACACAGAATCTAACGGTGCCCACCTCAACACTGAAAGATACAAACTCGCGACGTTATCAACAAAAACTTACATCAAA